AGTCATTAAAATAGATAGATAGTTTAAACACAGTGATTATAATTCAAAGCAAACATGCATCCATTCATAAGCAAATTAATAAAACTACATATTCATGCTAAGGCGCCTCACCCTAGCAAAAGGAATTAGTTACACATAATCATAATTGAAATCCAAGAAAATATCATTCGAATGAATAAAATGAAACACCTTAAGTAGCGAAATCCCAAACCTCGCAATTGCTCCCAAGCCAAAAGCAAAGTCAAAAAGGGCCTAAATTCTGTGAAAAGGAGCTTTAAATCTCTCCTAAAACCTAGCTGCCCAATCCCCAAAAGGAAACTAAGTTTAAATAAAAAGTAATATTCGAAAAAAGATTAAAAATCCAATTGGATTAGAGACTCTTCCATAAATGGTCATCCACTGTTTTGGCCTCAAATCTCCTCCACATCTGGCCACAAGATTAGCTTATTTTAAAGATAAAAAATATTCTGAACATTTCTCCAAAGTCTCCGAACCGATCCGAGGTCATCTTGGGCTCCAAAAAAACGCAATAAAAGCAAAAACGCACACATATTTCAGCACCGCGCACTGCTTCCTTATTTTAATCGCCATGGAAAATAATCGCTCGGTGAAAAGGTCTTGAAATTTCCGATATACAATCAAGCCAAGTGACTCACGAACGTCCTCTAACTGGATATTACTCCAAAAATTCGTCCATTTGATTATGTTTTTTCTTCAGGGATTCGAAAGTCCATATTGGAAATATATTTTAAGTATCAAATTCCTTCCAAATTACCCAAACATATACTAAGAATGGTTAAATAGATAATATAAAATCGACTCATCTTTCTCTGTTCCCGATTTGGGATAGTCTTGAATATTTATTGTTTTTTTTTTGTTTTGTTTTTGTTTGTTTTTTTTGTTTGTTGTTTTGTTTTTTTGTTTGTTTGTTTTTTTTTTTGTTTTCAATTGTTTAGCGTCCTCTCTTGGTGAGCTTGAAGTTATCTAGAAGGTTCTAGTATTGATTTTAAACTTTTCTTTTTTAGTTTTGGGTGTAAGTGGTTTGAATTTGTATCGATCTATTAATTTTTTTAGAGTATGTTTTGAATTTGTTGGATGGTTTGCGTCTGATAATTTTCAGGTTTTGATTTGGGGTTAATTTTTTTGTTTTGGATGCTTTGGTTAGATATCTTGTTCAGTGTTCCCAAGGGTGGTTAAGAAGCTCCTTTGTGGGTTTTTTTTTTTTTTTTTTTTTTTTTTTTTTTTTTTTTTTTTTTTTTTTTTTTTTTTTTTTTTTTTTTTTTTTTTTTTTTTTTTTTTTTTTTTTTTTTTTTTTTTTTTTTTTTTTTTTTTTTTTTTTTTTTTTTTTTTTTTTTTTTTTTTTTTTTTTTTTTTTTTTTTTTTTTTTTTTTTTTTTTTTTTTTTTTTTTTTTTTTTTTTTTTTTTTTTTTTTTTTTTTTTTTTTTTTTTTTTTTTTTTTTTTTTTTTTTTTTTTTTTTTTTTTTTTTTTTTTTTTTTTTTTTTTTTTTTTTTTTTTTTTTTTTTTTTTTTTTTTTTTTTTTTTTTTTTTTTTTTTTTTTTTTTTTTTTTTTTTTTTTTTTTTTTTTTTTTTTTTTTTTTTTTAATATAGATGGGGGCGTTGGAGACACAAGGGTGTTAGAGATGAGGGAGATCAGAGGGATGTGAAGAGTTGGAGAGGAGATTTCAGGGAGATATGGAGCCCAAAAACAATAAGCAGAAAAGAAAGTAAACCTAAAAATCTCCCAGAGGAGGAGGAAGAACTCTCACAAAGGAGAGAGAGAGATGAGAAAAAAAACATAGAGGGACATACGTGGGAGATGAGGAAGTGGAAGGCAGAGAGGAAAGGGAAGGGTGGACGAACTAAGGCCTCCTCCCCAAAGCAGTGCTGCAAAGTGTTTTCAAAGAGGGGGCTAGGATTATAGAGAAAAAAGTCGCTTCCGTAATAGGAGTAGTTGCGTCAGTACTCTATACAATAAGCCGAGGGCAGGCACGTGACTTCTTTTAGGGCAAATTGTCAATTTGTATGTTGGCACTCTCAGACCCTTTTGGGCTCCCATTACCTTTTATATCCCCCCCTCCCTCTTATTCCATTTATTTGTTCAAGGAAAGTCCAAACAATTTATGGAAGGGAAACCTCAATAACAACCATAATAATCGCCAAAGATGAACATAAGGATAAGGTGAATACATGTAAAGATGCGGAGGAACATATACATAGAGTGCGGTGAGTCAGTGAGAGTCGCGATTGCACATGAACGAGTTCCAATTTCCAGGGGCGGTTGTGTTGTGTTGTACGATGGGCAAGGCTGTGAAAACATATACATTTGGACAGATTCAATGGAGGAGGTGTGAAGCCGTGGGAGGGTAAGTTTGGCTTGGTGTTTGTCAATGGGCTGTGAAATGTGAGATTTGGTTAGGTGATTTATGATGGGCCCATGTATGATGTAAAAAAAATTGTGGGTATGCGAAGAATGATGCATATTGTGGGAATGGGTGACATAGATGTTGTGAGATATCAAGAAATAATCCTAGGTTAATTAGGAAAATCAACCTCTTGAACAAGACGGAAAAGTGCAAAAAAAAGCTGAAAACACACCATGGTTGTTGGTTTAGGTGGTCTGTTTGTAATGGTTATTTTTTTGTTTTTTTCCACAGTAATGCAGGTTGGTCATTATAGGCTGATATTAATGTTGGTTAGGGTGGATGTAAGGGAAGGGGTGTGTTGTTCGATATATTCGATCGGTGATGGAACAATTCTTTCCTTTTCCCAATCGTTGAGTCCAACTAGCCTTGAAAAACAAAGATCCAATATACATCACACCTCTAATTTGGGTTTCCAAGTCACATATCATATTACACCCAAATCAATGGACCCAAATACGAAACAGACATCTCTTAACAACACAGCCATTAAGTGCATCACCAAAACAAGGAACATCACAACTCAATTACAAAACCTCCCCGCCAATGGCATCCAAAATAAGAGCAGACACCTCAATGACAAAACATCCAAAGGCCATCCAAACAAGAATGCATCAAAGGGTCAAGGTCTAAACATGCCAAAGATATGCATTCTCACACAACAACATCGCAGCTGTCAGGGTCAAAACACCCACTCCTTGCCAACCCAAATAAAAACATAAGTCGCAAAGAGGGTTACAGTTAACAAAATACTCCCAAAATAGTTCCTAAAAATCACAGGTAATCGGTGGCGGGTGGCGGGTGGCGGTGGGTAGATATGGACATGGCATAGTATGTACTTTAGAATGAGTGACATTGGTGTGTAAGTGTGTATTTTGAAGGATATTTTTGTAAAATATGTACTACATTTTGGTCTTGGGCCTATGCTAATAGATGAATTGATTCATATCTTCCAAATTAGTAAACTATATTGTGTTTGTAAAAACTAAGAGCTACCATTTAAGATATTATTATTATTATATATTATTATTATGGGCGTGCCAAAGTAGGAAGTAGGAAGGAAGAGGAGGAAACTCTACAACAGGTACCATGGGCGTGAACCGAGTTACTTGGGAGCAACTTAAACGCCTCAACTAATCTAACTAACATCCATTGGTGTTTTATACTTGGTCTCTCTATAGTTTCAATTTTGTCAATTTATCCTTTTAATTTTCAATTCGCGTATTACGTGCCGTCTCAATATTTGTCAAAGTCTTCCCAAATTGTTTACATTTAATCAATAGCTAGTCCCTCATGTGAGAGGGGTTTATTTCGTACAATGGACATTAATTGCGAAAACCAAAGTTGATGCTCTTATGATGATCACAAAAAGCAATTCCCAATTTCATCAAACCTTCCCCGCACATCCAGGAAAGCTCAAAATACACAAACAAATTCCCTAAGTAATTAGGGAAAGTAGTAACGGCCCCACTCGACCCCCACGTCAGCCTGCTCCACTATACGGACATCCATCCATTTTTTTTTTTAAGTTCTTTTTATCCTTTTATATATTTAAACTAAGTAATAGATAAGAATATTAAAATAACAACACCACCCCATTCGCCAGAGGTAGTAATGTTTAAAATTCTTCATAGATGCCTTAGACAAATTTTTAAGGATGGACTAATAAATGCAAACTCCAACCACGCCTCCCATCACACCTTAAAATCGGAGTCCTATAAGAGCTCCCAAATTGAGGAGAAAGAACGGGACCCTAGTGGCTCCCTATAATTAATGCTGCTTTATTTAATGAGTATTCAAACCGGTATTTAATGCTAAACATTTTTTATTTTATTTTATAATCGGATAGACAATCCAAAAAGAGTATAAGCTTGATAGACTCGCCAAAAGTAGAGAGTATGGTTGGGAGGTGAAATTTTTTGAGAGTCCAAAAATAGCTTATATATTTTTGCTAAATTTTAGCTAAGAAATAGAGCGTATCATGTGGATCTTAGTGAGTCAAATATTTTAATTATGATTATATATACATATGATTAATGAAATAAAAGTGTTTAATAATCCGACCATCAAAATCTTAAAAGGAAGATTTTCGATGTGAAAAGACTCATACTCAAAATATCCAGGTTTATATTTGAATGAAAATAAAAACACACAAGAATGAAAAAATTACTCCTCTTCTACCACACCCGCTCAAACCCCCCCCTGCCCTTAGATCATTCCCCACACGAATCGTTCTTTTATTTTTTGTCGTTGGGAATTCTCCTGTTTATTGATAAAGCTTTTAGAAGAAGTAGAAAAAAAAAAAAAAATCAAAAATCTCCCGCTCCCCGCGCCAGAAAAAAAACAGCCTACACGCAAACCAAAACCAAAAACCCATACAGACCCTGCGCCAGCGACTGAGCCCTCTCAGGACCCCTCGCCTCAGCTTTCCCAACACTGAACCGGCAGTGCCGTTGTCTCTCAACTCTCCACCTTGAACCACCTCGAGCCCTTCTTTCTTTCAGCGGGACCCAAGGAGCGTTTCTCTTCTCTCTCTCTCTCTCTCTCTCTTTCTCTGTACGCAGTGAAATCGGACATCCATGGTTCAGGTGTTGAAAATGTCGGACGACAGAGAAGCTTGTTGGCGGCAAATCTTCCGAGAGGAAGAAAGGATGGTCAACCAAACCAAGCACAGGCTAACCCTTCGAGCAACACCTCGCCTCCCAAATGCCTTATTGACGGAATTGCCCCTCCTCCGTGGCTTTGTCCTCCCTCCTCCTCCGACCCCAATATGGTGCGTACTACTTCCCTACCTTCGTTTCCATATTAATTTCTTCTAATACTGTCATTTTTACTTTGAATTGCGTAGTTTTGGAAAGGCATCGTTTTTAATACATTGTAATTTTGTTGCTTAGATGAAATAATTTCGTGTTGTTTTGATTTAGTAGCAATAAGTTTTTAGATGATGAAAACAAAATGAAACCCTTAGGTTCTAATATTGGCATTATGTATTAGGATAATTCGAACGTCAAGGATTTTCTTAATTCTCTGTTTGTTTCCATTCCAAGAAAGTTGTAATTCAGGATATTATTTGTAATATGAAGGATTACATCAAATGGTCATGACAAGTATCTCAGAATGGCTTCAGTGAAAAGGGAATTTCAGTTGCACGGCCCTGAACTAGCTCACACACATATCTGTATACTGTATGTACATTGTATGCTTGCTGTATGTATGCAATGTCCTTGCCCTTATGTCATGCCCATGGATTAATTAAGAATCTTTTGATTTGTTCATTACAGTATTGAACAAACAAGAGCTGATTTCAGGAGTTCCACTCCCTCGCGCACAGCCTGTGATCCATTTTACCGGTAGCCATTGCCCTGTGTTTGACAAGCCAGTTCCTACAGCTCACAATGGGGAGCTACCAAATGGTTTGTGCACTGAACTTCATGGTTTTGACAGAGGTTTTAGTGCAGGAGAGGAGGTTTGATTTTGCCACACTGCCGTGTAAGTAATCCTGGGTGTGCCTCCAATGGCGTTCCTCAAGACCAGAGAGAAGAGGATCCTAGTGTTACATCTCCAGAAGATCAGAAGGATGCAAGGATCTCAGACATTTACCACGATCCAGCTCTATACCGGCTAGAGGTGCAGGAAATGAGGTATCTAATTTGCCGCAGTGCCTCATTAATAACGCTCATTGTTCCTCTGATGGTGTTCCTCAAGATCAGAGAGAAGAGGATCCGAGTGTTACATCTCCAGAAGATCAGAGGGGTGCAAGAATGTCAGACATTTACCATGACCCAGCTCTATCACCAGCTAGAGGTGCAGGAGATGAGGTTACAATTTTGCCACAGTGCCCCATTAGTAATGCAGGAGATTCCTCCAATGGTGTTCCTCAAGATCAGAAAGAAGAGGATCCAAGTGTTACTTCTCCTGAAGGTCAGGGGGATGCAAAAACCTCAAATATTTATCATGACCCAGCTCTATCACTGGCTAGAGTTCAAAGATCCAAATCCAGACAAAGAGCTATTGCAATTCGCAACAGTACCAATAAAAGCAATTCACAGGTAAAGAACAACGTTAATGGTTGTGCTGGTGGGATTATTGGGTGTGCGATATCTTTCCTACAATCTGACCATGTTGATGAAATGAACTTAGTCAAGCCTCCTGATACATGTGATAATCTAGAGTTAAGTGCAGTAAATGGGGGAAAAACATTCAAGTAAGGAGAATTGTTCTTTGGAGTTTGTCTCCGGAAGTACTAGGTCACAAGTTGTGTGTAGTGTTGAAAGAATAGCAAAAGGTGCCAGCTCCAACATGTCTGGTCAAAGAATTGTAGCAAAAGATACCAGCAGCAACATATCGGGTCAAAGAATTAAACAAGTCAATGTCTGCGCATCGAACAAGTCTCATGATGCACAGAGAACTCAAATATCTACTGGAAGGTCTATTCCAATTCAAAGGGATCTAGACCTTTGTGCAGTGAATTCAATAGATTCTTCAGACAAGGAAATGTTGCAGATCACTACGCTGGTAGAAATACATGCACAGAAATTAATAGTGGGACAGAAGAAATGTCAAAACCTGTCAATTCCCAGGTTTTGGGTCACAGGGGTACACAGTCCAGATCTGCTGCTTCAAACAAGCATTTACCAGAAAACCTGACTCATGGGCTTCCAGGAATCAGGCATCAGGATGTGTTCAGTACTATGGTACAAGAGGTACCTTGTATACAAACCAGTGAATGTGTTGAAGCTGCAAGTGTTGGAAAAACTGAAATTGATCCTGATGGATGTATTGAAGCTAATCCTATTCGTTCTGGATCTAACTTGGACGGTAATGGGCTTAGAGTTGGAGGAGAAGTTCTACACTCAAGGCAGCCTGCTGATTATGCTTTTGTGAATCCCAAGCAACTTAATTTTGATGACGTGGAAGAGTCCTGTTTGAATGGAATTTCTACTCCTGATCTTAAGAAGGGAATGCAGGGCAGGTCGTCAGAAAAAAGTTATATTTCCTTGATGCATGCTGAAGATATACTGGCTGAAGGAATAACTGTCAATTACCATGACAATTGTAACACATCACTGGAGATGAGTTTTCTGGGGGATCGGGAAGTTTCCGTCGGAGGAAAGGAGCTCCAGAGTAGTTTATCCGGAGCCCCAGAAGAGCAGTTGCATAAATCTGGAAGAACCTCAAATGAAAATGCTGCCTCATCAGTAAAAGAGATATCCAATGCTCATAAGGATGGAGTTGCTAATACTTTGCTAGAAAGTGGCAAAGTTCAGAAATCCTTTTTGATAGATAATCCAACTGGCTTGCAAGTAGCCCAGGAAAGTTTGGTTGAAAGCCAGTCTAATGTTAATTCTGCAAAACCAACTGAATTGGTCACAGAAGAGAGTGCACTGGATTCTCTTGCCGTTGGTAATCCTACAGTATCAACGGATTCTGATTTTACAATTGTGTCCGAACTTGGTTCTTTAGAATCCCGGATGCAAAGAATCTTGCAGTTGAGAATCCTTGTGCTGCTTCCACGGATGAGATGAAGGGTAACTTGCCTCAGCCGATTATACAGTCACATTTCTCCAAACTATGAAATGTGGAGTATTGGTGATAAGGTAGATGTAGGTTATACCAAATCAACTGAATGCCGGATTGCAGAGAAATCCAAGGGAATAAGTTTTTAGCTCTTCTATGGAGGGTTCATGGCCTCAGCATAAACGAAGAAAGATTGAGCACACAATAGTTGATGACCTGTCTTCTTCACGGGACTTGATAGAAAGGTTTTTCACACTGTCAATAGAGATTCTATTTGTGGAAACTTGGGAAGTGTAGAGCATAGTCCAAAGGCCGTACTAGAATCTCAAGGCCTTTCAATTTCTCAGGAGGATGTTGGGAAATCAATTGTCAGTAGGAGTCCAGTTGAAGAATCACATCAAAATGAGGATCACCAAATGATAGAGAGGTCTGAATCTTCACCTAAAGCACATATGAAAGAGGTACTCAATTTTCTGTTGTGAATTGATCTCTCTCTCTCTCTCTCTCTCGGCTAAGCTACTTCCCTTATATCTTTGCTATCCTATTTCGCAGTCTTTTTTTATTCGGGATTTCTGTTTACTTGTTCTCTTATATTGGTCAGGTTGCTTGTCTGCTATTATTTAATCTGTTCTAATAAGATTGTGTTTCACAGGGTGAAATCAGCATGGGAGAGGGGGACAGAAGTGGGAATGCACCTTTCACTTTTATGCATGAAGAATTGGAAGCATCACTTCTCTTGAGTTTGATGAAGCAGGCTGCTGGCCAGTCTCAAGATTGTTTGATGGAGGAAACAGGAGTAGCACATCCAACTAGCACTATTGTTGATACAGGAAGTCCATGCATAGAAGAGAACCATGTTTCTCTTCCTCTTGAGGATAATCTTACACTAGGAAATGTTGAAAATTGGACTTACGCTGGAAGAGCCATGCAGGAAAAGAGATTTGATCTTGGGGGGACCAGAAAATTTTCATATTTTTCAGTTGGTTCTCCACGTGGCCAATCCTTGGATTTGATTGGTGGTGATGATACAAAGCCTGAGCTTGAGGGGTTTGTTTTAGAAACAGATGACAAACCAACAAGCATTGCTCGAGGGGGATATTAACTTTGATGAGTGCAACCTTCCGAGCACTACATTTGAACATGCCAGCATTTTGGAGCAGCTTTGCAAATCTGTTTGCATGCAAACTCCTGTACCATGCTCTTCAGCTTCATATAAGTTGCACAAAATTTCAAATCTCTACCAGTCTGTTCCAACTGGGCTTCTAGAGGGCGGAGTGGATATGAGGACCACCTTGCCTATGATGATGCTGTCAAGCCATTAAAGGATGGTAATAGTTGCTTGAGTGAGGAAGTTGGCCAGGCGTTTAATGGAAGGTCCTATTCTGATTGCCTACCAAATCGTTGTGGTCAATCTGGTTGGGACGTTAAGAAGCCTTACATATCACCAGTTGGGAAACTCTGGGATAGAACGCTTCAAGCACTAGCAGTTCAGGGAAGCGAGGGAGCTTAAATCCAGAGCTTCCCTGCATTAGTGAAGAAAATGAGAATATAGATGAGGTAGCTGATACTTCCCGAGATGGCATGTTTCAGAAGTATTAAATAGCTCAATACAAAGAGTACCACTTGCTGACATTACTGAAATTCCAAACCCTCCTGCATCAGTTTTGAAAGCTGAACTGCATGCTGATAGACTTAGTCTAGATTCAGTAAACACTGAATTCAGCTTAACGGAGACTCATAAGAGCTTCAAACTGAAGCATGGAATCCAAAACAGCATCAAGAGAAGATATAACAACAAGGAGAACCTGAGCATATCACGAGGAACAAATGATATTAAGAGGACCACTGGATCACTTCGTAAACCAAAATTGTCTGGAAAAACCAGCTTGAGAAAAGGCGGTCCAAGTTTGTTAGAGCGGGAGCCTAAGCGTAACAATATTGTGTCCAGTATGACTTCCTTCATTCCTCTTGTTCAACAGAAACAATCAGCTGCAGTTGTAACAGGTAATTTCTAACTAGTAATTTTAATCATGAAGAATTGTCAATTCTAGAACTTTGGAATTGCATTACATGTACATATTCCATGAGTGTATTTAGAGTGCGGATCATAACGGTATGTGGAAACTGGGCTACAGTATGGATGATCGTTTGTTTTTACTGAATCGAGGAGTGTTATGTTCGGAGCTGTAAATTAGTTTTGCATGTCTGGGATCATTGAGTAATAAAGTATTTTATTGGTAAACTCATCATATTGTTAGGAGCTTGACAATGATTCATCTGTTGTTTGATTGTATCATTGTGAATGTCCTGTGAAGATTTTGGAATCTTTTTCTTTTCTTTGTTTCTTTGTTTCTTTTTGTTCTCCGATGATTTGATTCAGTATTTGGAGCTTCTTGTGCTTTCTTGTAGGGAAGAGGGACATCAAAGTGAAGGCCCTGGAGGCTGCCGAAACTGCAAAGCGTCTTGCACAAAAGAAAGAGAATGAGCGCAAGATGAAGAAGGAAGCCTTGAAGCTTGAGCGGTCAAGAAAGGAGCAAGCGAACATGAGGCAGTTAGAGCTGCAAAAGAAACAGAAAGAAGAAGAGAGGAAGAAAAAAGATGCTGATATGGCGACAAAGAAGAGACAAAGGGAAGAGGAAGATAGGAAGGAGAAGGAAAGAAAAAGAATGCGTGTTGAAGCACGGAGACAGCAGAGAGAACATGAAGACAAGTTACCTGCAGAAAAAGAAGATAAAGAAATGAAATGCCAGGCCATTGTATGATTCTTCATGCCATTTCACATTTTATTAAATCTATCTTTTTGCTATTTTAGAAATCACATTCAGTATTGGACTGTCTTATATAGGATGGAAGAGGACATGAGAGTAAGGAATCTAAGGATGAAACAGCGCATAAGACAATGGAGGAAGAAAGGGAATATGACACTTTCAGGAACAGTTCAGAGACTGAGCCTAGGACTTCCAGGGTTTCAACAAGTAATGCCAGAAGAGAGAGTATTATCCTTGAAGAACACAGTTTGGTCTTGAGTAATTTTGGATATAACGCAGAGGTAAATGCTAATGACTTCTTAAGAATTGATATTCACCTATCTTAGGATCTACTTGCATATTGTACAGCACGCGAGACAATTAAACCTATTCCTTTCCTCCGAAATAACATTTATTCATATGTTGAGTGGTTTTACTTGCTTAGTTCATACTAGGTAGGCCTATGTGTAAGAGAATTTCTGAGCTTTTGCTGCAAGCTGGAGGGTAACTACTAACAGCTTATTGTAAACTCCAACCTGGCCACCTTTAGAAAGTTTTACATGAATGGCTGCATATTTCGTGTACATTACTTTGTCTTACAGCTTCATGCTGATACTTCATGTGATCTTTAAGGTACCGAGCAATTTAGACAAAGCAATAGACAATGGGAATTCTGCTGCCAATACACATCCAGAACAGTCATATGAAATCTCTCCATACAAACAATCAGATGATGAAAACGAAGAAGATGGTGATACTATGCTAAATAGTAAATTTGTTCCATCATGGTCAAGGTATGCTTTTCAATTTCTCTCTTTTGTTTTAGGTGAAATACGGTCTTCAAATTATAGAGCTCTGCAATCACCTTGATGAAAGGAATACATTGTGTACCCTTTGAAACTGCCAACGCTGGTATGCGCCTCTAAAACTCATTAATTAGTTGTTTCTTGTTCTCTACAGTAAAAATTGCCTGGCTCTGGCTGTCTCTTGCCGGAATGGAGCAGACCCTGGGGCAATCTTCCCCGAAGAAAGCTTTTCCAGCATATCTGAAGGTACTTTTATGGTGTAAAGTCATTATCTTAGTAGCTAGCTATTGCTTTGCCTAAATATCCAAGTTATGCTCGTTTGTAGTTCTCTTGCCTCGGAAGCATCAGCTAAACTACAATGGAATGCGCTAAACTCTATTCAATGTATTCTTTGCTCAACTAGTCGAACAGCTTTAGGTCAAGAAGAGGTAACAGTTGCACACTGTCTGCATGTTACCGTAAGTATTTTTCAAAGAGAAATAATCTTGAATTCTAATAATGTACCGTGTAAATTTAAGGAATGCTTGTTTGTGACAGGTTTTCAAAAGACTATTTGAGCAGGCGATCCCTCCCAGCAAATTTGTAGCTGAAACTTGTAGAATTGTTGCGATGTATAGGATTCTCTTGTAACTGTTATGAGCTAACATCATGGATACTTTGGTCAACACTTAATACTATTTTAACAGTTAATGCTGTGTGTAGGAGTTCTTTAACATTAATCCCAGACCTAAAATCCCAAGGGGCAAAGTTCCCACTGGGGCCTCTTTAAATAATATTTGAACTCTAACAATGACTCCCCACATGGAGAAAGTTAACATGATAGCCATAATTACAACTTACAAAGCAATTTGAAATTTTGTATTCTATGGCCACCATATAAGTGCTTTGATTGATTTCCGAAATAATAATGCAACATACAAAAATTTCGAAAAATGCTAAGGACAATCGCCCGCGCCTATGCTCACACAGTTGTCCATGGATGATTGTCCAAAGCACTACTGAAAACCTTCTAGCTTCAAAAAGAAGGAAATCAAATAAGATATTACTAACTATTAATTATACTATTATATATATATATATATTAAATATACATGAAAATTATTTTGAAATTCTTAATGACATGCGCCTTCTAATTGCCAACATCATCATCAACATTCTTGGGATTTACTCTTGAAATCCACCATTAGTTTATTCAATTTCTTGTTGCTAATCCGCTGTTGAATGATCATCATATCATCCTGATCTTGGCTTTTGGGATATGAGGGGGCAGAAGGGGTCAACTTTCTAGCCAGCTCTACAGCATCTTCAGACCGATTGATGATGTTGTTGAAGCACAAATACCGACCGTAGGATGAGACATCTTCGAAGACGCAAATGTGAGCATCCACCAAGAAATCTACATCGACGGTCACCAACACGCCATCTTCATACATCTCAGCCGCTCCTTTCATATAGGGGTTAGTGATGGACAGATCAGGACCCATCAACAACCCTGCATTCACAGACACCATATTCAAGCTCCTGTCCATTACTAAGGCCCATGCAGTCTTCTCTGCTAGGGTTTTTGATAGGGCATGCCACAACTGTTCAAGAACAAAACATGTAAGGGTTAGATTTAATTTAGTCAACATCAAGTAGATCCAGAAGTAAAGAGGAAATCTAATAATTCGATGTCACTTTTGAACACAAGGGAAATATGCCAGCTTTGCTCACCAAATGGAGCCAGAAAGCTTTCCTAAATATTTTAGTGGAGGGAGCCATTACATATAGCTTTTCTAAAAGTCATATATAGTTTGAGTCATTTTCTACTTTTGTCTCTGTCATTTCAATTTTCAATCTTAGCCCACATCTCGTGTCGTGCTGCCACGTTTAGAGCGCCATAAGATTTCATTCTTAAAAAATCATAGGGCTGAAATTGTTAAAATTGAGATTATAGGGACCAAAGTGAAAAGACTCAAACTACAGCTACCAAAAATACAATTTCATCATATATATATTTTAATATTTTGTTAAAAAAAGAATAAAAAACTAAAATATAGTTGATATGCAAACTCAGGAGTCTATGGTCGCCGGACCTACATCATGAAGCTCTGCCATATCATTATTAAGAATTCGCACCAAACAAACGGTAAAGTTCAAAGTTACTAAATTCCACACCAACAAACCAACTGTTAGCAACTGTGGAGCAGATTTTCGGTCTCCATGCGTTGTTAAGAGGATCACATTCCTCCTAACCTAACTACTTAATCAGCACACTCTGTAACTACCACTACTTAGTGTGGGGACATGAAGTCCCGGCGTCAAAGAAAAACTTCTATATCAGGGGATCACCCACATTCCACCACTCATGATAACTTTTACAAGTAACAGAAGGTGATTGGTTTCGAGATAGCAACACAGTACTATCCCTGTGATGTGATATATATAAGTTTTTCTCCTTGGCTTGGCAGTGGCACCATACACTTTGTCCAAGTTGTTACTGGTTTTTGGGCCACAAAAGCACCAAAAAGTCTTGTTTTAGTAAGACCCTATGTGATAATAAATAAACACACCCAGTTGACTATTTCAGTTGGAAATTAATACCTTGAAATTGCGACAGAAATTGACATCAGTCCAGTGTCGTTCATCCAACTCCAGAGTCATTGATTTACGGTCGTTTCTCCAAACCACAGCCGTGGCTGAAGATGTGAACACAACCTTGTCTATGGTTTCTGTTCTTGCACATGCTTCTAGCACATTGTGTGCTGCTCTCACCTCTACTTCTGCCATGTATTCCTACACGTCACCATCAAATCTCAATAAAATGATCAAAAATTTTAAAACTGCATAAACACATGATGCAAAATTTGAACTTATTAATGAAATAATTTAAGAGGAAATGACAAAAGGGTGTTTGAAAGGAAAGAAACTCTCATGTAACGGGAATAGGTTTTTTCGGTTTGAAAGGTCAGTAAAACTGCTATTATACAGCTAAGTAGCATCCCATCTTAATAAAATTATATATTTCAACTGCTCGCATCTAATCAAATTGGCTACCCCATTAGAATTTAAAAAAACAAAAAACAAAGAAAAAATTCCAAGTGGATGCTAAAACGTGCGATTAGAAAAGTGTAGACCTGCGGATGCTATCAATTGCTTCAAGCTCTGTCCCTAAACTTACTGAATAAAAATAAAACTAGGTCCCATTTGAAATGACTGATCTTGAATCTTAGTATCTAGTTCTTATTATTATATAGTTAAACAGACCTTGATTGAACTATTGACAATATATAATTTTTATATTTGTATTAGATGAAACAGAAGCACATGGAGATCATACATGCATGTTGACTGAGTTACATCTAAGTTATAATTTCAAATCTACTATATAATATTCGCATGTAATGTTTTCATAGTTCTTTTTTTCACGAATCTAATTCACTGTCAAATCCAAATCTAGATACAACACCCTTATTTCGACAAGTTCTCCCTCCCCAATAAAGCTTGTATTAAAAAAAATTCATTAATTTACTAAACTAATTTTGGGTCCATCCAGAATCACTTCCAAACGAACCCGAAATATTTATTAAAAATCCAAGTGCTTTTCTTGATTCATAAGCACTTCTAATATTTTCTGCCAAACGGTTAAAAAACGATTTAATGGTTAGAAGGTACTTTTAGCCACACACACAAAAAAAAAAAAAAAAAAAAAATACAATAATAATTCCTCCAGAAAATGACTGTCGGCCCTCAAAAGGAAGCAAGAGATTGAAATAGGAATTGACAAGCAACTCAGTGAGCAAATTAAACTGGAGTGATTTGAGTTTACTTGACGTAAATGAATGTTGCTCCTCTAGCCACCATTGAAAGTGCATGAAAAATGAATCTCCAATCAGAGAAAGGTTAACTGCATCAGTTCACATCATTAAATTTCCTTTTAATTTTTTATTAAAAAAATGTTTGAAGTTCATGTTGTATACTTTACCCTTCCCTCCCTCCTCCACCCCCGCCCAAAAACAACCCAATACGTTCACTACCTTCATTACATAATCATCCCAACTTCAACAGTTGCCTTATCGAAACGAAAACACTTCCACAGTTGCAGTTTTATTTTTATACAAGCGATACTGGGGAAGGGGGATCAAATCGTAAGACCTCAAGTGCAGGGGTAAATTGCACTTAACCATTGAGCTACAAGCCCCTTGCAACTGTTTTTTTTGGGGGTGAGAAAATCAGAAAATTAAACTCAACTAAAAATGAAAAAGTGCAGAAGATGGATGGGAAGAACGGAACATACATCATAGTTGGGTTGGTCTTGTGGAGGCTCAAATGCATAGAACAAGCCAGAGCAGCCTTTGAGAGCATCAAGTATGCTCTGGTAGTCAAATGGGTCTAAATTGAATACTTTGAGCTTCTTTTTGTCACACGAAAGCTCACCCAACCGCGATTCACCTAATTATTCAAACACCCCCAAACCAATTAAGAAACATAAAATGATAAGAATAATTCATAAATATATATAAAAAAACAGAAAGTAATTACAAAGGAAATAGATTTTGATTAAAACCCACCATGGCTCTGAAGGGCAGCATGGACTGTGTAACCCCTTTGCAGAAGGCGCTCTGTGAGGGTGGTGCCTACGTGGCCTGATGCATCCATTACACAGACTCTGTTGGAGGTCTGGTTGAAAGAGTCCGATGCTGGTGCCATTTTTGAGAGAGAGAGAGAGGGAGAGAAGTATTTTTGGGTTTAGAGAAGGAGCTGGCAAGATCAGTGGGGTTGCAAGTTTTTGATTATTGAGAGAGGGAGTGATGGGATTTATATATAGGACAAGTTGTCCCACACGTTACCCAAATTTAATTGGGAGACTTTGGAAAAACATAAAAAAGAGAGAAATTTTGTAAAAAATGCAAAAATAGACAAAATTACTTTTATTTATTTTTGGATTTCTTAAGGAATCCTTTACATTTGCATGTCTTTGATTTGAAAGTTAAGAGGTTTTTCTGTATTTTTTTAAAAAACTTTGGCTTTTTCCAAAAATAAACTTTGTTTTTTTTGCTAAAACCTAAATTTACTAATTTTTTAATTTGGGCCAAATATTCCAGAAGAAAATTATACATACATTATTAGCTCATATTTGAGTACTTAAACTTTTATACATCTCGTCTAATACGGTATCAAAGCTCTAATTTGAAACCTTTAACTTCATCCTCACTTACTATTTATGATATTAACTTGAAACTAAAGGTGTGCACAAAAAAGTGTTCGCTTGATATACATTATTGTTCTATACTTTTAATTAATAGTCGTTTAATATTCATACACATTTGATATTTTAAATAAAGAAATATAAATATGAACTCGAATTAAGAGGATGATGCGAACATCTATACACATCAAGGTTTTAATCATCATAATAAGGGGAAAAGCTGTTATATTCAGGACGTTGATGAATTATTGATAGTCATTATTTAGTGAAACTCTTGGAAGTAATGAATTATGATCAGAACGAATTTATTGCGTTGAAAAAGACTAGGGCAGGTTTAGATAAAGAAGTAGAAGAGCCAGAAGAGAAGGAGGGAGAGAGACGGGTGGCTGGCATTCAAAGAGCGTGGAGAACTGGGGGATAGTTGGGAGGTAGTTGTTATGACGGGAAGACGTAATTTGGTCACATAATAAATGTATAAATGGAGTTTGGTGGGAACATGTGTCTCCATTATATTTCACACACCAGACATTCACATACCTAATCAAGCCCACCCATCTACGTACTACAACAACAGCTGTATTTATTTCTTTAATTCGTTGATTTATTATCATCTCCAATTTTTTTTTTAATAATACAAGCATAATTAACTAAAGGATTATCTACTATAGACATTCCTGAACTTGGCCCTCAGTTGGGTCCGTGAACTTTTTTTGTGTGCCAATTACATTCAGGGACGAATCCATGATTTCAAAACTCTGCGGGCTAAATTTACCTTAGGTATGCAGGAAATTTCAGCAGTGAAGGCCATATCGCGCTAAGTTGGACTTTACAACACGTGTGAGAGAAAAAAAGAGATACGCATAATAAAAAAGGAGAAACGAAGTAAAAAAAAAAACAAGAGAAAAGAAAAAGAAAAAATATATATATATATATATATAGGAAGAAGAAACTGTGGGGAAAAGCTCAATTCGTAGTAGATCCAAACCATAAAAAATGGAGAAACAAAGGAAAAAAACAAGAGAAATGCGGGAAAACAAAAAGAAATAGGAAGAAGAGAGAGAGAATATGGGTATTGATTTTTTTTTTAAAAATGCATGGGCTAGAGAGAGAGTACATGGATATTGACAACTAAAAAAAGCATGGGCTATAGCCCATACAGCCCAACAGCTAGATTCGTCCCTGATTACATCTATTAACTCAATAAATAGTTTCAATTAGGTCCTATTGTCTAACTCTGTCAATTTATCTGTCAAAGAACTTCACCTTCTTCATCCATCATCAACCCTAAAAACCCCGCCTCCATCTTCACAAGTTTACAACACAAATCCATATCAAACAGTTTGTGATTGGTAGAAACCACATAAAAGAATTTGACCCAAAAAGAGAAAAAACCATGCTATGAATTCAAAGGTCTGTGAAATATGTACAACCCATTTGTACACTGACAATTCCTACACGCCTCACTGCTCTAAAACCCAACCTGACAACACAAACACACCACCTAAGCCACCACCGTCGTCTGCACTGTCACAAAAACCTAGTAATTATTCTGCCAATTGAAAGATCCAAGTTGAGGTCACTACACTTATACATATAATGATCTTGCAATTTATGCTGCTGTTGTTGTTGGTCTTCCTCTGCGGGGGTCCCACTGCTGGCCTCTTTCTATGTTGTCCTCGGGGAGATGGGGGGTGGGTTGCAGGTCGGGTTGGGATCTGGGTTTTAAGGGGAGTGGGATAAGAAGGGAGGAATGGGTTGCGAGAGAGAGGGAGAGGTAGAGCGAAAGAGAGAGGAATTGGCCTCATGCTGGCTACCTTATTTTTTGGCTTGCTAGCCGTAATCTTCAACCTTATTTCATGTTTTGAATATCAGCTTGAGAGTTCCTCTTGGAACTCCTGTATGCCAAGGTAACAGTGAAAGGCCCAGCACCATTGGACGAGACAACAGTTTAGTAGTACAAGAATTATTATTTTTTTCACCATTTTCAGTTTTTTACTTCAGACTCGAAAGGACGCTTTTACCCTTCATTTTGACAGACAAATTGACAGAGGTGGATGGCACGTAGGACCTAATTGCAACTATTTGTCCAGTTAAAGGATATACTTGGCAGTGGCACACAAAAAAAGTTAACTTACCCAATTGCAACCGGGGGCCAAGTTCAGGGACGTCTACAGTAGATAATCCTTAACTAAACTATAAATGGAGGGATTTCTCACACATATTACTAGGGGTTCGAACTTGAAACTACTCATGTGCAAGTCAATGCTCTTTTTCACTGGGTTAGACTCTGTTGGCCATCACTAAGAAGAAAACTTGCTCTCATATAGCTCATATGTCATTCATATAATATCTCAAATATCTTCAGTAAAGGAATGCTAGTTACATTTCACTTTTGCCTTCTCGTTCCTATGTTTCTTATTCAATTTGTGTTATGTGTATTCTATTCATATATAAATCTATATGTTTAATGTGTTCAAAAGCCAAATTAACACTTTGCATTTGATGTATGACGAAATATAGGTCAATTACGATGTGAAAAATTAATTAAAAAGTGGCTCAAAGTTGGAAGGAAATCGTGCAAGAGAGAAAAATTTCAATTAAATGTCAATTATAGCGCTAGGAAAATAAGGAAGGCAATTGTTGGGATTTTCTAATTGATTGAGGAAGTTTGAAGCAATTATGATTATGTCAAGATTTGTATTTAATTTAATGTTTTATTTTATATTTTGAAGAATAAGTTATCTATTAGGATAATTTTCCTAACATGATCTTTATTATTAGCTAAGTTTAGGAATATTTTAGAACTTAAGGTTTCCTACGGTTTTATGATTTCTTTGTTTTCTATTCAAACCAACTCATGACGTTGTATTGGTAAGTTATTCATTTTATTTTCAATCAATATATTTGAGGTTTACTCAATTTCTCATATAGATTCCAGTTGTTAATGGATTCCGATATTGTCGATGCGTCAGTATTACATAAATCAATATATGAGTGAAATAAATTTGACATAAAGTGAATGAGAAAGACGAAAACAGAAATACAGAACAAAAGGTAGGTAGAATTCATCTATCAAGTATGAGACACCCGTCAATAAAACAAGTGTAAATAATTTTTTTTACTTGTCATTTTTTGCAATGTCATTTACATGATGATATACCAAGTGTCCATCGTAAAACGGATATAGACAAACTTTTCTCTAGTTGAGGAGATATGTGTTGCGCTTCTTGTGGGAGTTTAGGTCCCATGCTGTTATGCTATGGAGTGATAGAGCTTTTTGGTTTGTTTGTTTTTTTTAGTTTTTGGGTCCACCGATTGACCAATTTAGGCCTCACACCCTTACGCCATCAGAAGAAACGTTTGGCATTTGCCTTCTTCTTCTGTCTAAGCAAATTTGATGTCATAACACTTACAGTCGACACAATAATTTTTTTGGGAGTTTCACTAAAACACCCAAAATGGGGGTTGAAATTATAAAAAACTCAAGCACTATTTAAACATATAAACACACCCAAAACCCATCATTACACACATTCAAAACCCATTTATAAACACACCCAAAAAGTTGACTTTGGGGTTAATTTTGGGTGTGTTTCTATGTTTAAATAGTGCTTGGGTTTTTTTTATAAATACATGTATAGGATTGGGTTTATTTATAAATTTGTATATTTTTTTTCTTCTTTTTGAGTATACTCAAATTACAGCATGAAACTACGAGGACAACCAACATCCCAACAATCAAAATTAAAGCATTGGGATAGCAGAGAGAGAGAGGAAGAAAACATGTCCATATATATAGAGCATTCATAATGGGCTTGTTAACTCCAGCCATACTCCTTATCCATCTCATAAAATAGGGAGACCTCTACGAGCTCTTAAATCTAAGAAGGGATAAATAATTTTTAGTAGTTCCCTACAATTTAATGAGTATTTCAAACTTATAATTAATGCTAATTATTTTTTATATTATTTTAAAATAGAGATGGACCAATTAAAAAAGAGTTATAACATTTATGATTCTCTAAATTAGGGAGCATGATTGGGTTTAAATTTTATAGAGAGCTCCTAAACTAACTTTTATATGTTTTTAGCTAAATTTTAACTAAAAAATAGAGAGCATGATAGCACAAATTAAAATAAACTAAAGGTAAAATCTAAATAAACGACTTATAAGCAAAAATTACTTAAGAAATAACCTTAACTATGTATTTAACATAAAAACTACAATTTTGATGTGTAACGAATCTAATCGTCATATTTGAAAATCTTAATCACAATGAAAATAGTAAAACCAAAAAAAGATTTTGTAATTTCACATAAATGACATCAACCAATAAACAACCCACATGCCGTATGATATTTTGAGTTTTTTTTTGTTTTTTTGGGAATGATATGTGATTTTAAGTTAAATCACTATAGTGGAAAATGTAACATGCAATTTTTTGATAAGAAAATTGAAAAACGAAACGACAGAATTGCAATAGGCCCCAAATATGAATTACAAACTTGATACACTAGGCAAATCTTGGGGTCCATTTCGACCCAAAAGAGAAATCAAATTTGGGTCGGTCAATGGTTTTCAACTTAAACCCATTGTTATCTGACAGGCCCATAATTCTTCTAACTGTTCTTCATTTAGAGAAGATCAGTAATTATATTTTAAGAAAGTGTGAGGGGCTGCCCCTTGCAATTGTAGCAGTCAGTGGTGTTTTGGCTACCAAAGACTTGTGTTTGTTTCATCAAGGCAAACAAAGATGGTGGTGCCACTGCCATAATAAGAGAGCTGGGGAAACTAGTTCAGTTGAGAAGGTTAGGCATTGTACAGATGAGGAAAGAAGATTTAAAGGTTCTTTGTTCATCCATTGAAAAGCTCAGCAAACTTTGTGCATTGTCCATAACTTCAGTAGAAGAGGATGGGATCATTGATTTGCAGCACCTTTCTTCTTCCCCTCTCCTGCTTCAGAGGCTGTACTTACAAGGACGATTGGAGACATTACCTCACTGTATACCTTCTCTGCATAGCATTGTCATGTTACGTTTGAAGTGGAGTAGGTTAAAGGATGATCCACTTGTATTCCTTCAGTATTTGCCCAATCTAGTTCATCTTGAGTTATCTCAGGTGTTTGAAGGAGACAGTATTTTTGGAGCTGGAGGTCAGCAGGTCGACATCATGCAAGATGGAGGAGCTTGTTAACTCTTGAGTCTAGAGCATTAACATTTCTTCTCAAGATTTTTCTGGAAGCTTAAGGAATCTGAAACAATACTGACATCACAAAAGTAAACAACTCTTAGGAATTGCAGTTGACGGGAATTCTGAATACTTAACTGCGTTTAGCAATTTTTCTCAACTGGCAGCCGCTTGATACTAGACTGAGCATCCAGATGCCCTCATATCAGCAGACAGTAGGATGAATCCTTGATTTCAGCATAAGTAATTGGTACAATGGAAGGCCAAAGCATAAGCTATGCAAGACATGCACATAGGGTATAATGAAACAAATGTTAAGCATACAGCTGCAACGCTAGACTGTCTATGCCCTTCATTTCTTCATGCAACCTGCCAAAAAAGGAAAATCAATGTTTTCTTATGCTGCAAAAGCAAACATGGGGGTATCTCCCAACAAAAAGAGAAAAAGTTGCCTAAGTTTAATTCCTCTCCATCCTAAACTAAGAAAGCACCCAACAGATACTAAGACTCAAAGTTACTGAGATAGTCTTCTATCAGTGCTGCATCGGCAGATTTGCTCAAAAGAAAACAAAGTTAAAAACTTCCTTTTGAGAAAGTAGTCATGTGGCCAGTCATCGTAAGGATGTGCGCCACACGTTACTAGCAAACATCTCACTGAATTACTCGTACAGACTGCAAGAATACTTTTCTAGATGACATGCATTACTTGTTAGTAGGAAATAAAGATACTGAGAAAACAAACGGCATGTTAGATACAGGGGCGGCCTTGGGGTGGTGCAAGTGGCGCCACCGTACAGGACCCCCAAAAAAAATTTCTTTATATTATATATATTAATATTGTAAGCATTGTATATATAGTACAGCGTGCTAGATAATTGCATAAGAATGTGTCTGGTGGAGTTGGCTCCAGCGCTGTCCATTTAACGAAGTGCTAGAGTTTGAATCTCATTGATGTTGGTTTATTTGCTTGTTTTTATAAAAAACAGAAAGCCTTTAAATAAGAATCTCATTGATGTTGGTTTATTTGCTTGTTTTTATATTATTTTTGCATTATAACTAAAAACTTTACGTAATTAAATTAAAAAAAAAAAAAAAAAAAAAAAAAAAAAAAACAAACAATAAATAAAATTTTTTTAAAAATAGAAAAGTGGTTATATTATTTTTGCATTATAACTAAAAACTTTACATAATTATTAAAATTACCAAAAAAAAAAAACAGAAAACCTTTAAATAAAAGGAAACATCAAAGTTAACCATTGGAAAAAAAAGAAAGCCTTTAAATAAAAGGAAACATCGAAGTGGGTATATTATTTTTGCATTATAACTAAAATGGAAACATTTAAATTTTTATGAATTTGATTTCTGATTATCATTACATATATATTGATGGTGACTTTTAGTTATAAAAAAAAATGTTTATGACATTAAGTTATGGAAAATTTTTATTTATAGTATTTTCGTATTAGATTATGTGATGCCCCAATTTAAGTTTCGCACAAGGCCCTCAAAATCTCAGGGACGGCCCTGGTTAGATAGTCCGATTGATGTCGGGGATCAAATTATATTAAGAACAAGAAATGGTTATTGTAGAAACCACAATTCATTAATCACAGTTATTGCAGACATGTTCATATCATATTATGCATAAAAAGTTTTGAGTGATCCCACCATATTCAAAGCCATTTCCATTTTCTGGTATCTATTAAATGGTAAGAGAAGGTGATCAAAGCCTTCAATAATACCTGAGACATGAATTTATATACCGATTTCCCTTGGTAGCAGAATCAACCACTGAAATAGAAAATTCAAGAACATTGTTATCTTTCAATTATTCACAAGTGAGAATTAATAGCAGAATCAAGCATAATCAGAATGTTCATTTTTACACAAACACATACCGGATTCTTGAAGGCAGCCTGCAGCGTCGCTAAAGCAATGCGCATGTGATCAACCAAGTTGCTAGTGACCTTCATTTCCCTTCATCTGTTAACTTTAGTTAATCTATAGGATCTGAGCCCCCGCCAAAAAGAAAACTGTTAACCGGAGGGCATTTTTGCGTTTTATTCTTGGGCGCAAGAGGCTTCCAGCCCAAATAGTTTTGCAAATAGAAAATGAAAAGCATTTTTGCTTTTTTTAACTATTTATTAAGACCTTTATTCGTCTCTTCGAACGGAGCCCAGGTTGAATCTGCTCCCTTGCAGCTTCCAACTAGAGGGTACGAAATGTCAAAATTTTCCAATTTAACATTTAAAAAAGAATAATAAATTTTAAAAGTTAAGGTTAATATCATGTGGTAAATGGTTATTTAGTTACCATATTACTAATATGGTCACTAAGTAACCATTTACCACAAACTTTTCCTCTCACAGTCACCCTACTTTTTCTCCAAATACGTCTATTGTTATTTGCAGTAACTTGATAATTTTGATCATGATTTATAAATAGGGTTGACATCATTTTACTATCTCCATTTTTGCCCTCTTTGATTGTTAAAAAAAGAGTTGTTCATTGGACTCCTTTGCTAAAAACTTCCAAAAATAAATGAATAGAAGGTAGGTTAAAAGATTATGAATTTGAATGCAATTTCTCTGTCCCATCTATAAGGTGGCTATCTAGCTATCAAAGGGATCACAACACAAAAGCTATGCCATATCTAGGTCTAGGGGTTATTTAGTCCATACCACTTTAGCAATATACGATTTTAAAAGCCATCTTGACACAAACTATTCCATTTCAAACTCCATCGTTCAAATCATTTCACCAAAGAAAAACAGAATGGTCAAAGAAAAATGCTTCCTCTGAATTTTTATGAAACAGCACATATGAGAACATGATGGAACCGCAACAATTTCATGTATATAAAAATCCCTCAAGGGAATTGTTTAGCATATGAGAGAGATCGAATCGAAAAGCAACTAAGGATATCCAATGTTTCTGCCAAAAAAAAAAAAGGTTCTCCTACAATATCATTAGCTCCATTGCATTCATCACCTGGTGACTCTATAGTTCTACAAAACCAAAGAAAAGCTTGATTGAGTTTTCCTCCAAATAATAAATTGATAACCTAAGGCAACTTTGAACTAATAATTCTGAGATATGTAATGAAGAAAACAAAATTTTATCTACAGGCAAAACCAGAAAATACCTTGACACTTTGCAATAGCTTTTTGGCAGTTTTGTCATTCTTGAAGTGTGCGCGTACAGGCTGCATTCAGGAAAAACAAAGTTAAGCCTACCTCCAGTATTTTGTTTAAAATGAGAAGAACATGGCATATAAAAAACAAGCCTACCTCCAATATTTTGTTCAATGCTTTTGATAAAGCTGATTTAAGGTCAGCTGGATGTAGCTCACCACTTTCATAATCAGCAGCCAATTCTTCAAAGCTTTTGAAAGTCCTGTATTGGGGGGAATGCGCAAAAGGAACAATTACAACCAACATGAGATTCAATTAGGTAACAAGCAAAAGTTTTTTAAATCAATTATTTTTACCAGTATAAATCTAAAGTCACTCACTTATTTCCGCCGTTCTTTTCAGAGCGTTCTACAATGAACTCATTGAACCAAGGTAGGATGAGATACTTCACATACTCCATACATGGATTCCCTTCAACAACATTTGGAGGGCAGTAAGCTTTCTTTATCTTCAAATTCACTTCAGCCTGAGATTCAGTGATACATGTCAAAAAATAGAATAAACATTTGGTAGCATACATTGAAAGCTAAAACCCGTAGCTTAAAACAACCCACCTCTTCATCTTCCATGAATATGGAGGACGATACATCACTTTTAGACATCTTCTCCTGCCCTTGCTTCAAACCAGGTAACATGTCTGCAAATCATCAGTAAGAAAAATTAACAAATACTGTGTAAGTACTCTCATGTTAAAGCATAAAACAATAGCATTGCAACAACATAAATAGGAATTAGAATATTACGGTGTGACAAGATAATAGGCTTGTTCTTCTTCTTGATGTCATCACAGTACTCTCTTGCAAGAACATTTACTTTACGCTGATCCATTCCCATCTGACAGATGTCCGCCTATTAAAGGAAAAACATTTCACAAGTCACCATGACATATTCATTGAAATTGAACATCGAAATTTTTTTTCTTTTCTTTTGATGAGAAATAAAACATGTATCAAATTAGAAAGTGATGAACAATGCTCGAATTAAATGCATCATGGCCTAAGTGCACCTATCATATACTTCGTGCATACATAAAAACTAGCATCATTCCCTCACTAATCAGTGCAATATTTAGCAAATGATGAAGCCAAATCTACAGTATGTCACAACATAAGGCAACATGGGAGACAAAACCTATTAATAAAATATCCAAAATTAAAACAGCAAGCACCTGAAGGAAGAATATATCTGCACATTGCATGCATGGGTAGAAAATTTGGGATGCATTTATGTCACCTGGCTCATTTCGACCCATAATCTGACCACACCTGGATATGTAGAAGGAAAAAAATATATAAGTCGAGATTCAACAGATGTAATAGGCACAATAAGCATCATAATAGGCTAGCTACCTAGTCATCCTGTTAACTGTATACTTTCGAGCTATGTCCATCACACGAGGCCAATACTCATGTGATCTCGCATTAATCTCCTTTGAAGACCACACAAACTCAACTTTGCCATTGTCCAAATTCATCCCAGCAGCCTTCCATATCTCTATCATGTAGCGCCCAACAGTCTCTATCTTTTTCAAATCAACCCCCATCTTATTGTTTAACTGTGCAAACCAATCTGCAATCCATATTTTCACTCTGCAGCCAGCGGAGGTCATCTTGTTCACATTTATCGTCTTCATAACTCCCTACACAACAACACATTTGAACCTCACAAAATTAACAATGATATAATGAAAACATGCGGCCCCTTAAATTTCTTACTACAATTATTCTTTCAAAACACAAGAAAGTCCATTGCAATCCAAATAACTAATACACGAGAAGAACACACTGCATAATCTCAATTTGAGTACCTTCTCTCCACAAAATGTATCAAATCTTGTTCAAATTGAACTACTGAAATTTACAGATATATAAGCAATATGAATTATGTGTTATGAATTTTATGATTGCTAAAAAATTTGAAATAACACCTGAGCAATGTGCATTCGACCGGAGGGTTCAAACCCATCATAGCAGATGGGTTCGGGCTTATGAGCCAGCAAATTCCGAAGCTCGTCATCCTGAATACACTCCTCTGCCACGCTCCTCACCATCTGGTACTTCTCCTCCAAACTCATTCTTCACCAAAATCACACCCACAAGTTTGAAATAAGTTCAGATCAACGGAAAATAATAGGAACTATAAGAAAAGCAAGAGAAGCTTACTGGATAGCTGGATTTGATGGGCTTAGTGTGGGAGCTTTCCCAAAAGCTTTGTAGGTATACCTAGGGCATGTTTGCTTAGCTTTGCAAACAAATCAGCAATCCATATTTTCACTCTGCAGCCAGCGGCGGTCATCTTGTTCACATTTATCATCTTCATAACTCCCTACACAAAAACACATTTGAACCTCACAAAATTAACAATGATATAATGAAAACATGCCCTTAAATTTCTTACTACAATTGTTCTTTCAAAACACAAGAAAGTCCATTACAATCCAAATAATCAGTACAGAGAATAACACACTGCAAAATCTCAATTTGAGTACCTTCTCTACAAAGTATTATATCTTGTTCAAAATCAACTATTGAAATTTACTGATCAATCAACATCAATTATGTGTTATGACTTTTATGATTGTAAAAGAAAATTTGAAAAAACACCTGAGCAATATGCATTCTACCGGAGGGTTGAAACCCATCAGAGCAGATGGGTTCGGGCTTATGAGCCAGCAAATTCCGAAGCTCGTCCTCATGAATACATTTTTCTGCCACGCTCCTCACCATCTGGTACTTCTCCTCCAAACTCATTCTTCACCAAAATCACACCCACATAACCCACACAAGTTTGAAATTAAGTTCAGATCAACGGACAAATTTAGAAACGACAAAAAAACGATAAGGAAAGAGAGAGGAACTTACTGGATAGTTGGACTTGAGGAACTGGACGGTGGAGGCTCGGAAATTGAAAGAGATTGGATTCCATCGGCTGGCGGGGCTTGCTCTGGTGCTTCGGTCGCCATTGGAGAGGTAAGTGTGAAGCTTTCCCAAAAGCTTTGTAGTGTATATCTAGGGCACGTTTGCTTGTTAGACAAGACACGGGATTGGCGTTATTTAAACGACGGCCTGTACTAGGCAGGAATGTAAAACCTTTGTCAAACAAAGTAGGGTAAATATTTAATTATGCTCATATTTGCTTATATTATACCTTAAATAAAATGGAAAATATGTCTAAATTATAATAAGAAATAAATTTTAATTATAATATAAAATAAATTTTAATTATAATTGGACTAGACAAATAGGTAAATAACTAAAATGCTAACATAATAAGGAACCAAAATTTTAACTAATTGTCTGTTTGGCATTGCTTATTTTGGGTTATAAGTGATTTTTTTTAAATTTTGAGAAGCCCAGCCTGTTTGGTAAACTATGAGAAAATCACTTATTGTTAAAAATTAATGTGAGAGAAAGCTATAAGGAAGAGCAGCTAATGAGATGCTTTCATTTTCTGATTATGCCGGAATCAGTTTCGAAGAGGCACTGGATCTAATGATTATACAGTAATTATTTTCTGATTATGCGGGAATCAGTACCAACAATATTTTTAACAAAAAGTTTACCAAACGTCAAACTACTTTATTTCACAGCTAATTTCTCTCACAGCAAATTTAACGGCGATTATTTTTACAGCACAACAATGTCAAACTGATCCCAAATAAGGACTCGCCAACAACCTAGATGTAGGATTAGAACCGTAGTCAAATCTTGGGTCCATTTCGACCCAGAAAAAAGGTCAAATTTTTGGGTCGGTCCATGCTTTTCAACTTGAACCCACTATTTTCTCTGACAGACAGGCCCATAATTCTAACTCTCTTCGTCTTCTTCATCGCATGAGCAAAGGGCGCGCCTCAGATCCTCTCTCATCTCACTTTGGCGCTTGATGCTTCCCTGCCTGTGGTATGTTTTGACTGCCCTTCTCTCTCTCTTTCTCGCTTCTCTCTCTCTCTCTCTCTCTCTCTCTCTCTCTCTCTCTCTCTCCGCAGGGGAAAGAATAAAAACCGACTGGGATATTATTTGATTGGGAACTTCGGGATTTTGGGTTGGAATTGATTGAAACTGATTTCAGATTTGATTTGGCTTTTGCTCACCTTTTTGCTTGTTTAATTTTCCGCAGCTGCAGCACTGTTTGGAAAAATATAAATCAACCATTTGATTCAATTTCTCTACTTTTGAAGTCTCTGGGGGAAGCCATTGGAAGCTTTGTTTTAGCCCTCTTCTTCGTCAGGTAACACTCTCTCTCCCCTTTTGGTTTTATTTGCTGGTTTTTTTAATTATCTATTTTTCTGTTTTTATTTCTTTTTATTATTTAGAATTCGCAGTATATGAAGTGGAGATTAATTTGTGTTAAGCAAGTGGACATGTGGCAATAGTGTGAGAGGGAGAGATGGGTAAATGGAAAATGGGCAAACTTTGATTTGAGAGGAACTAATTCAACCACCAATATCGTTAGGAAAATTTTCCCGGAAACCCCGAGAAACGGAAAGAAATTCCCAGGAAGATGAGCAGTGACCACACAAACCCACCGGGACTGGTCGTCTCCACCACCGAACCCATCCTTTCATTCCTCACCTCTGCCTCCACAGACCCACACCTCTCTCAGGAACTCCAGAAAATCGCTTCCAATCTCTCCTCCAAACCTAATGTTCCGTACAAGTCTCTCCGAGCTCTCTGGCTCGCGTCCAATGCCTCCACCAGGCCCCAGTTGGTCCAACTCTTCTCCGGATCCGAGTTCGTCCTCACCAGCCCCAAACCCAGAGAAAAGGTGAGGACACAAAACACCATATTACCTTTTTTTCTTTTTCTTGTTTGCCTCTAATTTCTGGGGATTACAAATGAAATGTAAAGTTAATTGTTCTTATTGTGTTTTAGAGTGAGGAGCTGAAGGCTAGACTTCAGAAGCTGGCTGAAATTCTGGAGAGGAATGCATATGCAGAACTTGTGAAGGATATTACACCTAAGAAAGAGACCAATGAGCCTTTCTCTTCTTACAAGGATCAATTGGGCTTTGGTAAGATTAAAGAGTTTATACATATCTTACATGATATTTTACTGCTTGGTTCAGAATGCTATTACTTGTGGCCATTGATACCCCTTTCCATTTTAAATTCAATGGACATATTGAAAAGAGTTTCAATTTGTAGTATTGATTGGTGCACTGATGGCAATCAATTTTTATGTGAATGCATTTAAGGGGAATGGATGCCAAACTATGAACAGTTTGGAAGCGAGATGGTTGATACTAGTTGGTTTACTGGAATATGACATGATATAAGAATGTTGCTTCATATTTCGATCAACTTTTTGGTTGTTCTGAAATTCTAGAATTATGACAATTGGAGTGAAGGGAGCATGGTTGTTTTGTATGCAAAAAATGTGAGGACGGTTTGAATTTCATATGGTAATTGATTGCATCTAAATGATGCTCATTGGACTCTTTTTTTTTTTTTTTTTTTTTTTTTTTTTTTTTTTGGTCTTAGACTCTTGATTGCACTCAAAGGTAGGATGTCTGTTCGATTTTCATGCAAAGATCAAACAAATTGCAGTATCCAAACTTGTGATGTTTGTGATGCCAAGCATGCATAAGTACGGGGAAAAAAAATGTTGTATGATGTTCTTAGTGTTTTTGTTGTTGCATTTGGCATTTGTCGAGTTTTCTGTCTTCATAGCAAATCTAGATGTTTTCATAAGCTTAAGGAATTATGTTGCAGAAGTTGACTGGAAGTTTCGTGTTTTTTGGCAGTGTGGTCACTCTTATCAGTTAGCACTTGTATGATGAAATCAAATTTTTTTTACTTTTCTTTCGTGTATATTAGCTAGACATTTTAATGGCCTTTACTTTCTATCATATTGCAGTTTAATTTTTGCTTGCCATTATCTTATTCCCAGTGGAAGATATTGCAAAATCAGAAGGGGGAGTTGAAGATTTTCTTTATGCTTTAGTTGAAACTTGAAACTGGATTGAAGGCAGTGCAGGCTCCCTGGCCAAGAAGATTTGCTTCGTTGGAAACATTTTCTTTGGGAATTTATTAATATAGTTTGCTTGCATATTTCAAACTCTCTTTGCATTTAAATTAAACCCTTTTGAAATTTATTCCGCTTATTTTCAAATAGAGTTGGGTGGTTTCATATCTATTACTATGATTTAAATTTGTTTTGCTTGCCCTCTAGTAATGCTTGATTTATACTCTTTTAGTTTCTCCCTTTTTGTTCTCTATGTTCTGTAAATTTTGTGTTTATTTTAGATCGTTTCTTAGAAAATATGTATTGGATGTTCCGATGATAATCAGTCAAAAACTTCTACAGGTTTACATGTTGTGGTGACTATGTTCACTGGCTATTTGGTAGGATATGCTGCATTCAGAGCCTTGTTTAACCACAGTCCCGTGATGGTATGTGTCTCCAAGAGACCATTTTCTATTTGTGAATTTCTTTTTTGGTTTCTTGGTAAAGCCTTGGTGGTTTATTGCTGGATTTTTATTTGTCTAAAAGTTCTTTTGTGTCTTTCACTTTTTCTACTGTTATAGAAGTTAATGGCACTCTTATTTTCTTGTTTCAGAATGCTGCTGGAGGCATTCTTGGATTGGTAGTTAGCCTGCTCGTAGAAACACTTATTTTCATAATTAGAAGTTCTGGTCAAGATCTTAGATCATCTTCTTCCACACCCAAGCTCAAGAAGAATCAGTGACTTGGTCTTTAGAGGTTAGAAAACTTTATTGAACAATATAAGATCTGAACAATACTATATACTTTGTATATTTTCTTATCGTATCATTCTAAATATCTGAACAATAAAGTACAGCAACCTTACGTGTAGCTTTATTGTTGACTTCATTATTCCTATTAGCATGATTGTGAAGCTAGGTAGTGTCATGTATTAGCTTTTAGAAGTTAAGTAGTTGACAGATTAGGATAAGCTTCCAGTTTAAGGCCGGCAATGGCAGTACATGTAAACGGAGTATTTAACAAAGAACTGAAACAGATTATTCCTTTCACGTTATAAGGGTTAGCATGGGCAGCCTTACATCCTAACCTGTTAACTTCCGAGCTGCCTGACAAATCATTAACAACTTCTTAGTTCTAACAACGAATGCCTGCTATTGACTAATTCGATAACCATGCTAACATGGATACTGTCATACTGATATAAGTAAGGCTTAATCGTTTTATTAGTCCCTGAATTTAGACCCGATTTGCATTTGAGTACCTCAATTTCCAAAATGGTTCCCGTGGTTCTCTAACTTTAGTTTTGTTTGGACAAATGGTCATGCCGTCAATTTTGTTAACTTTTTCTGTTAAATGCTGGGGCAAAATGGTATTTTTATATTAAAACAAAAAAAATGAATAAAAAATCATCTTTAAAATAACAATAAAAGGAAATCAAATAAAAAACCAACATAAAAAAAGAAAAGGAAAAATCAAGTTTGGGGGGGGGTAGAAATCGGGATCGAGGGGGAGGGAGAGAGTTTTATTTTATTTTTTTAGTATTTTTTAATTTTTAATTTTTATTCATATTTTAATCAATTTTGATACAAAAATGCTGCTGACAAATAAGGTTACAGTCAATGTTACAAAAGTGATATCTTTCTGATCAACTGTAGTATATTATCTTGAAATATAAATTTTGAGGATCATGAAGAACTGTATACGGATGTGAAATGTCTATGTGCAGTGTTAAGACTTGATATATTGAGCAGAATTAATATGAGAAAAACTCATATACTTGAAATATCAGGTATATCCATGTACTCGTAGAGCTGTCACTCTGATTTGCCGGAAGCCTGATTGATAGTATGGATATTTCTTGAATTTCTGAGCGTAGCTTTTTGGGGCTGATTACCAGGTGCTGCTGGTTTTACACATCGTGGGCAACCCCTAAAAATCAATGTATTATAGTGGATTTTTTTTTTGAAATGTTTTTATTTACTTTGTTGGGTGTAAAAGAGATCGAAGGGGAAACGGGTGCCGACTCTTCTGAGTGTGGAGGTAAATGGTCTCTCCAACTAGAGCTACAGGCTCCGACGACGTAGTTGATATTTTTCTATGTTGCCTGATTTCTATGTTGAGTGTCATCTTCACTGTTGAATTGAAGAATTTGTGAAAACTTAAATATTCAATTGGATATTGGACTTGAGAAGATTCCCTCGAGTACTTAGAAGAATTGATCTGAAACAGCCCTTCATGATTAAAACATAATTAATTTCAAATCTCACATCTTAGAGGGGAAATTGTGTACATGCCGCTGGTTTATATTCAAATCTTTGGAGAAAAAACAAATAATATCTCAGGAGAACCTACAAAACCTTCATTGTCAGGTGTGCGATTAGCAGTGGCCAACTTGCCGTTGTCCACCGCTATTCACCAGAATCACTATATTCAGATTATGCATAAGTATATGCTTGCTGATAGGGGGTGATTGACTCAATACAATTTTGCTGATGTGGTTTAATCTTACTCATAAGATTAATCGAATGGTTAAGATTCCTTTAAATGCGTATAAATGCACTGATGCTAAATTTTAAGGCTCGGAATCCCGTTCATTACACCATGATTAAATGCTAAATGTAATACGACATGATCCGTATAACTTGTTTGTTAAACCATTTAGGTTGAATGGGTTAACTGTGTACATCAACTGTATATTTAGGTTAAATAGTTTTCGTTTAAGTTACTAAATTAATTACTGGTTAGATATAGATTGCCGACGTATCTAAAATATTAGCATGATAAGATAAGCACTTTAAATAATTAAATCATGTGTTGCCATAGACCCTGGCTGAAGACGACGAACGAGCAAATACCGGCTATCGTAATCTGGCATTGTCAAAGAAAAAACACACTCATAATTAAAAAATAATGCTAGATTAATTGATGCTTATCATAATCTGGGAGACTTTTGCAAAAAAAACGAAAAGATAAACCACTTGAGAAAAAGAAGATTAGATTGATTTTGACATGTACCATTAAAAAGTCGACCAATCTTCCTTGTCTTTTTCTTAGATGATATAACAGATAAGGTGCATTTGTTTTGTTTTAATCCCAACTCACATCACATGATGTGAATAAAGTTAGCTTAATGTCAAAAATATCATGTAGGAAAAACTGGTAGACCCAAACGTGCCTGTTTTACCTATAGTGGTTAACCACATGAACTATTTGCACAACTGAAAGCCGACATTTTCTGTGGGTATTTTACCAAATACGGTCGCCCGTTTGTCTTCGTTGTCCTTATCAACTGACACAATCAAGTGTCGAGGTTTGTTTGTGTGTGATTATCCAAATTAAGATTAAAAAATGAGGGATTAACTTCTGGGTTAATTTTTCCAATAAAAAGTTTCTCTTCAAATTCCTTTGTCGACAGTCACTTTATTCTTGTAACTTTTCAAGTTGTATATGACTTATTAGACACTTTTATCATTTACTTTTACATTTTCAATTGCATTCTAAAAAATGAAATACTTTTTAAATCTTAGATATTACAAAGCTCAAAGATACAAGTGAATTTCATAAATGACATAATGAACCTTACCTGCCAAAATGTTATTTCAGACCTATCAAAGGTTTGTGCTTCTTTTTTATTTTATTTTAACAAAGTTATATTATACACTAAATTAATCTAATTTATAGAGAGGGAGATTTGAATTTGGATAAGGGGGAGGAGCTCATTGCCCTGACGAACTAACCTGAAAGGGTTTGCTACTTAGAATTGCTACCTCTGTCTTTAGAGCATCTCCAAGGAAAGAGGTAAAAGAGTAGGCAAACCTCATTTGTCTTGCCTCATTAGCAGTTTCATGCTTCGAGAGAAGAGGCAAATGAGTAGGCAAAATATAATAGTAAATATAAAAGATAAAAATAAATAATATAATAATAATTTATAGACTTACATTGCCTAGTTCCTTAGAGTGATCAATTTTTTTTATGAGGCAAATGAGTAGGCAACATATTACTTAAATTGTTATAGTACAATTTTACTTATTTCATTTGCCTACATCCTTGGAGTTGCTCTTAGTATTCGGCTTTGGCAAGGATCATCATTGTTCTTAGGAATTGCCATATAGAACGCGTGGTATTGCACCAAACTAATGGAAAATTATCAAATGATATCACATGGGACCACAACTCCACATGGAGTATAAACAGGTAGGCCCTATCCCGAAGTTACATTGGATACGTGGACGAGAGGGAAAAGCAGTGTTGCAAGTGTATCGGGAATGAGTGGGTTCTGACCCAAAAAATAAAAAGGAATGAGTGGGGAAGAAAAGAACAAGGGAGACAGAAAAATAAATGGCACAGGGGGATGGATCCCTATTTCTTGCGAACAAATTACGGTATCAGGTTAGAGAAGCAAACCCATCGTTTTTTCTTTCGTTTTTAATACAAGGCATGTAAGTGATAGTCGAAATTGCATGAAAAATTGGGGTTTTCGCACATGCATTATCAAGATTTTACAAAACTACTTTTTTGCTTCTTTAGTTGTCCGCCTTTTATATAGTTGTGTCGTTGTTATGTCTTGTTGTACGCTATGCCTTGCTATTATAGACTCTGTATTTCTCTTGACTTTTTACCTACTTGTTATGAAATTCTATCTTTCAGACAGATTATAAAAAACAAAAAACAAAAAACAAAAGAGACTCCGTTGCTTTTTTAACTTTTTAATTTTAATAAATTTGAGAAAGTGTCTTTTTAATTTAGTGGTTTGTCTCTTACTAAAACAGCATGGCCCAGGGGATGGGAACACAGAAACTATGCCAAACCATATGCGGCCAAACCGTATGCCGCCTCACCCATTCCTAACGTGGTATTTCGGTTACTTTTTATTATAGAGGTGGACAATCTGGGATGGGGTTACTGTCTCTGTCCCATTGCCATTGGGATCTCATCGATTATCAATCAATGGATGGTTTACTTTGTTTCGCTCAATACACAGTAAATTTGCATCAATTAGTTCTTGATTAAGTGATACTTATATTCGTAATATTCGAACATATTTAATGTACAAATCTCTTTTCTACATTTTAATATAAATCTGTTTACCGAAATTAGCTTTAAGTGATCGAAGTTTCTCGCACATAAGCAACTCGTGGTATAGGTAGGTATAGATTATGACACTATTTAATCAAAATCTCATTATATGCAAATTGCAATGGATGATACCTATCACTTCCATCCTTGTAACGTTGCTCGGAACATATGCTTGTGCCTTGAAAAATGTCGTCCTATGTTTCCATCAACCATAGTTGGCAATCCGAAGATAGTTCTCGTGGAAAGGCACCACTAGAATTAACAAAATACACTTGATGCCCGCTTGAGCCTCAGGTTCAAGACTAGGACCAAACATTAGAGCATTGTTTTTCTTCCAAACTAATCTCTCTGCTCAAAGAAATGGCAAATCGATGAATTTTTCTTATTTGAGGCAAGTAGGGCCGGTCCTGAGTTTTCAAAGGTCCAGGGAGAAAATCTAAAGTGTGCCATACACACATTAATCACTAATACTAGTATACTTCTTGTTTTATCAACTAAGCATTTGGTTTTTGAGAAAGTATTTATTCGAAAATATTTTTAGACTTTGAGCAATGTTTTCCATATTCCTAAATAATGAAAACAAATGTCCAACTATGGATACCATAACAGTGAGTCAAAGAATTTCAAGAATGCAAGTCAAGCCAATATCAAAGAATTTCTTTTAAAACTTTCGTCATGGATCATTTGTTCTAAAATTTCAGATTCATCTCAATATCCTATTCCTAAATTGTAGACCAAATCGATCGTAGCAAGAAAGTAAGTAAATTGAGAGTCAAATATATTTTGTTTCACCAATTGCATTACGTAAATATAGTGATTAACTTGAGAATAAAAAAGAAAATAAACCAACAATTTTTAACTCTTAAACTGCTACAAACACCAAATTGCTACATTACTAAATTGTAGTGTTATTTGATTATTTGATAACGTAATGGATTTGATTCATCTGCTTAGATTTTCACATCGTTTGAGTAAGCTGTTTGGACAAGAAAAAAATGGTTTAAGACACAGTCCGTACAAATGGGACCCACAAGATTTGTCCCGACACCTGCACTAAGCACTTGACACCGCCTAGTTTCGTTTATTACCCGATCACGCTCTTCCCGCCTATTCCATCGGAGTTGCCTACTCACTAGCCACCCTCACGTGCACCACCACACGTGTCCTCATCTCGTAGGACCCCAAGTCAACTCCGTCAGCGCATCCAACGGTGCAAGACGAACTATATATATGCCTTCACGGGCCTCCACCCAAAAGCAGAAATTATAAACTCTCACTTTGCTCAACACTGGAAAAGTAAGCAAAACAAAAGCTTCATTAAGCAGTTATGGAAGCTGTAATGATCCAAACCGGTTCGATTTCGGCCCAGTCGCCGGCTGTGCCCGGTTCGCCCAGAGTGTCCCTCTCCCGAAACGACTCGCTGTCCAGCGTTTTCTCCGGCCCAAGGAGCACCGACGGATCTCCAAGGATCTCTCTTCATCTCGACGTCAATCACCGGAGAGATAAAATGATCCGGAGAGCTCGGTCGGACAGCGACATTCTCCGATCGGAGAATGATTTTGCCGCGAAATCGCCCGCTTTTCCAGCGGAGAAGCTACGGTTTCCCGGCGGAGATCGTGGAGTCAACGCTTTGTCGACCGTCGACGAAGACGAGCAGAAAAAGATCGGAGATTATTATCAGGAGATGCTAAAGTCAAATCCCGATAATCCTCTGCTTCTGAGAAACTACGGAAAATTCTTGCATGAGGTAATTAATTAAATTAATTATAGTTTTGTGGTAATAAAATTAGCGAGGAAATGAAATTTGACTTTCGATTTATGTGAATTGGATGACTGAAGGTGGAGAAGGATGTGGCGGGAGCTGAAGAGTGCTATTGCAGAGCCATATTGGCGAGCCCTGGAGATGGCGACTTGTTGTCGCTGTACGCAAAGCTGATCTGGGAGACGCATAGAGACGAGGAGAGAGCTCAGTCTTACTTTGATCAGGCCGTTTCTGCTTCCCCTGACGATTGGTATGTTATTTTTATCCATCTTTGCTTGGTTGTTAAAAATATACAAGTTACATGCAAACGCGAGTTTGTCAGGTTGGCCAAGGTAGTGAGCCCGTACCGTTGCACCCAAGTTCGAGTCTAGACTCTTACTTTTATAAAAAAAAGAAAAAAAGAAAAAGAAAATAGAAGTTATATTGTCGAGCCAGTCTAGACTCTGTTAAGATGTCGGTAGATCCAAACTTCCAAATGATAATAAAAATGAAATACAATCACATCAATTGTTAGTTAGATCCAAACTTTTGAGGTTTAATTTGATGTCTGTAACATTACTCGTTTTTGCATAGCCGAGTTTGATTGAACAGAGTGCATGAAATTTTGTTCGATTTCGAAACTTTTTCTTTTTGTTGAACGTAGTTTTCTTGTCAACCAAACATATATCACTACTTAATCCCATGATCAGACTAACTATATTATGAATGTGTATATGCAGCATGGTGTTGGGGGCCTTCGCTAGCTTCATGTGGGAAGCAGAGGAAGATGAAGAGGAGAATGAAGAAATCAACCCAAACGTTCAAGTTTCAGCAGCGCCAGCTCTGGTTCATGCCTTTTAGCTGAAAAATACTTGGTATGAAATCGCTACCGAATTTGTCACACGCCAAGGTAGATCGGGAAAAAAAGTTCATGAGAAATGGCTTTAACTAATTAACCTCAACATCAAGAAATAAAAAGCTATGTTAATTATATAGAAATGTAGCTAGCTAAGAGATAAAAGAGGTTCCATGCTCTTTTTCTCTGTGTTTATTTCATTTGCTTGTCTGCTTTCTTTCCTTGTAAATTTTTTATCTAATCTAATCTCCCTAGTCAAATGTGTACAAATATATATTTGTACGTTATCTTCCTCTATGGTGAAGACACTGCGATACTTTCTTTTTTATATTCTTGAATAATGTGACGTTCAATGAATGTATGATGTTCTTAAAAATCTGCTGTGAATATATGATATCAATGAAGAGAGCAAAAGTCCAACCAAGAAGGACGCATGAAAATCTGCTGTAAATATTGTTTGAATTTTCAAAACCTACTAGAAGGACCAAACGGTGCATATGAATCTAATTAATTTGCATACCTTGCTTAGAGACTCCAAGATTGAACTAGATGTGGATACTAGTATACTCAATTGTGTTTTTCTACGAGTCACCCTGATCAACTGCTGGAAATCCAAACTGAACATGAGTCAATTACAATTACTACAATTGATGCCATTAATTGCTTGGAGAATGTTGATGCCCAAAAAATCTAAGGCTGGGTTTAAATATATTTTTAGCCTAGTATGACGTTTAACTTGGGAAGAAACTTAACTTGGGCACGCAAGAATTCGTCATATACTCTTACACACGTGCCACGTCAAGAAAATAAGCAACACGTTACGTTACAAGCTTAAGTGGGCTCAAGTCACGCAAATGTCTGGGGTTTGCTGAGTGGGTTGTTGCATGAATGGTAACGAGTTTTCATGAGGCCCATTAATGAGCCGAGAAATGGAAGTTTTGGGCTGCTTGGGAGCTCCGAAACCCAAGCCCATTTCTTGAGCTCAAATATATGGATAAACATAAATGAGAGAAAATAGCCCAATAATTTAGGAAAAATAGCACAATACTCTGGAAATTAGCCCATTCTCTTAATGGGTTAACCCATCACCTTAGAATGGCCCAAATGACTTATAAAATATCTGAAAGTCTCCAGCACATGGCTGGAGACAAAACAACGACAAAAGCCAAAGGTTACCTATGTATGCAGGCTGCAGGGAATCCTCAGCATATGGCCAAAAACAAATCCAAACACAAGCTATCCAAAAAACCAAAGGATACTTAAGCAAAACACCTTTTACACCAGCGCCATTACCCACTCATTTCTCCTACCAGCTCTTGCCATGAAATAAGGGAGGAAATAAGATGAGATAGTAGCCAAAAATAGGAGTTTAACACTAAAGCAGCTGCGAGAAGGCCTTAGAGCTCCCAAAACTCTTGTCTTTGTGTGTTTGGACAAAGGAAGGTTTCACAAAAGAGGTTGAATTGAAGGAAGAGAAGAGAAATGGAGGAGAAGACTTAGCAAAATTAGAGATACCCAACTAGGGTTTTCTTGCGAAAAAGGAGCTTCCAGCTCTTATAAAAGGGAGGCACCTTCTACCCAGCAAAACAACTCAAAAAAGGGCAAGCAACCCACATCTAAAGAGCAAGCTTCATCTCTCATCCCTTAAACCTCTGCAATTTTGAGCCTCATTCCTCTATCTTCTCCCATTTTCTTCTTTGGTAAATCATTCCAGAGCTTGACAGAGCTTTCGCCAAGCTGCCGGAAACTACTTAACATACCAATTGTTATTCCCCTATCTCTCTATCTCTCTCTCTCTCTTCAACGAACCCCTTTAGAATCCCTTCCCCTTTGCCTTAAAAACTCTGTTTCTCATAGGAAATCACAACTCTCTCTCTCTCTCTCTCTCATGCTAAACTCATGAATGCTTAGTTCCCATGCCACAAGCTTCTCATGCCAAGCTAAGAATTTATCTGTAAACAACTGTTGGTTTCATTGGTGAAGAAGACCAAGGTGTTTCCTAAGGCTCAACTACCCTTTCGAAACACTCTTGGGGTCTGATCCTTGAACTCATACTCAAAGGGCAATTTCATACATTTGGCTTTTTACAGTAGCTCATGCCTATCAGTAGCTGCCGGAATGAAAAAGCCCTTACATAAATTAGCGACTCTGCTGGGGATCAGGCTACTATCTTCACCTATGCATCCAAGAAAGAAGACTAGAAGCAATACCATGGCTTCCTAAGACAGACTAGACCATGGTGACTTGGAATCAAGGCAAAATGCCTCTCCTAGAGAAGAAGAACATGCAAGTGAGGGTGCTTTTACCTTTTCATACCTTATTGCAACCATCCATGCTATGAGGGAAACCCAGAGGGAGATGGTGGACACAATCAAATAGCTAAAAAGCTCAGTCTCCAAGCTAAGCAAAGAAAACGAAAGACCTCCCCAAGAGGAGTCTACTGCTACCAGAAGCAATGAACCAGAGAAAATAAAGAGATAAGAACATTTCCTCGTTTTTTTTTCTTTTGTTGGCTATCAACTTTGCAAAACAAACATAATGTAGGTTACTCACATGCGCCCTTTGTTTGTGTCCTAGATCTCAATTCTCAAGCAAAACAAGATCTTGTGAGATGTTCGGGGGCCTAGGCAAAACCATCATTCATGCCATTGAGTGAACTACGCATGCAAACTCCAAAATGCTTGGGGGCTTCGTGCCAAGCAAATATATATATATATATATATATATATATAAAGGAGTCAAGCATATGCACTTCAAAGTTTCTAATGCAAATCACCTTTATTCTATCAAGTTCTTAGCAAATCAGTAAGAAGATGACATTTCTCATGCTTTGGAGTTTCTGAACAAGAGAATACGTTAGCCAAAATCAAGCGCCAGAAAGATATTCATACACAAAGGGAGGTGCTGGAAGCATAATTTTCTTAGAGTGCAAGCAAACTCATCTATCAAGCATTTGACAAATTCACAGGGCGTAATACCAATCCACATGCCAAGAAATTTCATTTCATTCAAGCATTCCAAGTAACTCAGGCATTTCAAGCAAATTGAATAACTCATGCTCTTGCGACAATACCATACAACATCAAGCTCTCACGAAAATATTACTCAAGATCATCCTCTAGCAATGCCTATATTAGCACTCAATGCCAAGAGAAAGGACATACTAAATCCTCTAACAAAAGCAGCATGCCAAGCAAAACTTATACACAAGCTTTCCAACAATTCTAGCTGGAACATCCCACCTTTGGAAAATCACTAGAAATCAAGCTTACAACCAACAAGTCCCAAACTTTCCAGATTAGAACTAGACATATCAAGCTTCATTTTTCCAAAATTTCATTGCATTTAGAGCTAGGGAAGCATGTCAAATAGATTCTCAAAATATGCTATGCACCAGAAACTGCATAATTCCAATAGGTTAGCCCTTTAAAATTGCACAGAAAATTCATTTTTCATTCAAATGGCATAAGACCAGTGCCAACATAGCCATTGAGAAGCCTGTTTTCATGTCACACTTAGATTCCAAGAGAAACATTTCGAAAGTTCAAAAAACAGCCCACAAGCTACTTTGAGATATTTTGACAAACACTTGGCATGCATTACCCAAGTGAGCTTGTATGACTCTTGTTTATCACCAAGCTAGAATCCTAAACCAGAAGCTCAACTTCATAATTCAATTTTCAGTTCACAAATTCTAGGAAATACAGAGGAACTCAAGCATTCAAGCATAGAAAACAAGCATGCAACAAAGGCATCAACATCAATCCAAGAACACACTTCAGAAAAATGAAGGCAGAGAACACTACAATGATCGGATGATCTTCGATTTTGGATATGTTATAAACAACATAATTTCGAGTACATTTTGTGAAGCAAGTGCAATCATCCGAGCATCAGAAATTAAAAACACATGTCGAAGCAGAATTTGCAGAAACTTACTAGCCATGGATGAACACAGAAGTTGCAAACCACCTTTGAAGCATCAGTAAAATTCAAAGAATTAAGCAAATTTTACAGGCTATAGTACTTGAGCAGATGAGCAACTTTTATCAAGGAAGGTTTCTGATATGAGCTTCCAAAATATGACTTATGTACTGATGCCCAGTACCTACGGGTTTGAATCTTGAAGAGAGAAGAAAGAGTTGAATGAGGGTCATGCCATGGAAACAATGCAAATTTAGTCCACCACCACCAGCAATTCCAACCCAAATGAGCTTAAAAATCCATTATCACCAAAGCCTTTATGCCAGACCAAGCTATATCTTGATTCAGCCTAACCATTAGATTATCCACATAGCAAATCCAAGCTAATCATGCCAAGCCAAGTCACGTTCTTCCAGCACATACCCTATTCCATGTCAAACAAAACATTTTTCAGCACATGCTCTATTTCAAACATCCTTCCAGCACATGCCCTATTTCAAACATTCTTCCAGCACATGCCCTATTTAAAACATTTTTCAGCACTTGCCTTATTTCAAACATCCTTCCAGCACATGCCCTACTTCAAGCATTCCTCCAATATCTAGCCATCATGTCGCACGCTATCACCTTCAATGAGGTTTTGTTTGCCAAATTCAAGTGTTCTGAGGTTGGTGCTATAAACTCAAACACAATGGTGAATCAAAGCTCATTGCATCTGCAACTCCAAAATTGGATCCCCACTATCTACTAGCATGTTTGACTACTGTCAAATGACATCTACCATGCTAAATATCTCAAAAGCTATATTAAACCATGCCACCTTAGCCAATACCAAGCATACAAGCAGACAAGCCAAAATCAAGTGTACACGCCAATGCCAAGCATCAAAGCATACAAGCCAAAATCAAGCATACACGCCAATGCCAAGCATCAAGCCAAAATCAAGTGTACACGCCAATGCCAAGCATCCAATCATACCAAACCAAAATCAAACATACACGTCAATGCCAAACATCCAAGCATACAAAGCCAAAATCAAGCATACACACCAATGCCAAGCATCAAGCCAACATCAAGCATACATGCCAATACCAAATATACACATCAAACCTAGCGTGCAAGCCAATATCAAGCATACAAAACTAATATTAGACACACAAGTTAATGCAACTCTTGCAAATCACAACCATGCAAAATCAAGCCTCTCTAGTCACTCAAGCAAATAAATCATGCAAGCTAAGTTATTTTGAGCTAATCCACCAAGCATTTTCTTCTCTGTCATGCCACAAAAAGGGCCAACTCTTGATAACTTTAGTAAGTGACCTCCAAAATTACAGTGTCTAGGAAAGTTTTTCAAGGCAACACCTTCGGTGTTTAAGAAGGATTGAGTTTTAAGCAGGACCATTGTGACCTCTCCAACCTTCCCAGAATAAACATGGATGTAATTTTAGAGACCCTTAACTGGTCATCCTTGAGTTGCTCCTAAACCCATGCCAAACCATGCCATGCCATGCCATGCAACTGCAATTTATTTTGGGCTGGAAATTGATTATTTGGACCATTTCAATACACATTCATGGCCCCAATAATCAAAGGGGCTAATGTTGAGGCCCAAAAAATCTAAGGCTGGGTCTAAATATATTTTTAGCCCAGTACGACGTCTAACTTGGGAAGAAACTTAACTTGGGTACGCAAGAATTCGTCATATACACTTGCACATGTGCCACGCCAAGAAATAAGCAACATGCTACGCTACAAGCTTAAGTGGGCCAAAGTCACGCAAATGTCTGGGGTTTGCTAGGTGGGTTGTGGTATGGATGGTAACGAGTTTTCATGAGACCCATTGATGAGCCGAGAAATGGAAGTTTTGGGCTGCTTGGGAGCCCAGAAACTCAAGCCCATTTCTTGAGCCCAAATATATGGGTAAACATAAATGAGAGAAAATAGCCCAATACTTTAGGAAAAATAGCCCAATACTTTGGAAATTAGCCCATTCTCTTAATGGGTGGCATCATCTTAGAATGACCCAAATGAATTATAAGATATCTGAAAGTCTCCAGCACATGGTTGGAGACAAAACAACGACAAAAGCCAAAGGTTACCTATGTATGTAGGCTGCAGGGAGTCCCCAACATATGGCCAAAAACAAATCCCAACACAAGCCATCCAAAAAACCAAAGGATACTTGAGCAAAACACCCTTTAGACTAGCGCCATTACCTACTCATTTCTCTTATCAGCTCTTGCCATGAAATAAGGGAGGAAGGAAGGTGAGATAGTAGCCAAAAATAGGAGTTTAACACTAAAGCAGCTGCAGGAAGGCCTTAGAGCTCCCAAAAATCTTGTCTTGTGTGTTTGGACAGAGAAAGGTTTCACAAAAGAGGTTGAATCAAAGGAAGAGAAGAGAAATTGAGGAGAAGACTTAGCAAAATTATAGATAACCAACTAGGGTTTTCTTGGGAAAAAGGAGCTTTCAGCGCCTACAAAAGGGAGGCACCTTCTACCCAGCAAAACAACTCAAAAAAGGGCAAGAAACCCACATATAAAGAGCAAGCTTCATATCTCATATCTTAAACCTCTGCAATTTCGAGCCCCATTCCTCTATCTTCTCCCATTTTCTTCTCTGGTAAATCATTCCAGAGCTTGACAAAGCTTTCGTCAAGCTACCGGAAACTACTCAACACACCTATTGTTATTCCCTCGTCTCTCTCTCTCTCTTCAACGAACCCCTTTAGAATCCCTTCTCCCTTGCCTTAAAAACTCTGTTTCTCATAGGAAATCACAACTCTTTCTTTCTTTCTCTCTTTCTTTCTTTCTCTCTCTCTCTCTCTCTCTCTCTCTCTCTCTCTCTCTCTCTCTCTCTCTCATGCTAAACTCATGAATGCTCAGCTCCCCTGCCACAGAAGCTTCTCATGCCAAGTCAAGAATTTATCTGTAAGCAACTGTTGGTTTCATTGGTGAAGAAGACCAAGGTGTTTCCTAAGTCTCAGCTACTCTTTCGAAACACTCGTGGGGTCTGATCATGAACTCAAACTCAAGGGGCAATTTCATACATTTGGCTCTTTAAAGCAGTCGAGGCCCATCAGTAGCTACCGGAACAAAAAAGCCCCTACAGAGAGTAAAGGGTTTGTAGCTAAAGACATTTACTCTTGCACCACCCGTTGTCTTAAATTCGATTCCCCCTCTCTTAATATCGCTAGTATAAAAAATAAAATAAAATAAAATAAAATAAAAAAATAAAGGGCCTCAAGGGTTACCTACCAAATGAGAAAAACGAACATGAACGACAAATAAAACACTATGCAGTATACTTAGATTGCATTAAACATAATAGTATGCAGATGTACCAAACCAAAGGTTATAAAGCTAAATAATACATCAACTAGGAAGGCGAAAACCTCGAAACCAAAATCTATAAATCACTCTTACTGTCTTCTTATCTTATTTGCATCTTTAATGTGTATTATAACAAGCATGCCATGATCAAGTATTTTCTTTCTTTTACATGCTTGGAAGTATAAAACTCAGGTTTCTTGAGTTCTTGTCTCAATTAAGCAAGACACAACAATTTAATTGATTAAAGAGCATTACATTCCAAGTATATTGGCCAAAATTTGTATTGTTAATTGATGCATGTTGGAGTTTGAATGAAACTTAAGTCTCACATTCGAATTAAATAATTAATTAAATCCGTTTTATTTTAAAATACTCTTTTTAACAGTTATAAGTTGTAACCTTTTTTGAAAAGGTTTCAAAGTCCTATTTAATTTAGAATAGCCCCAAAGTTTTGCACATAAGCATTAAGATGCACATACATTCATATTCTTGAAGAGAGGGAAATATACAAGTTTGCTAAATTCTAAGTCCTAGCCCTTATATGCACATACATTCATATTCTTGAAGAGATAGAAATATACAAGTTCGCTAAATTCTAAGTCCTAGGGCTAGGACTTAGAATACAAATTGTTGAATCATGAGAGGCAATCTTTAGGATATTGCATGAATCTGCAAGCCTCTATCTCATACACAATTCAGTGAATTTGATTACATTTTTTTTCTTTATGTATTTCATATTTATCTGTTAATATAATACTATTGTTGCTATTAAATTCGTTGGGTATATTTAAATTTCTGTTAAATATATATTATTTAATTAGTCATTGATAGAATGTTTTTCCGACCGTGCAGACAAGAATCACTGATGGAAGACAAGAATCACTGATGGAATGAGTTGAATCATTAGAAAACTTATTTTTGCCCTTTATGACTGATAGAATGTTTTTCCAACAGTGCAAACAAGAATCACTGATAGAATGAGAAGATTGAGAAGATTCATTAGAAAGCACGGTCAGAAACACAAATACCTCCTTTCACGGTTGGACATGTTAGTGGGTAAAATTTTTTTTTTAAATGTATCATACATAGACTGAGATTAATAATTATTAACTAATTTTTAACATAAAATCCTTATGAAGGACTTTCGGTCCATTAATAAGGCCCAACATTATTGTTCTGTAAAAATAAACGCTATCAGATTTATTGTGCGAGAAAGTAGTTTGGCGTTTGATAAACTCTTTGTTATATGTGTTGTTTGTACAATATTTAGTTTCAGAGTGTTTGGTAAATTTTTGTGTGAAAGTGTTGTGAGTTGTGTATAATGACTAAAAATGGCATTATGTTGAAGTGACTTTTCTGTTCAAGTGTTTGGTAAAATGAAAAGCATTTTTACTTTCACTTTTACATGAAACGCAAAAGGTAGACACCATGTTTAGGGTTAGGAAGGAAGAACTTTTCTCCTTGCCGACAACCAACTCTTCCTAAGCTAGGGGAGATGGCCATTGCCCCTCCTCCCCTCTGCCCATCTTCTCCCTTCCTTTCCTCCTCTCCCCCTCTTCTTCTCCCATAATTTCCCTCCTTCTCATCCTCTCCCCCTTCTCTTTCCACTTTCCTGGGGGCTTTTGCTGGCCCCTATCTCCCCTTCATCTTCTCCTCTTCTTCCTTTCCCCAGATCTACTTGGATCTTGGATTTTTAGCCTAGATCTTTTGGATATAGGTTTGTTTGTGTGTTTGGTTTGGTTGTTTTTGCAGTGTTCTAAGTGGCTGGTGTTGGTTTTTTTTTCTTTTGTTTTATAGCGTGTGAACTATTAAGATGGATGTTTAGAAAGATATGGGCAATAAAAATAAAACTTTTAAGACAACAATATATCACACACGCGCGATTAAAATATGCAACTGTTGAAATGGACATCTATATAAATACAATTGCTAAAAAAATATTTATGAAACTTTATAAGTCACGCGTAGCGTGTGTGATTAAAAAAAAGCCTCTTGCACACACGGAAGAATGTGCAAGGAGGTTAGTGCTAATTAGATGAAATTGTATTCTTATCTTCCAAATTAGTAAACTATATTATGTTTTAAAACTAAAGCTCCCTTTTTTTTTCTTACCAAACATGATGGGTTTTCAAAATTAAAAAAAAAAAAAAAAAAAAAAAAAAAAATAATAATCCCTTAAATCCCAAATAATACCAAACAGCGCTACAGCCTAATCAACTGCCTGTTGTTATTTTCAGGCCTTGGGCCAACTAACTCGACCCGGCCCACTCTTTTGCAACCACTTTCAAACTTCCTAGTCCCCTCCGGATTCCTGGAAAATATAGAACTAGGGTTTCAAATCCTCTCTCTCTCTCTCAACGCTTAAAAAACTTGCTGTCTTTGATTTCCCGATTTCATTCAGACCAAATAATGGGTAGGAAGAAACCCAAGGAGCCAGAAAGCGACGCCGTTTTCAGCTCAGCCAGACATTTTCAAGACCCTATTCGGCGACGCCACCAGCGACGAAGCCGTCCCTTCCATATTCTCTGAAAGCAACCCGTTCAGGAGGACGAACCAGGAACCCGGGTTAGGGTTTGTTGCTCCTTCAGTTGAAGCTGCGGAAAACGTTAACCATGGTGATTCTGAGAACAGTGGTGATGACGGTGAGGTGAAAAAGAGGAAGAGAAGGAAGGAGAAGAAAGCTTCTGGTTTGATTAATGAAGAAGCTTCAGAGACTCCTTTGGAGGGCAAGAAAGTCAAGAAAAAGAAACTGCAAGAAACACCCAATTTGGAAAATCCTAATTTGGGTTATGAGTTAAATGGGGTATCAAAGAAGGGCAACGGTGAAGCCTCCAACTTGGGGGAACGCCCAAATATGGGTGTTGAAACAAAAGGCGGTGATGGAATGAGTGTGGTGAAGAAGATGGACGGGAAGAAGAGGAAAAGAGATGAGCTTGAGAGGGAATACGAGGCAAAGAAGTATGGTGTGAAGGAGAGCGAGGAAGTTGGAGACAAGGATGTGGGTGCAAAAGTTGTTGGGGAGAAGAGGAAGATGGTGGATAATCCAGCTGATATGCTGGTTTCGAATGAAGGTTTCGATGATGAGAGTAAGCTTTTGAGGACTGTTTTTGTTGGGAATTTGCCCTTGAAAGTCAAGAAGAAGGTTTTGATCAAGGAGTTCAGTAAATTTGGAGAGGTGGAGTCCGTAAGGATTCGTTCTGTGCCAATCTTGGATGTGAGTGTTTTAGCTTTAAATGTTTTGAGTTCTAAGACTTGTTTTTTGCAGAGTCACAATATAAATTTATTGTTATGATTTTTGATTTCTACATTTGATGGCTTTTGTTCAGACCAAAAAACCTAGAAAGGGAGCAATACTTACGAATCAAATCCATGATAAAGCTGACAGGTAATGATTTCAGATCACTTGATTGTTTTACTGTTTTAGGAAATAATTGTTGGGTATATACATATATATATATATATATATATATATATAAACGTTTTTAGATCACATAGATTCTCTTTTCAGTTACCATCTGATTTTGGGTGGGATGTACCGGTTTTAGGTTTCTATTATAATCTATCATATAGCCCAAACATCAAGTTACACTGAAAAATTGGCTTCCTCAATAACGAATACGTTTAGGTTGTTAGGGATGTATATTTAGTGTACTTTAAGTTGTTTGCATCAGATTTTCAAAATATGTATAAGGATATAGAGTTTTGATACCTGTTAGGATTGAGAAGAAAGTTTCATATTTAAGTTATTTACAAGTGACTTTGAACTAACACATTTTGTGTTGCAGTGTTAATGGCTACATTGTTTTCAGAACAGAGGAATCTGCACAGGCTTCTTTGTCCCATAACATGGCTGTGGTATGATATTCTAATAAAGTTCGGTGATTATTTTCATTCTTCATAAGATGTCACTTACAATCAAGATGAAGTTGTTTGTTTTGTGCCTTGACTTGTTATGCATGTTGATGTAGGTTGAAGGACATCATATCCGTGTTGACAGGGCATGCCCACCTCGTAAGAAGCTGAAGGGGGAGAGTGCTGCTGTATATGATCACACAAGAACTGTTTTTGTGGGTAACCTTCCATTTGATGTGAAGGTGATTATCTCTTCTATTATTTATTATTATTTGGAATGTTTCCAAATTTTCAATTATTGCTGCCTACCTTAGTTGTAATATGTGCATATCATTTTCTTTTCTTTTTCAGGATGAAGAAGTTTATCAGTTGTTTTGTGGTATTAACAATATGGAATCCAACGTTGAAGCTATTCGCATAATCAGGGATCCTAACTATGGTATCGGAAAGGGCATTGCTTATGTTTTGTTCAGAACAAGGGTGTGCAATTTTCACCAACATTTATCAATTATGCTCAATTATTTATTCATAACCATGTTATGCCATTCAAATTCAGATATGTGATTGTTTAATTACTTCTGTTTGTTTCCTTCTTGGGATGGTTCTGTACCTTTCTAGTGACAGTCCTTATGGGGATGTTGATAGGATCCCAGATTGTCTCATGGAACATATGTGAATTCGTTGTCTTTCAACCCTATTTTTTTTAGGAAGTCTTTCAACCCTAAAATTATGCATTTGGGCCACTGAGTATATAGTGTGGTTAACAAACAAAATAGTCATCATTATCAATTTGTAAGGGGAATGATTTGGCACTCCAAATCTCACCTCCTACTCTCCTCTACCACTCACACATGAGGAGTGCATGAGATAATTTAAGGGTGACGTTTGAGTGCCAAAATCACCACCCTTCTTTAGTTATGGTTTTGGCATATTGGCCGCTAAGTGTCTGCTGCCTCAATCTGTATTTTGCTTTCTCTTAATGTTAAAGTTGGACTGAGGATGGAAATATGAACTTGTTACCGGGTAATTTCTGGAACTGTATGATTTATATTTTTTTCTGAACATTCTTGTATCATGAATGTTTCTTTTTAAAACTCTTTGGTATCAAATTAGTTTTACATGCATGCATAGTTGACTAGACTAAATAAATTATTGTTTGAGATAGAGTGCCATCAGCATGTAAACTCTGTAGCTAAATTTTTACATGTTCTACTTTCTTGAGAGCCCACCTATTTGTCAATTTGTATTATCGAATACAGAAAATCTTATGAGTTGTCTGTTTGGGCACCCAGGAAGCTGCAAATTTGGTTGTTAAGAAGCGAAACTTGAAGCTTGGGGATCGGGAGCTCAGGCTCTCTCATGCAAAACCAGATTCTACCCCGTCCAAGAGAAAGAATCCCTCATCTGGCTCGAAAGCTAATTCCCCAGCCAAAAAGCTAGCAGTAGGTTCAAGGACTCCGGATTTTAACAAGGTGGGTTCAAAGGCTACTAAGTCCTACCAGGGCCTGCGTGCAGGTAAGCCCGGTGTCCAAAAGAAATTTCATTCAAAAGCAGTAGGCAAGATACGTTCGAATCAAGATCTCAGAGTGGAGTGAAGCCGAAAGAACGTAAAGACAAACGACCATCTGTTGCTGCCAGAAAAGCTAAAGCATCATTCAAAGGTGGCCCTGCTGCAAAACAAACAGGTATAAAGCGTAAGATGGATAGCCGAACTCCTGAGAGCTCCCAGCAGAAGAAGAAATTCAAGAAATATAGGTAGGAGGACACAATTAATGTCCATTGGCAATTGACCTGATAAAGGCACCTCCAGTTCTGTGTGAGAATTATGAAATGTGTACCCTGTCCAATTTCATGTACCAGTCATTATATTGTTTCATTTCATCAAATAATTTTTATAAGTTAATTTCCTTCAGATGGTTCCCAATATCTCGATTATAAAGATTTACAGATCTATTTTCTGTTTGGATTCCAAAAATGCGGTTTTGGGTCCTCGTAGTTTGATTCATAATTTCAATTGTGGTAAGTAGTGAGTTCAAATTGATGTAATCAATCCCTCTATTTTCCTTGACAATTTCAAGACTTGGTTGCTAACTAACCAAACGTATAAGATCAAATTATCAAAATGGAAACTAACATGAGCCAAACTTATACGTTTAGTTCTTGTATTACCAATCTTTGGTGCACTAATACGTTACACGTCCTTGGATCTTGACTTTGCTTTCTGTATGAAGATGAGAAAGGTGCAAAAATAACAATAATGAGATTATAGGATCAGACTAGCTCTCAAATCTCTGCCTCTTTCACTCGCAATTGCTTGTTTTGAGCACCCACCTACATAAACATTTTTGTTGTTTAGTTTTTATTACAAATGATAATTCTAAACTACTCTAATGTATGAAGATGATCGAACTTGAGTTAAGTGCATAAGGACAAGAACATTGCTTTGGCTAATTGACCTAACCTACAGTGTCTCGGTGTAAATCTTTTGGTCCATAATAAACTTGCTTTGCAAAATTGCGATTCTTGAATTGTAGAGAAACAACGTTTTTTGGTTCTGCAATTCTTAGCTTCCATGCCCAGCAATTCCAGACGCCATAGTTACTTGCCAACTTCAAACTTGAACTAAAAGGTTGAGGCAAATTAAGCAACAAGGAATTATTAAGAATAAATACCTTGCGTATTAGCTAAGCATCTAAGGCGAAATTGAGAAATTGCAAACCTTGTGGATTGATTGTCTTAAAGAAATTTCATACTGACGTTTTAGTGGTCAATTTGATGAAACACAATACTACTGTTAAGTTGGGACTTCCAATTCAACACTAGAACTGAGATAAGCTCAGAACTTGACTAGACTGCCTTTACATTTTTCCTGCCAATGATATACATACCCTATGAAATTGGAGACCACCTTGACACTGAAAATGAAGTTACATTACACATTTACACCCAACCCCACCGACCAATGCAGTAAACCATGAGAGTCAAGAAATTTCATCCAAGCACACGCCTTCAACATATAATCTTATCCAATGGAGATCCGACAAAGGCAGTTATCTTTAAATGCGGACAGATGCTAACTGTACCGAGGTGATACCCAAATGACTGCAAGCAGAACAAGGGCCTCATGTACACCAAGCAAAGTTCAGCAAGTGAGACGCTACGATTTGCTCTTACTCACTAACGTGGGAGTAACTGAGACAACTCCAATGAAGAACAAGGTGGCTATTGAGTTGAAATCATAGAGATCCCCAAGGGATCGCAACTCTCCAAGAGCTAATCCAGCCTGAGGGCAAAAACAGAGTCAGAGATACATAGACATAACCAGTAACACTTGAGTACATTATGAACGCCAGAGAACTCAATTAAATCACCAATATAATTTTCCTTTTACAGATTAGGTCGAGCTATCAACACCTTAACATGCTGGTGGCAGGTGGTTTGAGCTCCAACCACTTCGTGAAATGAACCAAAATAAAAAATCATTCTCCAAAATTGATACTTTCTCTTCCAAAATTAGAAAACTAACTTTGCTAAAGACGATTTTATCTTTTTATGCATGAGTAAACAATGCAGATTGAGATGACCGAGATGAAGGTATAATGATCTTTCTCTATGCAAAAAATAATAATCATGATTCATATCTGTTTTTGCATAGTGATTTTTTTTTGGGTCATTTGAGCATAGAACCGTTCAGGATTTGAGTGGAGTTGTGATAATGCCTTCTGATGTTCAGAGACGACAATTGAACTTCAAAATTTAACCCAAAAATGTTTATAGAAGGGAAAGATACATACCCTGACAGTGACATAAGCAGCTGGTATCAGACCAACTATGGTTGCCAGGAAGAAAATATGATAGGGTACATCCACTATTGGTGAAGCAAGATTAATAAACGTGTTTGGCAAAGTCGGAGTCAATCGTAGAAACAACATGTAGTTTAAAAGTCCATCTCTTCTTTTAGCCACCTGGAAGAAAAAATTAATGACTGATTCCTATTTTTTATGTTAAGTATCAATGAAAGATATGGAGACATTTAAATTTACCTGATTTTGGAAAAAACTGCAGCTTGTCAGGCCAAAGAGAGAAGACAATGGGCCTCCCTATCAACTTCGACAAAAAATAACAAGAAGATGCACCAGCAGTGGCATTGAACACCACTAAAGCTACGCCTTTGAAAATCCCAAAAAGGGAACCGGCAAGCAAGGACATGAATACAGTACCAGGGATCATGAAAGTCTGCATAAATATATAAACCATGCAGTACCCCAACAAAACCTGAGCAGTGTAGTCACTTGTGTAGTCCTCAAGGTGAACTCTACCCAGAAGAAGACAATGAAAAGAAGACAATGAAACAATAAATAAATAAAACTGACAAATACTATGAAACCAATATTCTACAATCTCTCTGTAAATGAAGAACATACAGCAGGGACAAAACACAATACATCATTCGTCAAACTAGGGGAGTAGATTAGCTATAACAAACCAAGTTCATAGTGCTAATGATGTTACAGCTATGTCTTTCAAAATACTCAAGCAATAAAATTATCAAACCTAAATTAAAATTATACCACAAGAATCTCGTTCCACCTCTCTACCAAGTGAAATGGCTTTAAATGGTTATAACAATAAATAAAGGACATTAGCATTATTTTCCCTTATTGAGTCTACACAAATCACTCCCAACCCTCCTACGACAGCATCTTTAGGTCACACTAGTGCACTAATTCATGTTAGGCATTTGTGCCATAACTCATAACTAATATCACAGCTACATGATGTTACATAAAGTTTCACAGAAGAAGAATCAAAGGTCCGAATCTAAACTTGCTTAGACCAATACCAGTTGTACTAAAATAAAGACCTATTATCTTATTAGGAAACAACAATCTATGTATTATTTTCAACTCTTGAAAAGTGATTTGTCAAAATAGAATGCTTCAATTATTTAGCTATAAGATAGATCCTCACAAAAAGATCACGCTTATTGGTTTAGCTTTGGAAAGAGAAAAATAGCTCTCAAAGGTAAAAATCCATAATTTACTATACAACTAACAGAGCTCTGATGCAGAAAACTGCTTATACCAATAAAACAGGAGGAAAAAAAAAGGCCTAGATTGGAATTGCGTGAGAAAACCACAAATTTCCCATCAATTTTGTTCCTAAGCTCCAGAACATTGGAAATTGAATCTTTCATGGGCAATTTATGATATATCTAAAACAAAATAAAGGAAATTGGGAAAAGTACCTGAGGATTTGAAGCTCTTGGAGGCTACGAGGGAGCTTGAGAAAGCTATAATCCGATACAGGCATGGTTAGGTAAACGACCAGAAGGCCAACCACGAAGCCCAATAGGACCGTGGAAGCCACAGCCACCTCCCAGAAGCTCAATGGGAACTTACTGTTAGATCCCACTCCCCCAACAACCTTCACATCTCCATTGTCTTCCCTCTTCTCCATCTCTCTCTAAATTTTCCTTCTTTTTCTTAAAATTTTCTTTCTTTCTGCAATTTTCTAGGGAAAAGTTAGAGAGAAACAGAAAGAGATGGAAAACCAAAGGAACCCCTTTTCTCTTCTTCTCTCCTTATGTTTCACAATCAAACTTCTCTCTCCTCTATTTTTTGGTTTCTTTTCTTAGCAGAAAGAGGAAGAGAGAGACAGATTAAAGCATATTCGCTAGTTTCTAAACCAACTAAATTCTTCGGAAAAAAAAAATATGAATATTGGGAAAAATAAAAATAAGATAATTATCTTTTTACTTATTTTGATTTTGTAATGCATGTCGTATTATATGTCATCCTCCGCGTTTTACTTTAATAGCAACCGAATAAGGCCAAACCTCCTATCCCAGTCTCACATGCTCCCCTTGTTCTTCTTTCGGCTTTATAAATTTTTTTATTGGTTTTTTTATTTTTTATTTTTATTTTTTCTTTCTTTTGGCGTTATCTTAAAATAAACTTTGTAATTACTTTCAAACTTTTCAATTTGTTTTGAACTATGTCTTTTGTGATATATTTATTAAAAAATTGGTGTCTGAAAGAAAACAATTTACATGGGACGAGGAATGTTGATAGTAGAGTCAACTTGGACAAACCAAATCCTAATCAAATTAAGTTGATGCAAGAATTGTTATCTTATTTGATTTACAGAAATATGAGGTCCCTCCAAATTTTTAGCAATAAGTCCATTTCAGCATGATATATTATACAATTATCCATATAAAACTTAGGCAAAATTGTAGCAATGGTTCTCTGGATTAATACTAAATTTTACTTTTCGTTCCTCATATTGTTAAATTGTTACGGTGGTACTTTAATTATGTCTTCACTTTTAAAAATCGTCATTTTCGTTATCTTAGTCAACTTTTTCGTTAAAAATGATGATATGGCAATGACAAGTCCTATTTGGCATGGGCAAAAATATCTTTTCACACAATAAATTTAAAAAATAAATCAAATATCTCTCTCCAACCCCAATTTCTTCCCCCTCCCACCCCCCGGGCGATTTCTCACCCATATTTCTTCTACCCCCAGCAATTTCTTCACCTACCCAAATTTCTTCCCAGCCCCGAAGTGACCAATTTCTTCCCACCCATATTTCCACTAATGAGGATGGGCCAATGGCAAGTCAACTTGAAAAGCATGAGCTTTTGACCAGGGAAGCAAAAACCAATTCAAGAAATGCGATATGGGTTTTGTTCTTCATTTCATTTCATTCTTGTTAGGTAAAGTCTGAGTTAAAGCAAAATTTGTGTATGCAAAAATGCAATTGCGCCAATTGCTCAGCTACCCAAAAAAGCACTTTTCACACTAACTCGTCTCTTTGAAGTTTGAAGTTTGAACTGGTTTTTTTTTGTTCCTCAAGTCCTAGTGGGAATGCCAAGTCACAGTCTGCAATAATGTCCAATAATGTATAGCCCTACCTTTTAGTGGGGTTGCGAGGTGGTAGTCATGGGGGAATAGGGGAAGAAGAAATCGTTGGGGGAAGAAGAGGGAGAGCGCACAGGAGGGGAGGAGAGATCGTTGGGGGAAGAAGAGGGAGAGCGCACAGGAGGGGGGGAGAGAAAGGGGGAGGGAGAGAGAGAGAGAGAGAGAAAAAAAAAGAATTATAAATTTCCCAATTTGCCCTTAATTTTGACAAAAAATTTAACTAAGTTGACGGAAAAACCAATGATGCAACATGAGATCTAATTGAAACACCACTGTAACAATTTAACAACATAAGGGACGAAAAGTAAAGTTTGATCTTAGTTCAGGGACCATTGCTACAATTTTGCCTAAAACTTATTTGGAGGAAAAATCCCAAAGCTAGCCACTTTTTTTATAATTGGTTTTAGAAAATTTTGAACACACTAACAATTAATTTAAAAAATGGCTAGTATTGGGATTTTCCTCCAAATAAGTTCTATATGGGTGATTGTATAATATGTCATGTTAAAATTGGCCTATTAATTTAAAACCCTTACTTAAAAGTAGAGAAAACATAAATTTATTAATCAAGAATCCTAGTCCTACTTGAAAGAGATCCCCACACTACTCAAATCCTTTTTGTTCCTTGTCTTGATCTTTTGAAATTCTCTCATTTTAAGATAATATCATGATAATATTGTGATAATATCGAGATGATGAAGACAGTGACAAATTTGAATATTAAAGGAACTCTATGTGGTACTAAGTCACTCATGTATCTTACCATGCAATGTATAAAGTATAAAATATCATAGTAAATTATTATAAATAAATGATTATGGTCTGTTTAACATTCTTGCATTAATTATTACAGATTTTCTACACTCGCAGTGCTTGTCAGCTCGCTATATAATCAACTTAAATAAGTTAAACTCATTATGCAATGCATTTTCTTCCAATTTTTTGTGATAAAGTAATAGATAATTGACTAAATAAACATCCTCCAAAGTTTCAATAAAAATTTCTAAGTTTTTCTTATAATTTATGTGGTTTTTATTCAAGTTGCATCAATATAAATAAGGGTTAATTACTCAAATGGTCCTCAAATTTGTACCCGATTTACATTTTGATCCCTAAACTAAATTATTCTTTCAAATGGTCCATCAACTCTATTATTTGGTCCATTAGTCCCACTGTCTAATTTTCTATTAGATTTAACCAAATTTTAAGGTAAATACGACTTTTCATAATTAACAAATAAAAATATGTTAGGTTATATGTTATTGAATAACATATTGGGCTTTTATTTTTCTTATTTCTATGTTAGATTGAATTAAGATATGATTAATTTGCAGGTTTAAAGCAAACTTAATGGGAAAGGCAATAATGGCGTATTAGAAAATTTGAGGTGGTTAGCAGCTGGTCAAAGTATGGCAATGCCATCATATAAGAGCTATCTTATTAATGGTGCTAAATTTAACACCAAGGCACAAGATGATATGAGAACTGTTTAAAATAGTGGAGTTTATTTACTTGCACATACTATCCAAGTTGCTAGTGCCAATGATAAAAACCTTATTGTTTACAATATGAGTTTTTCTGGTGTCATTCAAGAAATTTAGGACCTTGACTACCAAAAGTTTAGAATCTCAGTCTTCAGGTGTGATTGGATAGATAATGCTTTTGGCCTTGTAGTCGACAAACTTGGATTTAACATTGTAGATCTGAGTAAAATTCCCTAGGAATGACCAATTTGTTATGGCTTCTCAAGTCAAACAAGTATTTTTTGTTAACAACCCAATGCATTATAATTGGTTGGTAGTGTTATCAATGTCTAATAGAGAATATTATTAGTGATAATGTGCTAGGTGATGTGAGAATCGAGTGTGAGCCATTTACTAGAGGGATGCCAAATGTTGACACATTTGATGAACTAGCGGGTGAGTTTGGGAGAGAAAATATTAAAGATGAGTATGAAGATATATGGATTGAATGATGGTTGTAATGTATGACATTAGTTATGCCCTAAATGGCTCTGTATGACATTAATTTTGTAATAAATTGTAATGTATGACATTATTTTTTTTACTTCCATTATGTAGGTTTTGGGCACAACACTTTTAGTATTAAAAATAATGGGTTCAAGATGTAAAATATGACAGTACAGTTAACAAATTTGAAAAACAGACGTCTAACATCATTTTTAACAAACATCGTGGAATGGACGATGGTAAACTACTGCACCTAAATATAAACCGTCATTTGAAATAAATAAAAATACGTCGATTAAATAAAATTGAATTCCAATTAGGTGACGCTGAATGTAAAATAACGTTGTTTTTATTATCATTCCACGACCATAATGTAGGTACTGACGTCTAAAGGTTAACACACATGATTGTCATTTAGTTGAAAGCATCATACATAATAATTAAACAACGACGGTCACGTGCAATTGTTACTACTTTATATTCACGATGGAGTTGTTCATAGAAGTGACAATTCAACACTATAAGAAAAATGTTTTACAACAACATGTCATTAACAATGTGCATATGTTGTGTGTTGTAGAGGGTGGGCTTTCACAACATGCTGCAATAATACATAGAGTTTAACAACGTGTATTTACGGCACGTTGTTGAAACGAAATTTAGAGATATTTTTGGCAATGCACCTTGGCGTGTTGTTGTATATTTAGTTCAACAACACGCATCGCATGTTGTCAAAACTATATCACTTTCCTAATAAAAAAAAAAAAAAAAAAAAAAAAAAAAAAATTGAAAAAAAAAAAAAAAAAAAAAAAAAAAAAAAAAAAATTTTTTTGTGGAAAAACTCCCTTTCATTCAACCAAAAAAAAGAAACTCCCTCTTTCTCAAAATCTGAAATGTTCTAAATATTTGACAAACTCTTTACATCTTCTAAAAACTCTCTCTCCATCGTCACAACCCAATCTCTAAATTTTTCTCTACTCTTAAAAATTCCATCAAAGACCCACGAAATTTAAACTCTAACCATCCCTCAAGCCTCCATGGCAGAAGCTTGAAGCTCTCTCTCTCTCTCTCTCTCTCTCTCTCTCTCTCTCTCTCTCTCTCTAATCAGTAACTTTTGGCAAGGCATCTGAGGACCGCCCTCGCCGCCTACTCGATGTCACACGCCATTGCACAAACGCAGACCATTGACTCGCTCTAATTTGGAGTTGCCCATCTTCGATATCTGCAATCGGTTAATTGAGTTCCCTTTTTGTCCTTGTTATTGAAGATTAGGGATTAATTTTCATTTGGGTTATGTTTGATTTGTAGCTTATTTATATCTTCGATTTGCTTTATATGAATTCTTGTGTATAACCTAAATTGTAAATTTTTACAAAGGCATTAACAAATAAAGGGTTTTGGAATGGTACAAATCTCCTGGGTTTATTTATTAGTAAATTGAGCTTAGACCCATAAAATTCATTTTAAATCACCTACAACCCTTTCTTTTAGTTTTCTATTTAAAATACCCAATTTTTTCAAATAATACCCGATGACTAGGATTCAACTAAGCAAGTTACCTAATATAACTTAAAATCTGATTTATTGTATTTTTCAGATTCCAAAACTACCCCTATTTATAAGTTAATGTGTTATGGGGGGTGTAACTAATGACACCCGTTGAATTTAGAAAGATCTCCAAATAGTTATAATGAATGTAGGAACTAACTTAGAAACTTATTTGAAATTAAATATTAAATTCCACATTAAAGTATTAGTAATCTATTTTACGACTAGTAATTTATTTTGAATTAATGGTGTTTTTCTTCTATGAATTACGACTAGTAATCTATTTAAAGTATTAGTAATTTAAATTCAATATTAAATTTAGGAATTAATGTTATTTTCTTTTTATGAATTATATGACCAGTATTCTTTTTTATTATAGTTTTATGAATAATAGTGTACATTCTAATTATGTTGAAAAATAATTTGATAATCCATTCATTTTTTTGTTTTTAAAACATTTTTTTAATGAACCTATTTTTTCTCCAAATATTGTACCTATTTTTTTTCTTAATTACTTGTTTTATGAAAAATAATTTGATCATCTTTTTATTGTTTGTTTTATGAAAACAATTTTTTTTTAAATTTACCTAGTTTTTTTCTCTCAAAATAATGTACCTATTTTTAATTTAACTAGTTTTAAATGTTGCTGAATCTTGTAGTATATGGGGAAATGGAGGTGATAATAGGCAGTGGGAAATATGTATTTTGAAATTAGGTTGTGAAGAAGAATTATGGTAGTGTAATGGGGGTTGGTCCGTTTATCAGTTGAGGCATCTTATAGGCAGTGGATGACAAGAACTTTAATATGATGCATGGTGCAGTACTTGTATATAGTGTTACTTTGTGGTAAAGTGAATGTCTTGCAGTTTTTGGCATAATCTCACCTTGACTTGGCAAAATGTTGCCCAGAGTTGCATGCTAATAGTTAGTTTGTACTAGAATAGATATGTGCAGTAAAATCTTCGAAAAGAATTATATATATATATATATATTCATAGCTTTTCATGGAGATGCATTATAGGTTCTGCAAGTATTTCTTTTGACAGTAGAATTCTTAGCAATTGGAATAATTTGTTATTATTTATATTTTGGTTATGTCTATTTTATTTGCTCATAGCCTTCTGGAATTTTTTACCAGATAACGACATGGGAGCAAAATCACAATTAAGTGAGTTTCCATAGGTCCACCAATCTTGCTTGGATGCTTGGTTCTTGGATCTCTTCAGGTGCTTCAAGACTTTGAAATGTAACTAATCAGTTTGCTAGACCATGCTTAACAAAATGTTGAAGTTTAATTACTCTGATAGTACAATTTCCCTTCATTTCCATTTGGACAAATGTAACTTGATAATGGATTTGTTGATCTTTCTAATATGTATGGAGCGATTTTTTTTCTTAATGAAAACTCTCTATTCCGGGCTATCTTATGGTTGAAAAGGAAGAAAATAGTTACATTTGGATAGATTGTATTGTTATAAAGTAATTCTAAAAATAATATTAAAAATAATAATATTTAATATCACAACGTGCAAAGAGTGTTGTTGAAATGTAAAACAACAACACGTGCATGAACGTTGCCAATCAGACATACAACAACACGCAGAACACGTTGTTCTATACTTTCACAACATGCGCACGTTGCCATTACTGGTGTTTACAACACGCGATCAAATCAAGGACAACATGCAAAGCGCGTCATTGAAAGCCATGAAGCTTTTAACGACATTGGCTTCAATAACGTGCACCTTGTGTTGTCAATACGTTTTCACAACGCACAATGTGCATTGTTAAATGACTTTTTTCTTGTAGTGCAAATATGAACACACGATGGTAAATGGTACAAAACGACGTATTTAATGACTTCACTACGACCTTCTATATACATATATATTTACAGTCATCTATCAGAACCACAAAAGGAATTTCAGTTTAAATATTTGTTGTGAAAGTTCTTCTGAACGTAGGTAAGCTGATACCAGTCGTCGTCTAACAAACATATACATGACAATATTGGTGCTATTAGCGTCGTATTCACGATGGTAGTTGTTCATAGAACTGGCATTTCAAATATAATACACGACGGTAAAGGGTACAAAATGACGTATTTAACAACTTCACTATGACGTTCCATATATATTTACAGTCGTCTATCAGAACCACGAAAGACATTTCAGTTTAAATATCTGTCATGAAATTTCTTCTAACATTGGTAAGCTGATACTTGTCATCGTCTAACAGACATACACATGACGATATCGGTGTTATCAAAGCCGTATTCATGACGGAGTTGTAAATAGAACCAACATTTCAAATGTAATAACACGACTGTAAAGGATACAAAACGACATAGTTAACGACCTCACTACGACCTTTCATATACATTTACTGTCGTCTATTAGAACCACAAAAGGCATTTCAGTTTAAATATCTGTGGTGAAAGTTTTTTTTGAACATCGGCAAGTTGATACATGTCGTCGTCTAACAGACATACATACGACGATATCGGTGTTATTAGCGCCGTATAGATGGAGGAACCACGTATATATTTATATTGTTTGCATCGTGGTAAGTTAAGTAACAACAATAGCCATGTAAATATTAGGGTCGTAGTATAACGTAATAACATCGTTCTTCCCACATTTACAGTCGTTACTACTACATTTGCACATCGTTCCATACCATAAGTGACGTCGTATCTTGAATAAGCACGGAGGTTGATTTTAATGTACCGTCATGACAATGATTCTACATGATGGTAAATTAATAGTTTTTGGTGTGGTTACTCTATGTTATGGCGGGATGTGGATAAATTGTGCCATGTTATCTTTTGCAGACGACGTGAATTTTCTTAAGTGTTGTCTAAGCTTATCGAAGTTGGTCTTTTTGCTGTTTTTATATTAATTAGACATCAGTTTTTAGTTGGAGATGATATAGTATGTTGTAACAACGGCGGTAATTTACCGTCGTGGTTTTATGCATCAAAATATAGCGGTCAATTTCACGATGGTTTACAAACCATCTATAAAATGGTGGATTCTTGTCATCTATTGCGATTTTTGTAGTAGTGATGTCTCATATGTGAGAGATACAAGTCTTGGCATTCTAAAATGAAGTGGCAAGCAAGCAGTAACCATCTTCCCCTAACTTCCCTACCCAAAAACAAAAACAAAAACAAAAAACAAAAAAAAAACAAAAAAAAATTCCCTGACCCAGCCTCCTACCCCCACCCCACTATCAGCCATGGTAGCCGCCCCTAAGGTAAGATTTAGTTTGATTTTATATATTGTGGGGGTCTTTTTGTTCCAGCAGCCTGACGAATGGGCTTGGGCTGCCGTAAGAAAAAAACGAACCAAGATTCCCCAAGTGTCTGAGTTCAGAGACCAGGCTCCCAAAAGAGTTTTTGAAGAGCTTGATGCGACTCTAGAAAAACACTCTCAGGTTCTTTTCACAAATAGCCAAATAAACATGATAGATTGATTAATGGCTTAGTATGAGGAGCTTGTGGCATGGGAGCAAAACCATCATGAGTTTAGCATGAACAGAGAGAGATAAGCGTGAGTTTCTTATAGTGAACAAAGGGTTAAAGTGGAACAGAGGAAGATTAGACAGATTTCTTTCTTAGAGAAAGGAGAAAACAAACAAGGAAGAAGATTGGGTGGCTTGAGTAAAATTCCCAGTTTGCTTGACAAAGCTTGGTCAGGCTCTCAATGGTTTTGTTGGGTAGAAGAAGGTCCCTTTTATAGGTACAAAGAATCCCTAATTTTGCCTAACCTCAATCTTCCTTTTTCTTTGCTTCTTTCCATTCAATCCTATTCGGTGAAATTTTCCTATCCAAGGCGCCTAGGTAAGGAGCCCTTTGGGGTTCCAAGGTTTTGACATAGCTGGTCTTCTCCATAGAGGTGAGGCGCCGCTTGCTTTCCTCCTTAGTTTTCCAAGTGAAGCTGGTAATAAAAAAGAAGATGGGTAGAGCTTTTTGTCTGATGGGTATCCTTCTTGCTATGAATTTCCTTTGGTTTTACATTGGCTCATGTTGACTCTGTCATAGAACTTTGGGCAAAGGCTGAACACGCTTGTTGTAGAGCATTAGGTTGGGCTTTTACCAAGGTTTTGGGTCAGTGATACTCTATTCTACAGCGACCAGTTAGCTTGTTTTCGTCAAGCTGCTGGAAGCAACTTGCCTGTTGCATTTTTAACAAAGTATTTGGATGCTCTAAATAACATAGGGTTCCTAAGCAAACTACTGTATTCTCTAAGGCATTGGGTCATGTTCTCTCTCTCTCTCTCTCTCTCTCTCTCTCTCTCTCTCTCTCTCTCATGTGTTTGGGCCCAAGAAATGAACTTGAGTTTTGGGGCTCCCAAACAGCCCAAAACTTCCATTTATTGGCTCATCAATGGGCCTCATGAAAGCTTGTTACCATCCATACCACAACCCACTCAAGCAAGCCCCGGGCATTTGCGTGGCTTGGGCCCACTTAAGCTTGTAGCGTGGTTGGGTGTGAAATAATAATTTCCTGCTTAGCATGGCATGTCAATCGGCGTGTTTTAATTTTATCGTCCTTGAATAGAGGCATGATACTTGACGGGGTAATTAGCATGGGCTCGTAGAGTTAGTGCTTATTTTAACTCTTAGCATGAGAGATTGCATATTTATTTGGCATGGCATGTGGTCGTGGCTTGTGCAAGCATGAATGAGGAATTTTGCATGCTCCGAATCGAGTATTTTTCTTAATAAGGCATTATGTTGGGCCGAGAATTTATTTAGGCCCAACCCTGGATTTTTGGGCCTCAACATATATATATATATTTTTTTTTAATCAAATTGGACACCCTTTCTTTGTTAGCTTATTAATTTCTGTATTTCATACTCATAAAATTGTATCCATTTTCAGGATTTAAAAAAACAGCATTGTAGAAATTCCATTTCTTTATTGTTTTAGCTTTGAAATCCCAAGTATTCATTCATAGAAAGAGAGAGAAGACAAGGAAATAGGGAGAAAGAGAGGACTATTATAAGTTTAATATATTTTGAACTGTAAATGAATAAATATTTAGAGATGTTCTTTCCGTTCAAGAATTAAACAGCAAAGGAAATTAGCAACTCAGCAAAACAACCCAGTTTACTCTTTCATCAATATTCTTCGTTTGCTTCCTTGTGGTCGTGCTTTATTTTATTTTTAAAATTTGATTAATTAATTATTTACAGTGAGTATGTTTTAAGCCACCCACACATTACACAATGCAGCAGACATGGATTGCCTGCAGTGGAGCAATGACCAGACCCAACTTTGCTTCAACTCTCCAAGAAAGAATGGAGAAGAACCTACATAACATTGCTCATCACTCTTGTCGCCCTAATTTCTGTGTATTTGATTGGCTGTTGTGCTTTTTAGAAACTTCAGCTTGTGGGGTGAGGCCGCCACAAGTTCAAATCCTCATTCTAGTAGATTAGATTAAACTATCCCCTTGTATTAAAAATCATTTGTAATGCAAAAGTCAGCAGACTTTAAGGTTTTAGTAGCGGCTGCAAAAAGACATAACGTGGAAGAACCAACAAAAATCAACGAATGCTCTCTCTCTCACCTGTAAACACCGCCGCCTCTCTTTCCTCTCTCCGCTTCGTGTTTTAAAGTTTTGTTACCGGAAGAAGTGGTTGTGGATCGGGTCGGATAGGCGCAGATCGAACAAAATCAAATGGAATCGTATCGGAGTATGGTGGCGGAGGAGTACAAGCCGCACAACCCGTGGAACTCACAGGCGGCGAGGTCCATTCAACAGGAGTTGGAGGTGATGCAATCCAATCCCTCCGACGATTTCAAGTGCCTCGCGCTCACGGTTACCTTTACTTTTCCAATACCCTTTGGTTCTTTGACTTTTGGTTTAATTTCACTTTGAAGGATAAGACTTTGGATTGGTGATTCTGAATTCTATTTGAAATTTGGGTATTAGGTTCGACCTCAATTGTTGTTTGGGAGTTTCACTAAAACACCCAAAATGTGGGCTGAAATTATAAAAAAACCTAACACACAAAACACTTTATAAACACACTCAAAACCCATCATTACACACACTCAAAACTCATTTATAAACACACCCAAAAAATATTACAATTGTTGATTTTGGGTGTGTTTCTATGTTTAAATAGTGTTTGGGTTTTTTTTATAAATACATGTCTAGAATTGGATTTATTTATAAATTTGTATTGTTGTTTTTGGCATTCGAATTTGTTTCAAGATTATTTTATGGTCCTTTACAAAAAAAATATACATAAAGCAAGAAATTCATATTACAACCCAACCCCACAAAAAAAAAAAAAAAAAAAAAAAAAAAAAAAAAAAAACAAAAAACAAACAATAGCAAAACTACTACAGAAAAACTCAAACTCTAACCAACCACCATCAACCACCATCCAAAACCTAGCTGAAGCAACATCCATTCAAAAGACTTAACAAAAAAAAATCCATCCAAAAGAAAACCTGCATAAAACTAAGTAACCAAACCAACAACACTAGAATAATTAAAACAATGGTCAATTTGAACTTAGTATCTTGAACTCTTACCTTTAAGACGCATGTTTACTCCTGCACTTTTAATTTAACAATAAAGTACCATGTGTTTGTAAATTTTTTACAATTTGGCTCAACCGTTAGATTAGTTGTTAGAGAATCTGTTAAGTGATGACATGACACATTTGGGATCCATATATATATTTTTAAAATAAATTAATATATTAGTAAAGTTTTCATAAAATTCAATTAAATAAGAAATATGATTTTTTTTTTTAACAAGCCATAACAATTATAATCCAACCATTCCAAATAAGATGATTGTGAAAGGATTAATTGAGATGAGAGAACTTGATCCAATGAATCGTATGAGATGAAATCTTATCTTGTATGTTTTTGGATTTTGTATAAATCTCACACCTACCAAATAGTGCAAGTGATTAAGTTGGGGATAATATCGATGCTAGTAGTGGACCACGAGTCATCCCTCTAAATTCTTAACATGGTATCATACATGGTCGGTTTACTGGGCCCAATTGAACCTAAATCAAACGAATCTTGAGGCCTCCAGACTTCAAGTAAATTTTCACTAAGAAAAGACCTAATACTACTAGGGGGATCATGGAAGGTTGACAAGCCCAACTCAAGACATGAACCCAATTCAGCTAATCCATCTGCCACCATATTGCATTCACGATATACATGATGAATAGAACAAACCCAGTTTCTGTCTATATAGTCTTGGCATCCCCACAACATAGCAGCAAGAGGATGAAGCTATTCCACATCTTTATTAAGCAGATGTACCGTAATGGCTGAATGGGATATGGGTTGCAATCACTCCCATTTTTTGAAAAAAACAAGAAAAAGAAACACATAATTCTAATGCTTTTAATGAGTTATTGTAGTTTTTAACCACACTGCTTATCTCTCTTTATAGAACAGTTATAACCACTAAACCTAGCAACTCTTAATCCCACATCAAGAGCCAGTAATAATTATTATTATTTTTTAGTACAAGTGATTGGAGGAGGGGGGGATATATATATATATATATTCATTGAGTATATGCAGGTTTCGAATCTCTGTTCACATGGGTGAGGGTGGAAGAGCTCAACCAATTGAGGTATACCCCATTGACCACATCAAAAGCCAATATAATTACATACTTTTGTTGCTTTTAAAAAGTGAGTCAATTGCTACAGTTGTCACGTGTTACACTAGATAACCTATTCTTATAAATTATATAACCTCTATTTTTTAACACAAACGTAGGTTTGGCTCTTAAGATAATTTCCTAAAGACATCAAAGCATTTATTATATCTTATAATCTTTTTTATAGACCTACGTTTTGAGTTGAAACGAAAAGCACCACTAGTTAGTAGTTGGCATTAACGTCAAATTTAAATACTATAATGTCACGTTTTTAATACGTTACTTTACATCCAATTTGAAGCATGAGATCCGTTTTAAAAGTGGTGCTTTTTAATTAGTTAGTAGCCCTTTTTATGAAAGACCTCAAGTTTTTATTTAGAAACGTAAACTTTTTTGAGAAAGACATCATTTCATTGGGAGAAGAATAATAGAAAATAGACGACACCTCTCTTTTAGCTCAACCGCATTAAAAACAATGCTTATACCTACCGCACTTAACAAATAGGCATGTTTTCCTCATTCTCCCGAGGGTTTGTTTTATCAAAAAGAAACTTCATTCTCCCAATTGTAAATTCCTTTGAGAACACAACCCATTATGATTAGCATACAAGGCTTCATGTCACAGAGCAGACCCACAAGCCTCAACTCAGCCCACTCACTTTTGGAGGATCATCAACGCATGTGGTGATATCATATAAAATTTTATAATTACGGGAAACAGTATGAAAAATTTCACTTCCCTATTGACTGATATATCACGTCATTAATACTTTTTCAGGTGGGCCAAAGAAAGAAAAAATAAATAAATAAAGAGATGAGAGGAAGGATAGATAATAACGTGAGCTTGGATCTATCCCTACGGATTAAAGAGAATGGGTGATCCATATGATTGGGATGCCTGACTCGTACACTAAACCTTAGAGCCTTGATGGGGTTTAATCCACTCAACACGTTATAGAAATTCTCTCCAAATTATTTAAACTACTTTCTTAAATTGAGGTTTAATTTGAGTCCGAGTGAGCGTATTATCGAGAATTCAAGGGAAGTGATGTGGAAAATCATTGAAATGTTTTTGTTCATTTTTTTTATGATGCCACATTGAAACACATTTTTAGAGAAGTTAAGTTTTATGTTGATGGTTGAGCTTATATTGTAGGATCTCCATTTAGTTTTCATGACTTATTTGGAAGTGCTTCTAAAATGGCTAAAATCACTTGACTTTCCTCAATTTTCAACCAGCACTTCAATTTTTAGAAGTTTTGACTTTATTATTTTCATATATGCATTTTTTAAGTATAAGTGCTTCCTATAAAAGCAACCACAGCCACAACCACAAACATGTATCTTGGATTTCAGTTGTTGCATAACAAAGAAAAAAGAAAAAATATAGAGTGCAACTAAATGAACCCTAAAATTAACTGAGTACACCCTATGATCTAAGCACACCTTAATATTTGTAATCAAAATGTAAAATTAACTAAGTACATCCTATTTAACTACCAAAAATGCCCCTGGTACACCCTAATGCACTATTACATAACACCCTAATACCATTCAAGAGTTGGTTGCCAAACACTATTAGACCACCAAACCCACCTTGCTGCCGAATACACTATTTTTCATCTTCATCTTTGTTGTGAGTGAATATTGGGATAACATATTCCTTTCCCATTTTGTTGGTTTTGAGCATTTATAACCATATCCATGTGGATTCCTTTCACTTTAATTTTTCATCAAAGTTCTCCACAGCTCCAAGTTGCTTTAGAATCCATCAATTCCTATATATTACTTTTTTCAATATGAACAAGGATTGCACTGGGTTCTTCACATTTGAAGAATCAAAAGTCTCATATTTGAATTTATGAAAAGAACTTAAAAAAGAACATAAGGTAAGGGGGTATAGTGGGTCAAAGTTCAAAGGGTATGGTTAAGTTCACCCCCTTCCCTCCTCCCTCTCCCTCATCTTTAATTCAGAAAGAACTATTTGATTTGGTGATCTTGTTTATAACATGATTTCAAGAGGTGGTCTTCAAAAGATCTCTTATACTGGGTTGGCTGGTTAAAACTTAAACCAGATTTGCATAATATAGATTAAGATACGTTTCCCAATTTTTAAATGTTTAATATTTTTAATAGATTCTTTATGTTCCTTTTCCTTAAAACATTTTCAAATCAGCCTCTGCCGAATCACTTCTTTAACCCTTTGATGGCTTCCGGCCGAACACTTTTTTAACCTTTGGTGGCTTTCGCTTACATTCGAATAGGGTTGGATATGGTGAGTAAAGTGCACTTATTAAAATTACATTTGTTTCACAATTCAATATATCCTTTTTAGTCATTTTATATTAGGGTAAATTAGTAATTCAATAAATAGTTTGGTAATAGGGTGTACTTAGTTAATTTTAGGGTTCGTTTAGTAGCACTCAAAATATATGATCATCATATCCCAACTTTCAGGCCTAACTAGCATTTTGTGTAGTGGGTGAGAAAAAAAAAGGCTATGCGCGCGCGGGGGGGGGGGGGGGGGGGGGGGGGGGGGGGAGGAGGTCCTTTCCTTTCCTCCCATTTCCTCTGGTTTCTCTTCTCTAGCCTGCTCCTTGCTGCTTGAGGAGATCTGTAAGCCCATTTTCTCCCATTCTTTGTGGGTGTTTCTGCTCCCCCCTTTGTGGCTGTTCTGCTATCCCTTTTTGTGGCTGTTTTGTTCTCCCCTTTGTGGGTGTTTTGTTCAAACTCTGCTTGAACTCAAAGGCTTTATGCCTTCAGTTTCCTTGAATTTCCCATATCCCCCTTTATTTCTCATCCATTGTATTCAGTTGTCCCCTCCTCCATCCATTTCCTCTTATCTCCCCCACACACTTCATTCAAATCCCTTCTCTATGGTCTTGGTATCGTCCATTCCTACCAAAATTTTCTCCTCCTTATTGATATGGCTTCACCTTGTGGCTGCTTCAGCTAGCCGAAAACGCAGCTTCTTGCGTACAACTCTGAAGATGTGTAGAGTTCGATCTTTTGCTTTTTCTCGGGTGCCTACACCACCTCCTTCTACTATGTTGATGTTTGTTTGGTTTTTGTGTGTTGTTCTGGTGCTTTGTCAGGTTTGATTTGAGAGGTGATGATCTTCTTGTGGCTGACTTTTTTTTTTCTTGTTTGTGTCTTTGATATATGTGGGATTTATGGTATTTGGGTGGATCTGTGGGTGGTGCAATTTTTTCGTTTTGTGTCTCTTAGGTGTGGCAGCTCTTCCCCTCAATTTGTCCCCTTGATGTCGTCTCGGGCTGTGCTGGTGGCGGCTGGGTTGAATTTTGGTTAGGGTTTGCTAGCTTTCTTGGCCTTGGTTTTTGCATGTGGGCTTAATGCCTTCCGGGTTTTAAGCTTGTTGCTGTTTTCCTTGTATTTTATTTGGGCCTTTGACCTTTTTGCTTTGTTGTTGAGCTTAGTTGGTTGGGTCTCACTTTTTGTTGTATTGTTATGCCCTTTTGTGGGTTTCTAATGAAAAACACACACATCCAACCCAAAACAAAAAAAAAAAAAAAAAAAAAAAAAAAAAAAAAAAAAAAAAAGTTAACCCATCGTTACCCCCATGGGGGTTGGTGCAGAGAGATATTTGTCACCACCATATGTGTGCTGACACAATATAACGTAATTTTTTAGTGTCCAAAACGATCCTAAAAACGCGTGCCAAATATACCAAAGCCAAAATTTAATGCAAAAAAGCAGATGGCTGGAGAAGTCGCATCACCAAATTGCAAAGATTCTTTTGTCGACAACAAATTGCACACATTTATACCAAAATTTAAATGTTCAATGCATGTAATAGTCTAAATTAGAAAGTGACGTAATATTCAAACTTTAGATTATTAGTTGTAGGTTCGAACTTTAGATTATTGATCTATAGGTCAAGAAGAACCCTTTCCGGATGAGACCCATTGACATAAATATATAATTTTAGACTTTAGTCTTCATACGAGAAAAACAGAAGAATGAAAAAGAAAAAAGAAAAAAAAAAGAGAGCCGTGGTCCAAATGAAAATTACCAGCCGAATTAAACACTGAATTCATTTTACTCCTCCAGAATCCTCAAGTCAACATGGTTGACTCTCTCACCTTACCAATCCGTCACTTTAGCTCAACTCCAACCGTCCGTTTTTCTCTCAAATCCCCAGACCCCACATTCTATCTCACACACGCGCTTCCTTGCCCGCCGCGATTCCGCATCTCGCCCAAAGAATATGCCACGTGTGCATCCAACCCTTCCTCTCTGTACTAACTCCGGTTATTTTATCAATCCCGTACCCTACTAACCCTAGTCCTCTCTCTTTCTCTCACCTCTCCTCTCCCGTTCATATCTCTCTCTCCCTGTGCAATTTTCGATTTCTTCTGAGCTCCGAAAAAACAACTAAGAAACTCCGAAACAAAAAAGGAAAATAAATAAAGGGAAAAAGAAGAAAAAGAGAAAAACCGAAAACTTGAATTAGGGTTACGTATACAAAACTCTGCAATTTGTATGCGCGGGATTATATGAGCGTTTTGTGTAGCATTCTGTGGATTCGTTGTCTTGCAAATCAATGGCAGAGCGGAGGTTCGGGATAGGCTATGCTTTGGCACCGAAGAAGCAGCAGAGCTTCATCCAAGAGTCGCTGGTCGGCCTCGCCAGATCGCGCGGCATCGATCTCGTACGGATCGACACTGAGCGCTCGCTGGCTGATCAGGGGCCGTTCGATTGTGTGATGCACAAGTTGTACGGAAACGATTGGAAGCGGCAGCTGGAGGAGTTCAGGGTGAAGAACCCTAATGCGGTGATAATCGACTCGCCGGAGGCGATCGAGCGGCTGCACAATCGGATTTCGATGCTGCAGGTGGTTTCGGAGCTGAAAATCGAGCACGAGAGTGACACGTTTGGGATTCCGAAGCAGATTGTGATATACGACAAGGAAACGCTGTTTGATCGCCAGGCTTGGGAGGGTCTGAAGTTCCCGGTAATCGCAAAGCCTCTGGTCGCCGACGGCAGCGCCAAGTCGCACAAAATGGCCCTGGTTTTCAACCACGACGGGCTCGACAACCTCAAACCCCCAATTGTGCTTCAGGAGTTTGTGAACCATGGCGGCGTCATCTTCAAGGTGTATGTGGTTGGAGAACATGTGAAATGCGTGAAGCGTAAGTCACTCCCTGACGTTTCCGAAGAAGAGAAATTGGGAAGCTTGGATGGCTTGTTGTCGTTCTCGCAGATATCCAATCTTGCAAACAATGAGAGAACTGATGACAAGTACTACAAGATGATGCAGTTGGACGACACAGAGATGCCGCCACAGAGCTTTATCACTGATATTGCAAGAGGGTTGCGGCAAGGGCTGAGGTTGAACCTGTTTAACTTTGATGTGATTCGGGACGCGAGGTTTGGTAACCGGTATTTGATAATTGACATTAATTACTTTCCTGGATATGCCAAAATGCCGGGTTACGAGACTCTGTTGACTGATTTCTTTTGCGATATTATGCAAAAGAAAGAGAAAGATGGGGCGGAGAACACTGGTTTGGATAGTTATGAGGTACTTAGCTGTGATGACGAAGTGAGGAAAATTGTAAGTAGTGATGGGGATGATGGAGGTGATCTTAACGTAGAAGAGGAGAACCCAATTCAAGTTTGAAAGGCCCTGTGGCGTCTTTGTCCGATGGTTGGCTGGCACTATTGGTTCATTGGCATTTTCTTAAGAAGCTTGGCCATTTTGGTGATTTGTGGACGAAGATGAGTTGCACATTAGGTTTAGATAGCAGTTGGGGTACAGTGCTGAACTGAGTAGGCTGGTTCTTGGTTTTAGCTTTAACTTCTTGACAACAGGATTACATGATGTTCAGCGTTGATCGTGTATATTCCATTCACCAATGCTCCGGAGAAGGTACTTCTCAAAATACTATGCTGAAGTTTTAGCCTTTTTAGGAAAGTCAAGTTGTAATCTGAGGCTTTAAAGTCTTTCATTGCCTAGAAACTGTTCTAGTTTGTGCCATAGGCACCTTTAGTTAATGGATTTTGGCTTTTTTTTGTTAATGATTTTTTCATTTTTATTCTTTTTTGCTTTTTAGTTTTGATTGAATTTATTGAATTTTATGATACTTTTTTTCGCTTCTTGAACTAATTTATTTGTTTGTGGTTGTTAATGTGGCTTGAATGGGTTGCATTAATAAGGTTTCTGATTAGTACTCTGTCAATCAAATTTTATGAGGAAATCATTGAAGTTTTATGACATTCCTGATCTTGTGCTTCCTTTTTTTTTTTTTTTTTTTTTTTTTCTAATGCGAGTGTTTTTTGGGCAAGAAGATAAAAGAAATGGTTGATGCAGTTTGTTTTGCTTTATTGTTTGCCAAGAGGCATATTAACTTGCTTGCATTTAATGTGTAACCTTCTGATGATACTTTTGTCATATATGTAGGCCCGTTTGTATAAACTATTGTTAGGAGAGTAGTGCTTTGTCGCATGTTTTGGAAAGTTATTTAAAACTTAGTACATCCAGTGAACTAATGCTCTAATTTCCAGAATAAAAAATTAGGATCCCAGGTTTGCCTTTTCAGGTTTTGTTGAGACTTGAGAGAAATGAACACCAAGTAATACACACATAAGCCTATTATTGCTTTGATGTAATGTTTGGTTGTTTTTGGATAAAGCAGAATGCTAGAATCAGAATGGAATAAGGAGCTGATCGTATTTTCGGTGAATGAGTTCTAGGATTAGACAATTGATAAGAATGTTCTTGAAACCAAAGTGGGTGTAGGATAGAACAAATTACAATGTTGGATCTGTGTTGCTATACGTTTAACACTGTGTATTGACTTTGCATGAATGCCAATAGGAGTGATTGGCCCACATATGGTTTTGGTGTGTCATTATTAGTAACGGTTTCTACTTTTATGATGCGAATATGCCTTGTCGTTTATGGGAACAATATATTTAAGTAGTTTAGGAATTTGACACTAAGATTCCTGTGGCTTGTACTCATGTTAAATTCTGACTTGTAGCTGAGTCATATTTAAACACCATCTGCTGGCTCATAAACTTGTTCGCGATAGATGGACTAGTACAATGTATGCAAGCTCGATGTGTGTAGGAGTCCAACACGTGTTTGCTAATTGTTTTAAGCTCAAAATTGTGAATGTATTTTCCACAGTGCTTAAGTGTCAGGGGCCAGTGCTTATAACTGCATATGGTTCTTTTGCAGTAGTGTCAAAGACATGTACTTAAGAAGAGACTGGGTCTATGAAAGTGACTAGATTGCGTACAAATAATCTTCCTATAACCTTTCCCCTCCCCGATAATCTTTCAAATTCAAATAGAGAAATTATTGGTACTTGGCACCTGAAAGGCCACATGTCAATGATAAAATGATAGTGATTTATAAGTGGAAATGGAAAGTTTTGAATGCTATTAAGTTTCTGTAGTCAATAGCAAATTGATTAAATCCTTTGCAAAGGATATATCAAATGTATATCCAATTGCAGAGAATCTCACTCCTATTATTTTACTTCCTTTGCATAAAATATATGATTCATCCCCATACATTCTCTACAGTTCTGTGTCAGTGGGCTATGGAAGCCTAGTTGAGAAGTTAATAAGTATAGAATAAATTGTTTTTTGTGAACTTGTCGCAGGATTGTAGTTTTTATACAACCGATTGTCCTGGCCAGTTCCATGACCTTTGCTGCTCTGCGCTAAGCCGAGTGATTCCTGCTACATTTCTAGCCTGTCAATGAGGAGTCATCTATCTGTTAATTTTCTAAATGAGGAGTCATCTATCTGTTAATTTTCTATGTTCTGTTTCATAGAAAGAATTTATGTCATGTACATATAGATAAATAATTATGGTATTGATGAAACTACTACCTCTTGGTTTGAGGATGGTAAGAGAAAATCAACAGTACGTGTTTGTTTGGCTAAAACTTATTGTGTCCCCATGTTATGTTTGAATTCACGCATTGAATCCATTGTATTTTTGGAGAGTTGGTGGAGGGTTCTTACTCTATTTTTGTTTTCCTTTTCTGTTTTCTTTCAGTTACTTATTAATTTAGTTTTCAAGTCAGTCTTCTTTTGTGGCGATCTATGTATATTTAAGTTTTGATGTGCTTTGATAGAAGAATCTTTGTCTATCAAGTCCTAAGTTGTATGCTTGGCCAATAAAAAAAGAAAAAAAGTCCCAAATGCTGTGTGTTCATGTGAAATGCATATAATCACTGATACCCATCTTTGCTACACCTTCGAAATTGTTTTGCGTTTGCTCGTGTTGTGGCCTTGTGGTAAATGTTATGATTTATGCGATTGTATGAATTCATGTTTTGAGAAAACTGGAGATGTGGAGAGTCGTTGACTCTGTCTGTAGATTGAGCTTCATGCACTGGTCACCTTGTTAGGTGCAAAACTTAATCAAGTTTGGTATTGTGTGTAAAGGTCATAACCGTGCAGTATGAATATATAAGTTAAAACTGAGAAAGTCTGATTCTGGAGATAGAAAGAGAAAAAGCCCATAAAACCTTCTGTCTCACTGGTTGTATTCCCGAAGTTCCAACTAGATCAATGACTTTTCTTGCCCAACTATAGAAGAGTACAGAAATAAATTAAATCTTGGTGGTTGTTGAAGGTTGTAAACAGAACCTTTCTATTGTACAAGTCCCGAAAAAGAAAAACAGTAGCATGAGGTTGTTCATTGGATCTTAGAAGTCCTGTTATGTCTTTATTTAGTGTTACTAAATGTGTACTGTGGGTATGTATGAATCCTTTTGAGGCTTCCATTGGCAAGTGAATGGTGGTGTCCTACTTTTCCATCCTCTTTATGGAAATTTCCCCATCCTGAATTTTCTATTGGCTATGGATTTTCCTGATTGCGGAATATCTAAAATGCTCTGGTCTTTTTGAACTTATTTTCAATAATTAAGGAAAAAGAAAAAGGAGAATAAGATTGTACTGGATTGTATTTCAGGCCTTGTCCTGAAAAGTCCGTTCAGATAGAATTCTAATTAGGTAGAAGAGAGTTTTGAGATTCTTCAAGGGATTTGAAACTGGATAGCATTTGCACAATATAGGTTATTATAGTTTTGGCATGTTGGGAGTACAGGGGAAATCTGTTGAGGAGTTTCTAGTTTAAAGAAAATGCGTTAGTATGACTGTTGCCAGGTTTATGAGCGTCATAAAAGTGGAGAGATGCCCTTCAGGATCGATATACGAAGTCCTTGAGAATATTCTATGTATTTTTGGCAGAGGAGCATTGTGAGTTTGTGATTGTCATACTTAGATTTTACTTGGGTCATTTTTGTATCAGTATTTTGTGGGGTGTAAAATTTCTCAGTATGTTTCAATGTACCTTTGTTTTTGGGTCTTCAGGAAAAGAATATTGTTTGGGAAAGAGCTCAGACTTTTCTTATAGAACCAAACCATGCCTTTAGAATCATCCAAATTCTGCATTTATCCATGTGAAGTGTGTGATTTGGAAAGAGCTAAGACTTTCTTCTTATAAGTTGAAATGGGGTATGGCCAACATGCTGCATGAAATCCCAACATTGTCGCACAATTTGGCAAAAATAGTCAAAATTTCCCGCACACTCATAAATGATAGTTTTTATAGAAACTTTCCAAATAGAAAAAAATTCACCTAAATAAATTTGGGTGTGTTTATAAATGGGTTTTGAGTGTGTGTAATGATGAGTTTTGGGTGTGTTTATAAAGTGTTTTGGGTGTTGTGTTTTTTTATAATTTCAGCTCCCATTTTGGGTGTTTTAGTGAAACTCCCTAAATTTAAATGCACATAAAACTAATACCCTCATAAACCTAAAAAGCAAAACCCTATTAGATTGAAAAAAAAGGAGAGCAACTAAGCCTCTTGGGACAAGAGTTTTGCTACGAAGCCTCATGGGAACGGTCTCATGCTTCTAGTCAAGGTACATTGAGGCCGAAGGAAAGAAAATACGGTGCAATTTGAACGTTATTGACCTGTCAATCTCAGCTAACCTGTACCAATTTATGAGACGTGAGGGTTTTGAAGGTTTACAACCTGTTTGTCTTTCCACGGGACCAAATTTCATAATTTTGGATGTTGTAATCTCCAATTTGTCATAAGCAACCTGGTAAGCCGACAGTAAAGTTGTAGATTTGGCTTCTAGTGAGAAAAAAAACAAACAACAAAGCAGAGGTTTTATAAGGATTTTTTGTTGCAATATTTTATGGTTGCAGAAGTTCTCGCACGGGATGTGAACTTGATCTTACAATTTTTTTTGGGAACCTACAATTTAATAATATCTTTTTTGCAAAAAAAAAAAAAAAAATCTCTCTTGATTTTGAGTCAACTTACCTGGACACGTTTTTTTTGCTTTTAAGGCTTATGTACATTTTTTTTTCCAAAAAAAAAAAGTGTGGGTATTAAGATACAGAAGTGATCTCTACTCAGAGCATCTCTAAGGAAGATGTCAAATACCAAACATCAAATTTAATTTGATGTATGATATGACAATTTGACATCTTACACAGCTTTCCACTCCACTCGATATGTCAAATTAAATTATTATTTTATTACATTTTAGTGTTGATTTATTTTTAATTAAAATAAAATAAAAAATAAAATAAATATTCATTTGACGTCTTGCTTTTGGAATGTCAAAAATAATATCTCAACCTCCAACCTTCATTCCACATCAGCTTTGACACATCGGTTTGAGTGATATGAGATGTTATTTCTAGCCATTAAATGTTTATGTGACATTTTTAAAACATCAGTTGGAGATGCTCTCACAATATTATCAACACATTTTCAATACATTAAGATACAAAATTGATACCTACAAACACTATTTTCAACACATTAAGATACATAATTGATACTTACTAACACTATTTTCAACACATTAATCAACACATTAAGATATATAATTGATACTTACTAACACTATTTTCAACACATTAATCAACACATTAAGATATATAATTGATACCTACTAACACTATTTTCAACACATTAAGATACATAACTGATACCTACCAACCGATGCGGAATCTAATATATATTTACATAGCAGTATACAAATAGAAACAAGGTACGCAAATGTAGCACATAAACAAGGTATGCAAATGCTTTCTTGACAAGATACATTGATCCTTATGCATCCCAAATCATCTCATATTTATAGTGTAGATATTCAATTTTCTCCTTTGCGCTCTACTTCTAATGATACTAATTAGTTGTTTTCCAAGCCCCATTAAATCACTAAAATGATGCCCTACACTCACACTACTAGATGGGCAAAGCAGGATGACAATGAGGGTCAAAGAAAACATATAAAGGTTCCTGAAATTTTAAGAAAAATAAGCAAGAAGTAGACTAAGCAAAGCAAGAGCTACAAATCTTGAGGGATCTATGATGCAGATTAACTAGGAAGAAGCAACAACTGTGAATCTATACTTCAATAAATTAAAAACAAACAAAAAAAAAAAAAAAAAAACCAAATTTTGGAAAAAGGAAAAAATATTTTAACAGCAACAAACCTCTATATAGAGTTGCTATGCTTAAGCCAATTTATATTTTTGCAAACACAACTAGTACCGAGAAAGAATAGTCTTATCCAAAAAATCAAAGCCCTAAAATCCTAAACCCAAAAAATCAAAGCCCTAAAATCAGAAACAAAAATTAAACATTAAGTGAATGCAATAGAAAACACAAACCTTAATATCAAAGAGAGAGAGGGAATTCGAGTATCGATTATGACCAAAGAAAATTGGAGATTGTATTGAGAGAGGAGAATCTTTTTGAGATGAACAAGAGGGAGTCTGAAAAAAATGAATTCAGAGGCAGGGGGATTGGGCGGGATTGCAAAAGGCGTGGCAGGACACGTGGGCTAAGGGGAAAGTGTAGCGTACCCGTTTGTATTGTAAGCTTGCTTTTTCTCTTCAGCTGCTCAGATGACTTTCAATGACTGGGATTGATTCTCATATAATGTTCTTATTTTACCATTCTCACCTGATCCGAGCGCATTCATGCATAGCTAATGCATGACCAATCAACTTTGTGAGCATCACAACTTGGGCTTCCCAACTTCAAATGAAGACTTTGACCATACTACATTGAAGCCCAACAAATTATTCAAATTGGAATGATCGTGTAATTGAATCCGTCTCTTATACAATACTTCTTATTCACATTATTAGATAATGGAATCTAATGTTGAATGTCCTAATATGAATTATTCCTTTATATGATTATCCCGGTACGATTTGAAGACTTCTTCTTTTATATCTTATCTACTACTCTGCACAGAGATTTGATCAATCATATCCTTGGAGCATTCTTTCTTTATACTAAGAATAGAGATTCCTTGTTATACATTCATTTGCCTCCATGACTTTATTAAGAGTCCTGATAAACACCTTTAGGTCATGTCTTCTACAACACAACTGTATAGTGCCCTCAATGACAAACAACATAGCCACAAGACCTCTATGATGTCTCAAGTCTAAGGATTAGTTCGCACCATTGCAATCTATGAGTTCTAGTTTGACATGTGAGTAAAGACTTCCATTCTAGAACTTATATATTTGATCGCATTCAGTGTACTTGTTCCTCTATAAACACCTACACATATATCTAGGTGTCGCTACACTCAATGACTTGAAACCACGTCATTCTCTATATATAGAGAAGATATTTATGCAATCTCATTACATAGTTCTTATGTTCACTTATATATTCCTATGACTATAGTTGTTTCACTTATAAGGCCTCAAATCTACCACTTGTTATTTCTAATTGGTTCTTAGTGTAGTAAAATTTTATAAGAATCAATTAGAAAATGACAAATGACAATTTTGGGTTTTTCTTTCCAAATAGGCTCTATATGGACTTTTGTATAATATGTCATGTTAGAATGAGCTTAGTTGTGAAAAACCCAAAAAAATTAAGAAATTTATAATAATAACTTATTCTAGTATCTCTACTATTTAAGCATGAAAAAAAAAAAAAAAAAAAAAAAAAAAAAAAAAAAAAAAAATATCACAGATATCACTAGATAAATCTCTGAAAATTATACATTAATTAATTAAGTCAGAAGTTAATTAAAAAAACAAAAAACAAAAACAAAAGAAGATAAAACAAAAAAGATGAAAACCCAAACCAGACGCCATCGCGAGAGAGCCCCTTCTCACCTAAACATTCTAATTAACTTTTCTGATTAAGACTGTTTTTGGGGAAACACATCAAAGAGATAATAGGAATGCATTATTGTTGTGGTGGTCGATTCATATTCCCAAGGTGAAAAATATGAATCCTTTTGCTGGTGGCTTCATGCATGTATTTGAGCCAAAGGCTTCAACTCTTTTGGCAATGTCTTGACCATCACCATAACCAAAAGGATTCATATGCCCAAGGTGAAAAATATGAATCCTTTTGCTGGTGGCTTCATGCGTGTATTTGAGCCCATATGTATGTATCATGTATGTATCTTGGCTTCACTTCACGCCAAGGTGATCTCCCGGGGAAGTTATCGGAGATCGATCGCCCAGGGTGGATTGGCAGAAATCAATCATAGTAAGTTTCCTATTTCTTCCTTGAAAAAAAATAAAAGAAGAAAAGTTTCCTGTTCGTACATTCTAGAAGGTTTAGGATTTGATTTCCTGATTCTAGTAGTTTTGGATTACTTTCCTTTTTGCAGCAAGATTAATTGTACTCTGTCTGTCCTGCCATTACCCTATTTGTATTGGATTTGGATTGATCTCTTGAATAAATTCCAAGCTTTACTAATTCTTTCTCTATATATTTCATAGCCCCAGCCTCAACCAACCATAATATAACTCCCTTCCGCATCAGCGGCATCCCCAAACCCTAAATTTCTTTGTGCCTCAATTTAGCATTCCATAGCTAGCAAAGGCCCTATCAATCATCTGGTATCATGGGGGATCAGAAAATATCTCAACCTTCCGCCGCCGCTGAGCTCACCGATGTTCACGGCCATGCCTTGACGAGCAAAGATGAGCTCTTGGGTAAGATATCGGAGATGGAGAAATCTCTAGCCGCACTTTCCGACCAGCAAATCCAACTGGTCCATTTGACGAAATCTATAGCAGAGCAGCTTCGCCTACTACGCGCCAGTGTCACTGGCGCCTCGGTGAATACCTGCACTCCCAACCCGAACGATGGGGCCCTTCATCCTTACCCAAGGTCAGTTCATGGCTTAGTGCATTGATTTCATCTTCTTAATTTTTGTTTCTCTGTGAAATTGTTGATGCATCCATCTTTAATTATTTCAAAGATTCTTGCTTGGAATAATTACCAGCTTGAGCGTCTACTAGATAAATTATCTCTACTTCTTCTTGTCCTGCCACCTTGATGATGCTACTCTTGAAGAATATAAGTCCCAAAATCGGAAACTTAAATACTAAATATAATGAATTGTTACACTACGCCTTTTGTGATAAAACCTCTTCTGAAATTTGATAGCTGCAGGTTTTTAAAATCTCTTTGCTACTTTTCAGTTCACCTGTGTTACATATTCTTGAATTTGAATTAGATTACCGACTCCTATTTGGAGGGCCTCTATCTGTTTCTTTGAGGTGTCTTCTTGCAGACTGTTATTTTCTGTAGAATCAGATGTTATATTTTACAATTATGATGATTTGTATATTATATATTCTATGAATTGAACTTTGCATGTAATTATCATGTATCAGTTACTCTTTAATATTTAATGATGATGATCTACTCCTACATCTACTCCTACAATTGCATTCACAGTTTGTAGGAAAATGGACAAGTTTATTTATTGATACCTTACTGGCATTTTTACTGTTTTGTTTGTGTTTATTCCTATGAAGTGTATATATGCTTACTAAAGTAGATATTGTAGCTTTGACCTTGCTTAATTAATTAATTCTCTCCAGGTAGGTAGTTGTTTGAAAATATTAACTTGACTTGTTTTATATTTATCTCTCCTCTGTCCAGCTTGCCCATGGAGATCGAGGGTGAGCATGCATCAATGATGGTAAATCAGGGGGAAGCCCGATCTGTATATTTAGTCGTTTCTTTTTGGTCCAAGACTGCAATCTATGAAGTGAAATTCAGACATGGAAGAGGAGTCTCTCATGAACCCACAACAATTGGACTTGTTGCCAAGTTCAATGAGGATAAATTCTGTCATGCTGCACGGATTTCCAAACACTCCAAATTATATTGTCTTACACAACACAGTGGGTATATTGTTGACATGAACTCTTTTTCAAGATGCTCATCCATTCCTCCTAACCTAGCCAATGAATTTATAGCAAAGGTTGTGTCCGCGTATGGCAAGATTTACTGTGTTGCAAGTCCAACCTACTATCCATCAGTTTTGGGGACTTCCTTCTGGAGGTATGATCCTGATAAGAACATTTGGGAGCCGCTTCCATGTTGTGAGGATTATCACATGGGTATGATTATCACCGGTTATGCTGTTTGTCATGGTGTTATTTTGTTTTCATTGGTTAGATGGGAAAAAAATCAATTTGATGTCGTTGCTTTTGATTTGAGTAGAAACCAATGGAATCGAGTGAAAGTTGATACCACTATTAAGTATGCCCATTTCATAGGGAGGGCCGTGGTTGTAGGCACGACTATCTATGCCCCATATGGGAATTGTGTTATAGAATTCTCCTTAAGGATGCAAAAAGGTGATGATGGTGGTATTGCATATTCCCTACGACAACTCTTTATATTAGAAGGCTTGGAGATTGCGGATCCGCCATTGCCATTTGAGAGGTGGAAAGATGATTATTTGGTTCATTTGGGAAAGCGGGACTTTTGCCATGTCAGTACTGGCAATAATGAAGGTTTCATGGTTCAACATATTTGTATCACCACATTTCAAATTGTTGTTGGAGAAACAGGAAGAGATATGATCAAGACCATACATTCAACTGTTCATTCTGTGGATATGGAGGGCCCTCAAATGTTTTGTCTTCTTTCCTGCTTTGCTCGGTAAGTTTTCTTCAAGTTTCTTGTGTTTTCATCAATACCATAATTTGTGCATTGGAATTCTATGACATTTTGTGTGTAACAAGGTTTCTCATTATTATGACTCAGTGATTGCGAGGATTATGAACCCATAGGAGACGAGAGTAATTGGATTTTGCAAAAAGAAGCCAAGTGGGAGAATGGAGAAATAGCTAACAGGCCGCATGAAATAGGCAGTTATGGGCGAATAGGCACCTTTTATTAGGAATTGTGAAAGTATTGTTCAGGGAAATGATTACTGCAACTTGATATTATAGTACCATAACTACAAGGAATAATGGTGAAAAATATAGTGAATTTAATGACTAATAATACTACATAGTCACTAAATTGATTCGTGCCTATTTTTTAATTTTTAATGACTAACTTTTCTTACCTGTATTTAAATTAGTCACTATAATTAGTGACCAATACATATGCCAAAGTAGCCTTACTTCTCATATTTGGTACATCAGCGACCAATTAACCTTTTTTTAACTTGAAATTTTTTTTTTCAAAATGTGGAGGGTACTGCATCAAAAAGAAAAAGAAAGATTGAGCGAGACCTGATTGCTCATGGATGCTCGACAATGAGCTCTCTAAATCACCTCCTTAAACAAATTTTAGAGAGGAATTGAAAAAATACAACTCCAACCATGCTCCCTATTCACATCCTAAAATATAGAGATTTTTAGGTGCTCCAAAATCTAAGGAAAGAGAAAGGACTCCTAGTGGCTCCTTATAATTTAATGCTGCTTTATTTTATGAGTATTTTAAACCTTTAATTAATGCTAGCTATTTTAATTTTTTTTTAAATTTTATAGAAATGAACCAATTAAAAAAAAGTTATAGCATTTATGACTCCTTAAACTAGAGAGTATGATTGGAGTTCTTACAAAACATTGAAGTTTTATGACATTCCTGATCAAAGTCTTTGTTTGAAATGCGAGTGTTTTTGGGCAAGAAGATAAAAGAAATTGTTGATGCAGTTTGTTTTGCTTTATTGTTTGGCAACAGGCATATTATGCTTGCATTTAATGTGTCAACTTCTGATGATACTTTTGTCATATATATAGGGCCGTTTGTATAAACTAGTGTTAGGAGAGGAGTGCTTTGTCGCATGTTTTGGAAAGTCATTTAAAACTTAGTACATCCAGTGAATGCCCAGACTAATGCTCTAATTTCCATAATAAAAAATTAGGATCCCAGGTTTGCCTTTTCTGGTTTTGTTGAGACTTGAGAGAAATGAACACCAAGTAATACACAGATAAGCCAATGATTGCTTTGATGTAATGTTTGCTTGTTTTTGGATACAGCAGAATGCTAGAATCAGAATGGAATAAGGAGCTGATCATATTTTCGGTGAATGAGTTCTAGCTAGGATTAGACAATTGATAAGAATGTTCTTGAAACCAAAGTGGGCGTAGGATAGAACAAAAATAATTCTTTTTCTCATTTGGCAAAAATAAAAAAATAAAAAAATCTAGTCCCTGTAAAAGTAAATAGAGAAAGTATATGAAAGGTGAGAGTAGCTTACTGCTCAAGTATCTTATTCATCTTTAGTGCCTACTATTTATAGGAATATGAAATACATCACCATTTACCACCCTTAAGTAGTGGGTTACAAGATGCCAATCTCCAGGCAGAACTAGAGAGCCTCCGCGCCAGTGTCACCAGGATGTCTGAGAAATATGACCATCTTCATGCTAAGAACGTCGAGCTCGAGCATGACTACCGCACACTGAAGCACAACTGGGAGAGGAATCAGGCCCAAGGCTCCCAACGCAGCCTTACCTAGGAACCCGAGCGTACCCAGCCAAACCAGCCGGAACACTCCCACCACAATGTCCCAATCCAGCCTAGGCCCAGCAAGGGTAAAGGCCCCCTCCATTCGGAGACGACCAGTCGCGGCTTCTTCGCATCTCCCCGCCAAGGAACCGGCCCCATGAACCAACAAAGGTCTACAGGGATTGCAGGGACCGCATCTTGGACCGTCAAACGGAACCCCCTCTTATCTCTGTTAATCTCCAAGACCCAAAGATGACACACCTAGGCCCCCCGCCAAAGCCTACCCAACTACCCCTTGGAGAAGGTATAGGGGACTCCGAGAACTGGGGGCAGGGTTACTCAGAAGACTACGAGTCTTATCAAACAGAGGCGTTCGAAGAATTCTACCCAGCCCATGGCCACCCACACACCAGACCCCCAGCACCCGAGACTCTCCCTCATACCGACCCGGCAATGAGGCTTCTCTTCGAGAAAGTCCGGCGCCTGGAGAGAGAACAACAGCGCAACCATCAACCCCTCTGGGCAAAGCCACGACCTGGGCCCTTTACCGAACGCATCCTTAATTACCACCAGGAGAAGGACATCCAGCCACTCCGCATCGCCTTCTACACTGGCACAGAGGATCCTCTCACCCACATACATTCTTTCCAGTCTGCCCTGGGGTGCAAGGGCCTCACTGACGAAGGCATGTGCCTCCTCTTCCCTTCCACTCTCCGCGGCGCGGCCCTGAACTGGTTTTACAGGCTGAACCCCCGCACCATCAACACATTTGACAGTTTGAAACAGGCCTTCCTGGACCATTTCATGATCCAGACCGATCGTCTCTACTCCGCAGACGACCTATACATGCTTAGACAGGGTGAGGACGAGCCCCTTCGGGAGTACGCAGCCAGGTTCAACCACGAATACTCTCGCTGCCCAGATACTGATGATCGTGCCGCCTTCGGTGCTTTCAAGAGTGGCCTCCGAGAGTCTAACTTCCGGTACTTGGTCCACAGCAACCCTTGGAACACATATGCCGAGCTGATGAAGCAAGCAGCAGTTCATGCCAAGGCTGAGTATTTCAACTCCAAGCGCAGCCCAGCCATCCCGGCGCATAATCCTTTTGCTGATCCTCCACCTGTTTCGGTACCCATCCCAGCTCCACCCCAACATTCTGCCCCTGTACCAAGCACCCAGGGTGCCCAGCACCCCAAAAGGAAGGATAGCTACCAGCATACCTTCAACAATAACAAGCGGGGCAAACATGGGAACCACCACCAGTCTAGTGGAAGCAACCCCCCCAGGACAAATGACCGGGCCCCACTCCCATTCTCACCCAAACCCAGGTTCGAGGTCTTCACCACCCTCAACATTACCTATGAGAATGTCCTAGTGCACGAGGCACCCATCATACCTCAGCCTCCACCCCGGAAACCAGGCAGCAAGCCTATGCCTAACACAGGAGTCTTCTGTCGCTTTCATCAGTTCGGTGGCCATGATACCGAATCTTGTGTTGCCTTGCGCAACATCATTGAGGGACTTATTCGCGAGGGGAAGCTGGATAAATACGTGCACAACCTCCCACCCAACCCTCATCAACGGCAGATCAACATGATCTCAACCATCAGTGGTGGCCCAACCATGGCTGGCACCTCCAACAACTCCATCAAACATTATGTCCGCTCTACCTATGCGCACCAGGTCTTCAGCATTGAGCAGGGACGCTTGCCGAAGACACAAAAAACAGGCTGGGCCTCCATTACCTTCTGCGAGGAGGAGGAGTGCGGCGTTATCCTCCCTCATGATGACCCAATCATTATCCGCGCCGACATATCTAACTTTGACGTTGGGCGCATATTGGTAGACACTGGCAGCTTAGTCAGTGTGATGTTTCCTGATGCCTTTAATGAGCTCCAAGTCCCATCTCATTTGCTCGACCGAAGCGTCACACCCCTGGTGAGCTTTTCGGGTGATGTGGTCCAGCCTATTGGGAGCATTCATCTCCCTATCTCTATTGGAGCAGCTCCCCAGCGAACAACGGTCACCACTCCCTTCCTCATTATTGATTGCCCCACAGCCTACAACGTTATCCTGGGACGCCCTGCCATGGCCCAGATGAAGATTTTCATTTCCACACATATGTTACTGTTGAAATTCCCTACGCCCCATGGCACGGGCACGGTGCGCGGCGATCAACTTGGCGCCCGAAGCTGCTATGCTTCGGCAGTAAAGTCTACCAATCGCCAACATAGGGGTGAGGCCCTAGCGGTAACCCAGGCCCTAGCCCCACCTCGAGCTGGCACTGAGCGCCCAAAAGACCCCAGGGAGGAATCTGCCACCCAACAGGCCGAACCTGTGGAGGACCTTGAACTGGTCACTCTCCATGAGGATATCCCAGATCGACAGGTCAGGATCGGCACCTCCCTCTCACAAGAGCTTCGCTCTGATCTTATTGCCTTCCTCCGCCTCAACTCTGAAGTCTTTGCTTGGTCTTACAACGATATGCCGGGCATATCACCTGACGTCATCTCCCATAGGCTAAGCATTAATCCTGTCGTCCGACCCGTTCGGCAGAAGTGTCGTGCTTCTGACCCAGAGCGGTATGAGGCCATGAGGGCGGAGGTGGATAAGCTGAGCACCATTGGATTCATCAAGGAGGTGGATTATCCCACCTGGCTAGCCAATGTGGTAATGGTACGTAAACCAAGGAAGGGTTGGCGCATGTGTGTAGACTACACAAATCTCAACCGGGCCTGCCCAAAGGATAGTTTCCCCCTTACCCCGCATTGACCAGCTAGTTGACGCCACAGCTGGCCACGCCCTCCTCAGCTTCATGGATGCTTACTCAGGGTACAACTAGATCTTCATGCATCCTGAGGACCAAGCTCATACATTCTTCATCACTGACCGTGGCCTTTACTGCTACAAAGTCATGCCATTTGGCCTCAAGAACGCCGGGGCTACATATCAGCGTCTGGTGAACAGCATCTTCGCTTCACTAATTGGCAACACCATGGAGGTTTATGTTGATGACATGCTGGTCAAGAGTCGCACTGCCGACCAGCACATCCCCAACCTCTCTGCCATGTTCACCATTTTGAAGCAGTATAGGATGCAGCTCAACCCCACCAAGTGTGCATTTGGGGTGGCCTCCGGCAAATTCCTTGGCTTCATGATCAGCCAAAGAGGTATTGAGGCCAACCCAGAGAAGATCCAGGCTATCTTGGACATGACGATACCCAAGACGGTCAAGGACATTCAGAGCCTTACCGGGCGTGTCGCAGCCCTGACCAGATTTATCTCTAAGGCCACTGATCGTTGCGCCCCATTCTTCAAGGCACTTAAGGGTAGCAAGCGCAGCATCACCTGGACTGCCGAATGTGACCAGGCATTCGGCGAGCTCAAGGCATACATGAGCCGAGCCCCTTTATTGTCAACCCCTGAGTCTGGGGACGTCCTCACCATCTACCTCTCTGTCTTGGCTACAGCGGTTAGCTCAGTGCTCATTCGACCACATGAAGGTGCTGAGCATCCGGTGCATTATGTGAGCAAAGGATTGCAAGATGCGGAGATTCGATATCCAGACATTGAGAAACTTGCTTTCGCCCTGGTGGTTTCGGCTAGACGCCTCCGGCCATATTTTCAAGCTCACACCATCCATGTCTTAACCAACCAACCACTCACGCAAGTGTTGCAGAAGCCAGAGACTTCTGGGAGGTTAGTTAAGTGGGCCATTGAACTTGGTGAGTTTGATATCCACTACAAACCTCGCCAAGCCGCAAAGGGCCAGGCCGTGGCTGATTTCATATCTGACTTCACCGAACCCCATACTCTGGCCAGTCCTCAGATTGCAATCACGCCTACTCCTACCTCGAACCAGGTCTATGTCGCCAGCAACGGCTCCCTAGACTTAACTCAGCCCTTGTGGACCTTGTATGTGGATGGCTCTTCCAATGCCCAGGGATGTGGAGCTGGCCTCGTTCTTATATTCCCTGACAAGGTTGCCCTTGAGTACGCCCTCCGCTTCAAATTCCACGCCTCCAACAATAAGGCCGAATACGAAGCACTCTTAGTCGGCCTTCGCCTAGCCAAGGAGATGGGCGCCAAGCAAATCCAAATATTCAGCGACTCGCAGCTTGTTGTCCACCAAGTCAACCAGGACTTCACGGCCAAGGACATCTCAATAACAGCCTACCTCCAACATACCCGCCACCTGCTTACAACTTTCAATGCTTATCTCATAGGCCAAGTGCCACGCTCTGAGAACAGCCATGCTGATGCATTAGCAAGGCTAGCCTCGGCGATGGAGCAGGGCATAGGTCGAAACATCCACATCGAGTTCTTGGACCAGCCCAGTACACGGGCACCACTCATTTGTGTCATCGATCAAAGCCCTACATGGATGGACCCTATCACTCAGTTCTTGCAGAACCAGACACTACCTGCTGATCCTGCTGAAGCGCGGCGTGTTTGCTATCGTTCCGCCCGATACTTGATCATCAATGGTGCCCTATACAAGCGCGGCTTCAGCCTCCCCTACCTTCGGTGCCTGACCCCAGAGGAAGGTACTTATGTCCTGAGAGAGATTCATGAGGGTATCTGTGGCAACCACTCAGGCACTTGCTCCCTAGCACACAAGATCATTCGGCAGGGATACTTTTGGCCATCACTTCACACTGATGCCCAGACCTTTACCCAGAAGTGCGATAAGTGTCAGCGATTTGCCAACATCCCACAACTTCCAACTGAGCCATTGACAGCCATGGTCAGTCCTTGGCCATTCGCCCAATGGGGACTTGACCTCATTGGACCTATGCTTGAGGGCAAGGGCCAAGTCAAGTATGCAGTTGTAGCTGTGGACTACTTCACCAAGTGGGCTGAAGCTGAGGCCTTAGCCACCATCACTGCAGCCCGCATCAAAACTTTTGTTTGGCAAAACATCGTCTGTCGCTTTGGCATCCCCAACACCATCGTCACGGACAATGGCCGGCAATTTGACAACGCAAAGTTCAAGCAATTTTGTTCCAACCTCAAGATAAAGCTTTGCTTCGCCTCCCCAGCCCATCCTCAATCTAATGGCCAGGTGGAAGCTGTGAACAAGATCACCAAGAAAACTCTAAAAACTAAGCTTGACAAAGCTAAGGGTTGCTGGCCGGAGCTACTCCCAGAGGTTCTCTGGTCTTATCGCACCACCTTCCGGACCTCAACGGAGAAACACCTTTCTCTCTCTCCTTTGGTACCGAAGCAGTGGCACCAGTGGAGATTGGCCAGCCCACATACCGCACCTCCACTTATGAGGCCGAGGCCAATGACGAGCAGCTAGCCCTGAACCTTGACTTCATTGACGAGCTTCGTGACCAATCCAACATGCGCAATGTCGCGTACAAACAGCGCATCGCTAAGTACTACGACTCCCGAGTCAAAGCCCGTGCTTTCAAACTTGGGGACTGGGTCATGCGCAAGATTTCCTTGGCCACCAAGAATCCCACTGAAGGTACCTTGGGCCCAACATGGGAAAGTCCTTATGAGGTTACCAAAGTCTGCCGCCCCGGCACTTATCAGCTTCGTGACACCAAGGGCAAGACCTTGCCTCATCCTTGGAATGCTGATCACCTCAAGTACTACTATAAGTAAACATACCTAGACTCTAGGCCATTATGTTTTCTTAGACTTTGGTCTCGAGCCTTGACTCAACCAACTCTTGTACTTTTTGCCTTCCGGCACATATTTAATGAACGCCCGACCCTGGCTCATTTTCATCAATCACATGGTTCTCATTTTGCTAAGCACAATTGATATCAAATGACAACAATTCATATCATAGCACATCAAAATAACCTTGCCCTAGGCAAGGCAAAATGTTCATACATAACCAAAATAAACATCAAGTGTTTAAACTAAAAAGCTATAATACATAAAGAAGGCAACGCCTTCAGGACTCGGTCGATGGAGCATCCGTAATGGCTGGCTCTGGCTCTGGCTCTGGAACGGCATCAGTGGTACGACTAGATGAGGGAGGCTCGCCACTCGTGTCAAAGTTAATCTCCACTGAAGGGTTGAACATCGCTACCCTCTCCTCCCAACCCAGCTGCATCGCCACCATCTGATCTATGATGTAGCTCCTAAGCTCCTCCGAACCACGAAACGACTCGATCGTTTCGACCCGGGCAGCAGCTACCTCCTCGGCCCTCGACCGCTTCAGCTCTTCCATCTCCTTGGCCATCGCCGCTTTCTACAGCACCAGGGTGTTCTTCTCTTGGATGGCCTCCTGCGCCTCCGCTATCTTATCCTTGGCCATCTCATTGCGCCTCTTCAACCTCTGGATCTCCTTATCTGCCTTGGCCATATTCACGTACATCTTGCCATAAGCCTGCAACACAAAGCATGATCAGTTAAAGGCAAATTCGAATTATATGAACAAAGTTTTAAGGCAAGCCAACTTACATAGGCCTGGGTTAGAAGCGTCTTCTGGGCCCGATCTGCATAGGAGGTAGCCGGGGTCCTCGCCAGAACCTTTGGGTCACTCTTCACGCCTTCCAGGAAGACGTTCACCAAGGGAACCTCCTGCCGATGCATGGCCAGGTTCACCTCCTTCTTCTGCCGACGCAGCCCAGAGAAGTCCACCTTCTCTACCCCCTCGGTGTAAACATCATCCATACCAAAGGGGAGCTTCGGCGGTGCCTGCGGGTCAAAGGGAGGAAGCCTCGGCCCTATCCCCATCACGCTCCGGTGAGCTTCCTCCAGCGCTCTCTTTTTCCCAGCACATCAGAGACCAGGCCCTCATCATCTCTGGGACGCCTCCCAGCAGCCTGTTGGGCACCTCCCTTCTCTGCCTTCTTGGCCCGAGACTTCCTCAGCCGTTTCTGCATCTCGGGATCATCCAGATCCATGGCCACCTTCGTGCTCCCCCTTATGATCCCTGCCACTGCACATCAAAAGCCAAGTTAGTTTCAACTACAAAAAGAATCATAAGACAAACAACAACCGTGACCCAGGTACTTACTCCCTTGCAAGAGTCCAAACTCGTACAGGTTCTTCTGGGTGACTAAGTTTTTACGCTCACGCTGGGTCTCCGACAACAGTGACCTCACTCTCTCAACCTCGTCTTCTCGCTCCTTGGAGATCGGTCCCCACTTCACCGAACCTGCACCACAGTTCAGATATCAACTCAGCCATTTATGTTTGCACAAGCAAAACAATAAAACATAAATAAAGACCCAAGCGTCAAAACACTACAACACAACTAGTCTTAAGGGATGGGGCTAAGGACCTATCGACTGGAAGTGGGTTGGAATGTGTCTGGAGACGGTCTTCCCTGGAGGACACTCCCAATCACCATAGGCCAAGCACCATCTGTTCCGCCAAGACTTCTGCGTACTCGGCTTATGCCCAATAATAACCTCTCTCCTTTGCCTTCCGGCAATTGGCTTGTACCCAGCCAAAGGTTCCTTGTTGCTTGGAGATCGAATACAAGTACATAAACTGCTCAAATGTTGGCTCCCCCAACCCAACCAACCACCAAGCAATGTAAACTCCATGCAGAAGTAGCCAAAAGTTGGGATTGTATTGCCCCGGCGCATACCCCAACTTGGCCAGCATCATCTGTACCCAAGGATGAAACGGTAGTCTGAGACCCTGCTGGTACATATCGGTGAATATCATCACTGAACCCTCCGGAGGATATCTCACTACATCCGCAGCACTGGGTAACCTCAGGCCCACATAGGGTGACACACTATAATCTGTCCGAAGCTCAACCAACTTTGCTTCTGTAAGTGTATTCCGCTTCCCCAACGGGACACCAACCCGGATGTCCACCCCCTCTGAAGCTGAAGCCACGGCTATACCCACAGACTCTGATGGTGATGTCTGATTGCTCGAGCCCACCTTCGGTGTATGTGCCAAAGCTAGAACCCGATCAACACTGGCTTCTAACACTTTATACTTCTTCTGCATCTCCCTATATGCCTCTGACCCAGACTCTACTGATGGCCCAGCCATCTCACCCTCATGAACTACCATCCTAGCTTCTATAAGCCCTTCTACAAAACCCTCTGTCTGGGAACTCTCATCTTCAGAGCAAACATACTCACTGGCCTCTTCACTCTCAGACATCTACAACATGCAGAAACAAGAAAAAGGAACTAATGCATATGCAAAGAGGATCCAAGCACAAAAACACAAAATTGGACGGCCTCTACATGCTTTTTGATCTAGATGCATACATTCAACATGTTCATACTCATGCTCAAGGTAAAAGGAACTAATGCATATGCAAAGAGGATCCAAGCACAAAAACACAAAATTGGACGGCCTCTACATGCTTTTTGATCTAGATGCATACATTCAACATGTTCATACTCATGCTCAAGGTGTTCATCATACTCTTCAATATGTTCATACCAAAGGTTGAATTTCAATTCAGAAATTCAAGGGAAATGAGGTCTAACCTTGGTTACACCACCACGGAAATTCGCCGGAAATCTCCTTGGCCCTAGCACCACCACCAAAATCTCACCGGAAATCTTTTTCTCCTTCTCACTTTCTGGAACTCTTTCTAAAAAAAATCTCCAAGTATGATGCCTACGTCACTCCAAGTTCCTATTTATAAGGCCCTAGGGTTACAAGAGAAACCCTAGCACCCTTTCACCTTCCCTCCCAAATCCTTGTACCTACACAGCATTTACAAATTCAAAAAAAAAAAAAAAAAAAAAAAGAAAGTTGAAGGGACCTTGCCGAACGGCCAAGGCCCATGGAAATGCAAAATGGGTGGCCTCACAATTCAATTTTGCCCAGCCTCAATTCACCAAGCCTTGCCAAATTGGCCCAACCTCAAATGGCCCGGCTAAGTGAAAATTCACAAAAGCCTAGCTCACACCGACGCTGCCGCAATCAAGGAGGCCTAACTCTAGGGCAAGCCCGGCTACGGAGGTTGCCAAAAGCTTATGCCCTTGTCGATTATCCAAGGCCCAGCTCACGGTCCCAAGTCAAAACAACCAAACCTCACGGAGCCCAGCTCCAAATCCTAGCTAACTCCTAGCCAAAACGGGACCAGCTCCAATGTTTGCCAAACCCTTTTGGACACCTACTGAAGGTCCAGCTCTAGGCTCTCACTTCTTGCCAACAAATCCAAGGTGGCCCAGCTCCGAACCTGCCTCTACGAGCACAGCAAAATAAAAACCAAAAATTTTGATCAAGGCACCCAGCCTCCCGAGCCCAGCTCCACGAAATTTCATACGGCCCAGCTCCAAGGTCACAACAACAACCATCAATACATCTTCCAGGGTCCTTGCTGAACGGCAAGGACCATGCAAAACCAAATGGGGAGGCTTATCAACAAAGCCAAACTTGCTAAGCCCAGCCCCAATACACAGCTAAGCCCCAAAATTGTCTTGGCAACCTTGCTGAATCAAAAAAAATAAAATAAAAAATAATAATAATTAAAAATGCATGCCTCCATGGCCTTGGCCCAGCCCACTCCAAGACAGAAGACAGGTCTCGGACATGCCAAAGACTCAAGTACAGACTTGGGTCAGCCCCAAAACTTTTCCCAACTTACCCTTGCCGAACGGCAAGGGTCATGCTGACCCTTTTTGGACCCCCCCTCCCTTCACCTCCACTTCCTTGCCCAGCCATTTCTAAAGCTCATCTACGGTTCAGCCCAAGGCAGGACCTAGGTCCTCATGAGCCCACACCCAGTCTTTTTGAACCTGCCGAAGGTCTAACTCCCCAAAAAACAAAAAAACAAAAATCTCACAAGGACCCAGCTCTTTCCTTGACAAACAGAGGAGTCATGATGACCTTCAAAAGTATACTCACCTTGCTCAAGACTTGGAACCAACTCAAGACAGAGGAGCCATGATTTGCTCTAGACACCCAAGCTGCAAGAAGACCCCACTCCTTGGTCACGAATCCACCAAACCTGCACACCAGGTCCAAAAAAAAAAAAAAAAAAAAAAACAAAAAAAAAAAGGGATCACCCAGCCTCCCGAGCCTAGTCTCTTTGATGAAATTCTGAGCTCCCAATCCATGATCTAGCTCTAGGGACCTAGCCCACAAAGAATCATGCCCTTGCCGAACGGCAAGGGCCATACAAAAGAAAAGAAGGAGGCTTCACAGTTGCTTACCTTCACAGAGTACCCAGCTACTTCTCACCAAGGACCCGACATTATTGCTTGGAAGCCCAAGTCTTTATGGCTGCCCTCAAGACCAGCTCACCTAGCTTCCACCTTGCCGAAGCTTACTGACCCCAGCCTCCTTGCCGAAGCTGAAAATTTTCCCACGAACCCAGCTCCAAATCTTATCTAGACACTCAGCTCCAATCCAAGTGCTCCTGCCACAAATTCACAAAACCACAGCACCAATACGTCAGATGTCCACCAAAAAAATTTTCAAACTGACCTTGCCGAACGGCAAGGTCCATACGGACTCAAAACAAGGGCCACCCATCCTCGGTTCCACATTCACCTATGCTCAAGCTCCAGCGAATCCGACAAGGACCCAGCTCACGGGATGACGACACTACGGACCCAGCTCCAGATCGTCTCGAAAACCATGCACTCAAACCCACTCCTTGCCGAAGACAGATCAGCCCTCCTTGGGTCCCTTGCCGAACGGCACCCGCCGCCCGGATTCCTTCCTCCTGGCAGCTGACTCAGAGCCCAGCTCCAGCTTGCCGAAGCTGCTGAGTCCTAGCTATCTCTTGCCTAGCCCCCTCTTCTTCTTTTGTGCCCTACAAATGTCCCAGCTATCTCTTGCCGAACGGCAAGAGATAGTCAAACTTATTTCTATACCCCTTGTTTCTTCACTTACCTAAGCCAACAAAACAGCCCAGCCTTTTTGCTCAACCAAAACAAAGGTCCTAGCTACTGCTTGCCGAACGGCAGGTTTCATAAAAACCAAATACGGGACGCACCACTCCCCTCAATACCCTAGCAACTAGCCCACTCATACCTAGCCTAACACTCACGGCCCATCCCAAACAATTAGCTAGGTCAATAAGAAATGGGCCACATACCATATTTTCCCTTTTTCCTTTTTAACCAATCTTGCCACATTTATCAGACCAACTCCACTATTCAATTTCGCCGGGCCCTTTGCCTAGGCCAACCCAAAGGCTTTCTTTTGGGCTTTTGTTCTTTCAAAACCCATGCCACATGGGCAACAAACAAAAAAAAAAAAAAAAAAAAAAAAAAAAAAAAGGAAATCCCATATTCTTTTCTCCTTCAAACTTCAGCCCAATCTTTTGGGAACCAAACCCTTGTTGCCCAAAACCATCACTTGGTTATCAAACGGCAAGACCTGAGTCAACAATCACTGAGGCCCACAGATTTCCTTGCTGAAGCTTCAAAAACCCAAGTCTAGTTTTCTTTTAAAGGTACCCAGCTACCAACAATCACTGAGGCTAACACAGCTTTTATCATACCTTCCAAGTGTTAACACAACTTCTAGCTTGACAACTTGGGGGACTAGGGACTGCCCTACGGCTCCTACTGAACCTGGAATGCTCGGTCATGATCACACAAAAGCTTACAAGTTCCCAACCCAGAAGTCACTTCTTGACCGCGAACTTGGGGGACTACTGTTTACACCATAATCAACCGAGCATATCCAGTCTCAAAACAACTAGCACCAAGGCAGACACGCCTTCCCTCTTGCCGAAGGAAGACACTCTTCCGAGGTGCCAAGCACCTGCCGAAACTCCCGACTGCCAAAGCTCACAAACTGCTAAACCTAATTCTCATGACACGTGTCACCACCACGGTGACTTGCACAAAGTCCCACATCGGAAATCTACACCAACCTCCCACTTTCACTTCCCTATAAAAAGGGAATAGTACCCTAGTAAGAGGGGTAACTACTTTTCTGCCTTTTACTATTACTCTGCAAAAGTTACCATTCTTAGCTGACTTAGGCATCGGAGAGCCTTCGGCCGGCACCACACCGGTGCCCGGAGCTTGACGACTGCTTCCCTCATCTTTGTCTTCTGCAGGTTAGCCTTTATTGAAGGCCCAGACCCTTTCCCTGCTGAAGGCAAACCCCTTTTTCTCTAAGTTGACCCTCTCTGAAAAAGAGCATCAACAAAGTTGTTTAGGAATTTGACACTAAGATTCCTGTGGCTTGTACTCATGTTAAATTCTGACTTGTAGCTGAGTCATATTTAAACACCATCTGCTGGCTCATAAACTTGTTCGCGATAGATGGACTAGTACAATGTATGCAAGCTCGATGTGTGTAGGAGTCCAACACGTGTTTGCTAATTGTTTTAAGCTCAAAATTGTGAATGTATTTTCCACAGTGCTTAAGTGTCAGGGGCCAGTGCTTATAACCGCATATGGTTCTTTTGCAGTAGTGTCAATAGCAAATTGATTAAATCCTTTGCAAAGGATATATCAAATGTATATCCAATTGCAGAGAATCTCAACCCTGTTATTTTACTTCCTTTGCATCAAATAAATGATTCATCCCCATACATTCTCTACAGTTCTGTGTCAATGGGCTATGGAAGCCTAGTTGAGAAGTTAATAAGTATAGAATAATTTGTTTTTTGTGAACTTGTTGCAGGATTGTAGTTTTTATACAACCGATTGTCTTGGCCAGTTCCATGACCTTTGCCGCTCTAAGCTGAGCGATTCCTGCTACGTTTCTAGCCTATCAATGAGGAGTCATCTGTCTGTTAATTTTCTATAGTCTGTTTCATAGAAAGAATTTATGTCATATACATATAGATAAATAATTATGGTATTGATGAAACTACTACCTCTTGGTTTGAGGATGGTAAAAGAAAATCAACAGTACGTGTTTGTTTGGCTAAAACTTATTGTGTCCCCATGTTACGTTTGAATTCACGCATTGAATCCATTGTATTTTTGGAGGGTTATTGGAGGGTTCTTACTCTATTTTTGTTTTCCTTTTCTGTTTTCTTTCAGTTACTTATTAATTTAGTTTTCAAGTCAGTCTTCTTTTGTGGCGATCTATGTATATTTAAGTTTTGATGTGCTTTGATAGAAGAATCTTTGTCTATCAAGTCCTAAGTTGTTGGCCAATTAAAAATTAAAAATAAAAAAAAAAAAAAAAAAAAAAAAAAAAAAAAAAAAAAAAAGTCCCAAATGCTGTGTGTCATGTGAAATGTATATAATCATTGATACCCATCTTTGCTACACCTTCGAAATTGTTTTGCGTTTGCTCGTGTTGTGGCCTTGTGGTATGTCACATCCCGGGACCGGCTCCGCCGTAGCATGATATTGTCCGTTTTGGGCCCCCCTCTCTGCCCTCATGGTTTTGGTTATGGGAGCTCACGAACAACTTCCCAGGGGGTCACCCATCATGGAATTGCTCTAGCCTCCAACTCGCTTAACTTCGGAGTTCTCTCGACTCCGAAGCCAATGAGCTCCCAAAAGGCCTCGTGCTAGATGGATGTGGGCGTGCACATATAAGGCACATCACCCCATCTCCGTTGGTTGATGTGGGATCTTACATGGTAAATGTTATGATTTATGCGATTGTATGAATTCATGTTTTGAGAAAACTGGAGATGTGGAGAGTCGTTGACTCTGTCTGTAGATTGAGCTTCATGCACTGGTCACCTTGTTAGGTGCAAAACTTAATCAAGTTTGGTACTGTGTGTAAAGGTCATAACCATGCAGTATGAATATAGAAGTTAAAACTGAGAAAGTCTGATTCTGGAGATAGAAAGAGAAGCCCATAAAACCTTCTGTCTCACTGGTTGTATTGCAGAAGTTCCAACTAGATCAATGACTTTTCTTGCCCAACTATAGAAGAGTACAGAAATAAATTAAATCTTGGTGGTTGTTGAAGGTTGTAAACAGAACCTTTCTATTGTCAAATATCAATACCAAACATCAAATTTAATTTGATGTATGATATGGCAATTTGACAGCTTACACAGCTTTCCACTCCACTCGATATGTCAAATTAAATTATTATTTTATTACATTTTAGTGTTGATTTATTTTTAATTAAAAATAAAATAAAAAATAAAAAAATATTCATTTGATATATTGCTTTTGGAATGTCAAAAATAATATCTCAACCTCCAACCTTCATTCCACATCAGCTTTGACACATCGGTTTGAGTGATATGAGATGTTATTTCTAGCCATTAAATGTCTATGTGACATTTTTAAAACATCAGTTGGAGATGCTCTCACAATATTATCAACACATTTTCAATACATTAAGATACAAAATTGATACCTACAAACACTATTTTCAACACATTAAGATACATAATTGATACTTACTAACACTATTTTCAACACATTAATCAACACATTAAGATATATAATTGATACCTACTAACACTATTTTCAACACATTAAGATACATAACTGATACCTACCAACCGATGCGGAATCTAATATATATTTACATAGCAGTATACAAATAGAAACAAGGTACGCAAATGTAGCACATAAACAAGGTATGAAAATGCTTTCTTGACAAGATACATTGATCCTTATGCATCCCAAATCATCTCATATTCACAGTGTAGATATTCAATTTTCTCCTTTGCGCTCTACTTCTAATGATACTAATTAGTTGTTTTCCAAGCCCCATTAAATCACTAAAATGATGCCCTACACTCACACTACTAGATGGGCAAAGCAGGATGACAATGAGGGTCAAAGAAAACATATAAAGGTTCCTGAAATTTTAAGAAAAAATAAGCAAGAAGTAGACTAAGCAAAGCAAGAGCAACAAATCTTGAGGGATCTATGATGCAGATTAACTAGGAAGAAGCAACAACTGTGAATCTACGCTTCAATAAATTACCACAAACAATAGCAAAAAACCAAATTTTGGAAAAAGGAAAAAATATTTTAACAGCAACAAACCTCTATATAGAGTTGCTATGCTTAAGCCAATTTATATTTTTGCAAACACAACTAGTACCGAGAAAGAATAGTCTTATCCAAAAAATCAAAGCCCTAAAATCCTAAACCCAAAAAATCAAAGCCCTAAAATCAGAAACAAAAATTAAACATTAAGTGAATGCAATAGAAAACACAAACCTTAATATCAAAGAGAGAGAGGGAATTCGAGTATCGATTATGACCAAAGAAAATTGGAGATTGTATTGAGAGAGGAGAATCTTTTTGAGATGAACAAGCGGGAGTCTGAAAAAAATGAATTCAGAGGCAGGGGGATTGGGCGGGATTGCAAAAGGCATGGCAGGACACGTGGGCTAAGGGGAAAGTGTAGCGTACCCGTTTGTATTGTAAGCTTGCTTTTTCTCTTCAGTTGCTCTGATGACTTTCGATGACTGGGATTGATTCTCATATAATGTTCTTATTTTACCATTCTCACCTGATCCGAGCGCATTCATGCATAGCTAATGCATGACCAATCAACTTTGTGAGCATCACAACTTGGGCTTCCCAACTTCAAATGAAGACTTTGACCATACTACATTGAAGCCCAACAAATTATTCAAATTGGAATGATCGTGCAATTGAATCCGTCTCTTATACAATACTTCTTATTCACATTATTAGATAATGGAATCTAATGTCGAATGTCCTAATATGAATTATTCCTTTATATGATTATCCCGGTACGATTTGAAGACTTCTTCTTTTATATCTTATCCACTACTCTGCACAGAGATTTGATCAATCATATCCTTGGAGCATTCTTTCTTTATACTAAGAATAGAGATTCCTTGTTATACATTCATTTGCCTCCATGACTTTATTGAGAGTCCTGATAAACACCTTTAGGTCATGTCTTCTGCAACACAACTGTATAGTGCCCTCAATGACAAACAACATAGCCACAAGACCTCTATGATGTCTCAAGTCTAAGGATTAGTTCGCACCATTGCAATCTATGAGTTCTAGTTTGACATGTGAGTAAAGACTTCCATTCTAGAACTTATATATTTGATCGCATTCAGTGTACTTGTTCCTCTATAAACACCTACACATATATCTAGGTGTCGCTACACTCAATGACTTGAAACCACGTCGTTATCTATATATAGAGAAGATATTGTGTGTACTAGTCTTGGGGGGAATATCAACGCCCAATTGATACTCCTATGCTTAGGAACATATTTAGGATTATGGATTATGATAAGTCTCGATGTATGCAATCTCATTACATAGTTCTTATGTTCACTTATATATTCCTATGACTATAGTTGTTTCACTTATAAGCCCTCAAATCTACCACTTGTTATTTCTAATTGGTTCTTAGTGTAGTAAAATTTTATAAGAATCAATTAGAAAATGACAAATGACAATTTTGGGTTTTTCTTTCCAAATAGGCTCTATATGGACTTTTGTATAATATGTCATGTTAGAATGAGCTTATTTGTGAAAAACCCAAAAAAATTAAGAAATTTATAATAATAACTTATTCTAGTATCTCTACTATTTAAGCATTAAAAAAAAAAAAAAAAAAAAAAAAAAAAAAAAAAAAAAAATAACAGCTATCTAGATAAATTCTAATGAAAATTGTACATTGTAATTAAAAGTCAGAAGTTATTAAAAAAACAAAAAACAAAAGAAGATAAAACAAAAAAGATGAAAACCCAAACCAGACGCCATCGCGAGAGAGCCCCTTCTCACCTAAACATTCTAATTAACTTTTCTGATTAAGACTGTTTTTGGGGAAACACATCAAAGAGATAATAGGAATGCATTATTGTTGTGGTGGTCGATTCATATTCCCAAGGTGAAAAATATGAATCCTTTTGCTGGTGGCTTCATGCATGTATTTGAGCCAAAGGCTTCAACTCTTTTGGCAATGTCTTGACCATCACCATGAACAAAAGGATTCATATTCCCCCCCCGGCCCCCCTTTACTGAACCACATCCTTACACGACCCCTCCCCATGTGTATGTATATCTTGGCTTCACTTCACGCCAAGGTGATCGACCGCCCAGGTTCGATTGGCAGAAATCAATCATACTAAGTTTCCTATTTCTTCCTTGAAAAGAGGAAAAAATG